CCGGTGGTGGGGGGAGGTAGGATGGGCAGTCTACGAGTGCGGGCCAAGGCCACATGATTGGCAGGCCAGGGGGGTCGGGTGCCACTCCGTGGGCGCTGAGTGGGCTGTGAGTGGCCGGGTGTTCAAGGGCTGTCTCTTTGGATCACGCTTGTGTGGCTTGCTTGAGAGGCCAAGTTATTAGCTAAGTAAGATGATCAGTGATGGATGATGGCGATGGCCATGCCAAGTGAAGTGACCAGTCAAGTGCTCCGTACTCCATGCATTGATGTCAAGTGGTGGCTGGACGATGTGGCTTGGTCCCCCCCGGCTGGCCAACTAGTCTCGACGCTTGAAGTGGCTGGTCATCCTCTGTGGGGACGAACCGTTGCAGGTCGTTCTTCCGGCTTGTCGATGCCCCGGAGTACGGAGTAACGATTTGTGAGTTACATGGTTTCCATGTCTTCAGCTGGCCACTCAGATTTCCCATCCAACAGCTGCATGACGGCGCGTGGCGTGCGGCCGTACGTACGTATCGGCAAGGACTACCGTTGAATGCAAGATGGCCCCCCCATTGTCACGAACTTGTCGGCTCTTAGCTCCCCCGCCTCTTCTAAAGATGGTAGATTGCGGGTGAACAGGCGGTACCTATGGAGTACCTGGGACGCACTCAGTAGGTACTTGCTTGGCCGTAGGGTTGACGGCGGCTAAATCCACATCGGTGGCGGCAGATGTGCCCCAAGTACTCCGTACCTACCTACCTACCAGACAAGTACCTCGGAGGTTCCCAGTGTAGAAAAACGCACTTGCCATGATGCGGAGCTTTCGATCCTGAAAAGTCGACGGGCTACACGCAACACGGTAGTCGACCGACACATGCTCTGCTTCGCATGGACATGGGAAGCGACCTGTCGGGCGTTTGATATGATAGGACCGGGAGTTGACACCGCTGCCGCTGCCGCTGCCGCTGCCGTCGAAGCCGGTGATGCAGGACCGCAACTTGGTTGCTGTTACGGCCCATGCATGCAAGTATGACTTACGCATATACGAACGGAAAATCTCCGTAGGCATCCGATGCACCCTGAAGATCAGAGACGACTAAATAAGCAGACATTTAGTAATACGGCCGTGGCGGATAAGTCGGAGAACATGATGGCCTAGGGGACCGGGTTTAGTCGAAGCAGCCAAGCAGGCTCCGAGTACGACAAGACAAGACCCAGTTGGGCTCGGAGACAAAGCCTTGGGATCGAAAGGGAGCTAGCTATAGGTCCATACATTCTTGCTCAACAATGACGCAGAAACCCAGGATCGCGGTCACGACAGCCAAGCAGCCACTATAAACGGCATCGTCGCGAGTGGGAGGCTGACCTTGGACGGTGGTGCCTTACATGACCGCGTGGTCTGCGATTTCGAGAGGTCTCAGGACTATAGCAGCAACGCATGACATGACCGGAGAGAGCACCGATGTCATGATGTAACTCGATGATAAGGCCGGTATCAAGTGTCGAGGTTGTGGCTCGGTGTCTTGGAAGCAAAGTCACGCCCAGCTGTGGTGCACCCCCCCTTCCCTCTCTTCAACATCGGTGTGCATGTGTGTGTGTGTGTGTGTGAGTGTGTGTGTGTGAGTGCGTCTGCGCGAGAGCCTGCGTACGTGTGCTCCAGAGTATAGCTGACACTTGACTCATGCTAGTAGGACGCTCAACAACGTTCCAGGTGGCTAAGCCGAATAGGACAAGGTGCCATGCCCATTTGAAATGGCTGGACGGCGATGCTCGAAGCCGTGTGGATGCGGCAGCTGGTGTGTGGGCTGGGAGTAGTCAGAAGACAAGCCGGCGGGACGAACCTCGTACCGTACCGTGCCCGCTCTGCCCGCAAGTTTACCGCCAACGTACCGCCTACCAATCAAGGTGTGTGTTGAGATGGATGGCGAAGGTGTGCTTGGGATGGATGGCGTGCGTGGATGGGCTGGACGCAGCGTGCAAGGTGGTCAACGGAGGTGAGACTTGGGGCAGAGAGAGAGAGTGAGTGAGTGAGAAGGAGATGGCGCTGGGCGACGCAGACATTGGCGCTCCCTTGATGCTCGGGGCGAGCCTTATAAGATGACGCTCCCCCCGGGAGTGACCACCTTTCTTCCCGTTTACAAAAGGAAAAGGTTGAAAGAAGAAACGAGTCGACTGCTCAGACCGTCACCCTTCTCGCAAGTCAACTACTCAGCACCACGGTCCGTCAGACCAAGGCTGGCACATCGACAACGCCCGCGAACCCTGTCAATAAGCAACACTGCGTGCGCACACTGCACGCCGACTTGGACGCTCAAGTGCTGGAGCTGCGACTTGCTCTTGCTCTCGAACGCAACGCAACGCCCACGCACCGGCGCCGACAATCCACCTGCGACAGAAGAGGTCTCGGCCAGCGTTGGGGAAGCGATTCCGCGTTTGTGTCGCCGGGAAGGAACCGAAGCACAAAGGAAGGCCGAACATCGAGCCGGGCTGGCATGCCGCGTGCCTGCACACCATCTGGTTGGTCCATCTCTCCCGCACCACCCCCTCCCTACCAATCACCAGTCCGTGTCTGGGGGATCGCATGGACCAAGGGGCACACGGCAGTTTCGCAGCAGACTGCATCTCTGTGCAACGGTCCTGACGGAGAGCTGCGCGGAAAGGCGTGCAAGTCGCACGCTGATGTGCGGCCTCTTGCGAAACTGTGTTTTCTTCATGTTATTGTGCTCGGGGGGCTGGGCCGAGCTGGACAACGTGCAAAAGTTCAAAGGTTTTCTTGCTGACGCCGCGGCAGACGCAAAGGCATCGACTTATTCTCTGGACATCCATCCACCCTCCGAACCCGCCGCGCGCGCGCCCTGCGATCCAAGGAAGACAGACAGCTGGAAAGCGCAGCACGTTCTTCTCTTCCTTCCATCTGTCTTTCTTTTCCTTCTTCTAGAACTGCCAGCTGCAGTCGCGACAGTTTACGCAGAGCTGCATGTTGGCACAGCCCCCTCGTGCTCCCTCCCTAGCATTCACAGTGCACGCACACATCCACACGGCAGCCGGGCAAGGCACTACTCGGCACACGTACCCACGTACTCCGTACCCACGTTCCCCGAGGTGAGACGTCGCTGCACATGTGGCGCCCCAGCAACATGCAGCACGGCAGCCTCACTGGCACGTGCTGAAATGTTCCCCCGCCAGGGCCGCCACCCTGCCAAAGTTGTTTTGTCTTGTCGTCAACCGGGCCCAGGCTGACCGCGCCTGTGCCGCTACCATCTTCAGTGCTTCTCGGCCTAGCGACAGCCCCAAGACCTGAACGGGCTTGAGGCACTCGAGCCGGTCGCTTCGTTGCTCCAGAACACGTTGACGACGAAACCCGTCTCAGTGCGCTGCAAGACATTTCTGGTATGTGCTCACTCACTCTATTGTTAATTTTTATTCCCCCAGCCATGTCATCATGTCACGTCTTTATCTTGCCCGCCATCCGCGTCGTCAGCGGTCCTGGTCCTGGCCAGAGCCGGTACCGACCGGACATGTCGAGTGCTGCCCCTGCCCCCCTCGCCCCTCCCAGTTGGGAGCGCATAATTGATCCCCTCCCCCCGCGCGCCGTTGGTCTTGGTGCTTTTCTCGCTGCTGAGTGGCCGCGAGAACCGCCGCCGCCGCCATCAACCCTGTGCATCAGCGACCACCGCATCGCGGGTTTCCATACTGCCGAACCAACAAGCCGTTTGCCTGCTTGTCGCTTGGCTCGGGAGCTGCATCGTCATCGTCCGTCATCGTCGTCCGTCTGTCCCCCTCCTTGACGGACGCCTCCGCTCCTTTCCCTCTATTCTCCAATCCCCCGGCCCTGCCCGTCTCTTTGCTGCCGTCGCCTCTCACCGGTCCCCTCAGCCCGTCATACTTCCATCCCGGCCCTGGCCCTTGGTGGTGCAACTCTGCACATCGTCCTCCTCGCGCGTTTCTTGGCTTGGCCCGCAGCCCAAGCGTCCCCAAGTGAGCGACCTGGCTAACGGCGTCCCGCAGCGTTGAGCAAACGTCGAGGTTTCCCTCTCACACCATCCCAACATCCCATCTCTCGTCCCAGGACGCCGCCTCAGTCCAGGACTCTTTAGCCCAGCCAACCAGTCTCGAGCGAGCCGCCCGTCAGTTGCCCGTCACCGCCCGGCCCAGTCGCGTCGACGCACAGGAGAGGAGAGGACTGACCACTCGCCGTCTAGAAGCCCGGACGTGGCTGCAACAGCTCTTGGGCGGTCCAGACATTTTTGAACGTCTTTCTGCTGCTTACCGCCCTGCCAAAACCGTCAGCCACCCAAACCCACCCGCAGCGACTCCGTGTGGACGTCCCTCTGTGGCAGGCCACTGGCTCTTTGAAAAAGGCAAACACTTGGCAGCGACAATTCTCCGACGTCGCATTCCTAACCCCCTCCGCAACGAGACGACGACTCCCCTTGGTCACGGCCGCCGACGCTCCCTTGCCATCACCATCGCCGACGCCGACGCCGACGCCGACGCCTTCTGCTGTCACTGCCATAAGCTTGGCGTAGATGGAAGGGCAGTAGCCTTTGGCTAGCACTTTTGCGTCTACGCTCTCCAAAAAGTGAGTGATTGACGAGTCTTTCCAACTGCCGGCAAATTCCACCGCCGTGTGCTTCGTTCTTCTGGACGCCCTGTTGCATGGCCTCCATCTCTCACCAGATCCCCGTCCGCCGCCTCCGGCTGCACGTATGGGCATCGTCCTCTCGGGGGGAGGCATAATTCTTCATCCGCATCGGCCTTGCCGCGACTGTTCGGATGCGCTAACTGGTCTCGCTTCTGTGTAGCCCGCCGCCTGCCTTTGCTCGAGCGCTTCCTCGTACTCGCGCAGTGTCGCATCGGGCACTGCACTGAAACAACGAAAACCCTACGCCTCCGGCGACCGCCCGTCCCAGTCGCGACGGCGTACACCAACTCTTGACGGTGCCGTCAATTCCTCCTTTACAAACCATCAAGCTGGCAACCCTAACATCTTTGGAGCTCCAGAAGCTCAATCTGTACACCATGGCCCAACACGGATTTGGCCACTTCGCCACTGCTCCTGGTGGTGGCAATATCGACCCCAATGACCTCGCCATGAGTGGGGGGTATTCTCCCTCCTTCTCCAATGCTAACAACTTCAACTCTGCCTCCGCCAACGCCCCGAATGGTTACTCCAGCGGCAATGCAGTATTTGGCGACGATGAACTGTTAGATGGTCTCGCCAGCCCTTCCGACGGCCAGCCAGGCATGCATAGTCGAGGCCAAGACTACAGCAACATGAACATGGGCTTCAGCCAAAACGCTTTCCAGTCGCACAGAGGCGCCGGGCTGCAGATTGATCCGGCTCAAATCAACGGCTACTCGCAGACGCCAGACGGTGACCCCATCCAGAGCCCGTACGCCGCGGGCTTCACGGCCCAGTTCCGTCAGATGCAGAATAACCACTCCCTAGGCGGCTCATTACATTCTCCCATGTCCTACTCAGGCTCACCGTTGACTGCGGGAGAGATGGGCCCCGACGGCAATGACCCCAACTTCCTCAAGGCCAGAGCCAGAATGTCCCAGCAGATGCAGCGAAAAGCCTCGAGCAACCGCAGCCCAATGACGCCCAAGACCAACAGCATCCGTGGCATTCCTATCGGCCCGCAGGATTCGCCTGGATTTGGCCCGCAAGCCATGCGGCCATCGGGCAGCCACGAGAAGTCGCCGCCCGGGCAATGGGTCAACACTCCCGCCGGGAGCATACCTGCCTCCTACAACTCTGGCTTCTCCTCGCCAATGCAGCAAGGGATGGTGCCCATCAATGAGGTCATGCTCAAGGGAGGCACGTCGATGCCGACCAAGCTGGGTGTTAACCCCAATGCCGTCTCCTCCCAAGAGATGAAGCGCAAGCGCCGTCGCGAGTCTCACAATCTTGTCGAGCGTCGCCGCCGAGACAACATCAATGAAAGGATTCAGGATCTCAGCAAACTCGTTCCTTCTCACCGCCTCGAAGACGAGAAGATCCGCAAGTTGATACAGAACGGCACACCCTTGTCTCCCACCTTGACAGGCATGTCCAATCCCTCGCAGGCCACTTCGGGCTTGGCCGGCCCTGGCGCCCGTCGTGCTGCTGGTAGCAATGCCGGCAACATCACCACCGGTCTGCCTGTCGAGGAGAAGGACAAGGGTCCCAACAAGGGCGACATACTCAACGGTGCCGTCAGTTGGACACGCGACCTCATGTGGATGCTGCACCTCAAGCTTCAACAGCAAGAGGAACTTATGAACCAAATCGCCGAGTTGGGTGGCCATTTCCCTTTCGAGCTGACCGATGACGAGAGACGCATGCAGACCGAGCTCATCGAGGCCCTGTCGAGGAGTGACGCAGCCAGCTTTTCCTATTCACGAACTGCTGGCTCTGGTCTCCGGGTGCCTACCCATACTGACTACCGTGGTGATCCCGTAAACAGCCTAGCCGCCAACCTAGACGCCATTGGCATCACGCCCGACGAAAATGGCACCACGGTCAATGCTTCAGACCTCAATGACACTGCGCAATTCTGGAACGATCCTGACGATGACAGCAGCGGCCAAGCGTCCCTGGATGTCAAGGATGACGACGAATATGACATGGATCTGAACTGAGTCTGCCATGCCGGCCCGGCAGCTTGCGTTCATCAGCGTTTACTTGGTGTTTACGGCTCGAATGATGACCCGGAGTACAACCTGCGGTAGCTTTGACGTGTGCGGCATTTTGACGTTTACTCCATCAAGTTCAGGAAAGCCTGAGTTGTGGCAGACTTGCCTGTCCCTTTATTTTCGTGTTTTCAATACTTGGCTTGCTCCCAGACCGGCGGCGTTGACGGTCATCTACATATACATACTACACGGAGGCTGGCATGACCCACGGACATTTTCGGACCGGTGTTGTCCGTCCGCAATAGGGTTCTATATACAGGGCGCACAGGTTTACACTATACAGTGAAGGGATGGTTGTTTGGAAACCTTTTTTTTTTTTGCCTTTTTCTTTTGGTTCCGGGTCTTTGACTCTTCCTCTTCGTGGCGCGTCGTGCTGTGCGTTTCTCAAGACCGTTTTGTTTTTCTTTTTCGTCTCTTTCTAGTGAGATTTGACTTTTCTTCCTTTCTTTTTTCTTTTTTTTTATTGGAATTCGTGGTATTCTTGGCGTCGTCTCAGATATACAGTTGTTGACTTTGCGATACCTCGGTCGGCTCTTGTGCTCAAGGCCCTCCTCGCCTTTTGTGTGGGCCTTTGAAGGTTCCATTTCTTAATTTTGTTTTTTACCTTGCTAGTCTTTTAGCTACATTGGAATTTTGTCTTTTCGTTCTGACGAAGAGGCATTTGACGCAGTTATCTATCACTAATGAAATGACGCTTTGCCCTGTTTGTTCACCGTAATACATTTCCGTGCTTGGTGTGTGATGTGAGGTTGGTTCATCTGCTCCCCACCCTCTCCTGTCTGCGGATAGATCAGGCCATGGGAACGTCCCGACGCTCCCTTTTTGATCTTGTGTCTGCTCATGTCTCTCCGACTCACCGAGTGAGGCTGATCAGGGGCGCGTACTGTTTCCGGGAGAGCCCGTTGTGGCGAGCAAATCGTCCAACGCAATCACCAATGTCTCGTGCACAGCAGGTACTCGCTCATGGCGGTCAGCAAGGTCCACGTCTCTTTGCGCTTCATGTCCTCCTGCAGAGTGATGCGCTCCAGCGCGCACCGGCCGTCAAAGTACCTGCACATGACGGGCCATGCGGCCCTGACCTTGTCGTCCTTGAGGCGGCGCGCAATGGCAGACAGGTAGCGCGACTCCCTGCCCGTGGCCTTTTTGGCGTCGAGGATGATGTGCGGCGTCCGGCCGGCGAGGTGGGTGCTGTCGTTGACGGAGGGCCGGCTGGTCGGGACAGGGGGTGTTTTGCGCGCGTGCGCCGTCGCCTTGTCGGCCGCCTCGCGGTGGGCCTTGATGGCGATGCGCTCGAGGCGCGCCATTTCGGCGGCGTGCTGGGCCGTGGGGGGAGGTGCTGAGGCGCCGGGCCTGGGACCGGGCTCGTCTCCCGCTCCCGAGGGGGGCTCGGCGCCGTCGGGGCCGTCTCGGGTCGTTGGTTCCCGGCTGCCGGTCGTCGGGGGACCAGCAGGCGTCGGAGGTGCCGGGGGCTGGCTGTCGTCCTGTGCCGTGGACGCCGCTGCCGCCGCGAGCTCCTCGGCTTCCATGTCGTACTCTACCTCGTACAGGATCTCGGGCCACACGACGACGTAGGCGAAGGTGCAGAGCTGCGTCACCCATCCTCCCCGCAGGAGCCACGCCAGCATGCGGAGGTACAGAGGGCGGTGCGGCTTGCCGGGGCAGAAGGTCTTGAAGGGCCGCGGTGCGTACGAGAGCTCCGAGAGGAAGTTGGGCAGCGGTGGCGCCAGCGGGAACGCGCGCTGCCATTCGGCCGCGTCTCGGGGGAGGCGGCTCAGATCGCAGTTGGGCGACACCACGTACACGTCTTTGGCGTGTAGCGGCGGTATGGCCATGGCTCGGCGCCAGAATATGAAGTGCTGCGCGTACTTGCGGACTTGGCTGGCGGTGAGAACGTTGCTTTGCCCGACCTGGTAGAAACTTGGGAGGGGTGTTAGTTTTTTTTTCTTCTTGTTTTTCTTCTCTTAGACCCCTTTTCCTCCTCGCTTTGTTCCGTAAAGGCTGGGAAAAGGGGGACATACGACATGGTGGGCTTGGCTAGTCGGGCGATTTCAATCATGGATACCGTTGTCGGGTCTCTGTCAGCTTGGAGCTCGGCTACAACTTTTTTCTCGTCCTCCAAGAGGAGCAAGGCAAAATTCTTGTCGAGAAACTCCGGGTCGTCGAGCTGCTCATGGCTGAGGAACGAGTTAGCCGTGGTTAGCCAGAGACCGTGCTGGCCGTGGTCATGGTCTGCCGGGAGGTCGGAGACGAAGAAGGGCGCTGGGAGTTGCACCGATGGCGTCAATACACCCGCCGGTGTGTCGAGGTGAAGCGTGGCAATCTTATTGCGGGACACGGCTTCGTATATGTCGTGTACAGATGCCGCAAGTGAGGACATCTCAAGCAACTCCTTCCAAAGGACGCTCATGCTCTTCTCTGCGGGGAGACGGTTAGAAAAGACATGCATATCCGGTGAATGAGACGGCCGTGGTGAAACATGAGGACTTACCCTCTTCCCGAGCTCTGTCCTTGACTAGCAAAATCCGCTTTGACTCCTTCCAAACGAATTCACAGTGCTGTTGGCTGTACTTGTACGCCTTGTTGACCTTCTTCACCACGTTGTGATACAAGGCATCCACGAGCTCCTTGTCTTCGCTTTTTTTGGGGTTTAGAATGAACACCAGGTTGAACATTGTCATTGAACTGCGCTTCTCTTCATCGGCCTCGTCTTTCCTGCCGTCTTTACCTCTGGCAGGCTCCGACGAGATGACGACGGATGGTGTTGGCGGTTCCGTGTCATGGGCAGCCTGGGTTTCCTCCGGGTGTCTCGCGGCCTTGGATTTGTTCGATTTCTTGTGTCGCTTCCATTTGCCATTCTCTGGTACGTGGATGGGATATGAGATGCAGTGCACCGGGTCGAGTGACAGCTGAAACAGCTTCTTGTGATAGGGCCGCGAGGGAGTGAGGATACTAGCCAGATCCCGTGTCGGAAACCCAGCCACACGCTCCCACGGGACGACTCGAGAGCCAGTCTCCTCCGTGAGGTGACCATCGTGGTGTCGATGTCTGCTGCCGCCTCCATCCGTGGCAGTGATGTCCCGGCTCATGGGCTGAGTGAGTCGTTGGAGGAGGAGATCCCCATCCTCGTCTGTGGCCTCAGCACCGTGTTCCGGGTGCTTCGTGACGGGTTGGACATCTGGCGGGTAGTGGAAAACAAACGCCGGGCCGTCGCGCGAGCGGTTGACTACCAGCGCAACGGCAAGGAAATTCTCGCTGGTAATGGACGACATTGCGGTTGTGGCTGTTGGTGGTGGTCGTGACGCATTTCACATCACCTTCGGAGCCCCCCATTCAGGAGCCAACGACGGAGTTGGCACGTCGCATGGCTGGGCCGCCTGAATTGTAAACCGAATTCATCCACAGCCAGAAATGTGCTGTGGATGGGCGTCCGAATTCCGTCACCTTTTGGATTCAACACCCCATGGTTACGTGAAGGTTCTCACAGAGTCCTTCGGGAGCCCTTCTCCGGAAAAGAACTGGTGCGACCAGTCACATGACCGCTCGTTGGATGCACGTTGTTCGCCTTCTCGCGCGTCGTTCGACCGACCACAAAACACCTTATGATGCATAACTTATAACTTCCGAACTCTGTACGGAGTGCCTAGGTAATAGAAGGGCTGCTCAAGATCCAGTAGCCGTTCGTTCTCTTTCTGAAGCTCGATTTTTATGACAGTATATTCTAATCACCTCCCTGAGGAACGCTAGGCTGCCTCGTCGATTCTAGAGATTTAACCGAGTGTCCCGTCCAGGAGACCAAAACTGCTGTCTACAAAGCCTCCCCGATTGAGGATCATCAATCAACTCGAGAGATGCGCCATGTTGGCATTTTTCAGGGATCCGCAAGGAAAATTCTCCTCTACCCGTCGGATGCAACCGGCCACTGATCCCCTACTCGGAATCCTTCTGGATACGGATCGGTAGCATCTAGGACAATCTGCTTATGGCTTGTGATCCAACCCCTCCCCGATACATTCGGCACGATGGCATCAAACACTCCAACCTTGGTTGTACGCCGAACATGCCCTATGAACTCGGTGCCGATAATGCTGCGATGTTTGAAAAGTTGCCCTACTTGCAACTGGCCACGAGCGTTCAAGATGGCCATCCTGGCAGACGTTGCTGTTCCACAGGGGCTTCTGTCTAGTCTGCTAGATGGGATGATGACTGTGTTCTTGGCTGTCAAACACGCCGGCTCTTCTGTGACTTCCTCTGTTATACACACGGTACAAACGCCTGCCATTTCTGGTTTGTCCGGATGGACTGGCGTGAACTGGCTCTGGATAGCCCTGGTTACCATGTCACCGGCCGTAATCAGTTTTCGACAATGGTTGTTCGACACCGTCAGGCCCAGAGAGCGAGCATCCACAAATCCATACCACATGCCACCCCAGGCAATGTCGACGGAAACGACGCCTAACCCAGGCACATCAACCTTGAAGTCCAGCTTGGCAACAAATGCCGGGACGCCATCGAAAGCCACCGACTTGCACTTCCCTGCTTCGCATTGTGCGGTGACGGTAACCAGGCCAGCTGCAGTGTCCAGAGTGAGAGTTGTCTGAGGCTCGGTCATGGGAAGCATGCTTGTCTCAAGGAGAACGGTCGTCGCGCATATGACGTTTGAGCCGGACATGAAGGCGTAGGAGTCGTTGCACATGATGATCAAGCCCATGTCGGCCTTGGGGTCACAGGGCGATACCAGTAGATTAAGGTTCAACGAAGCTCGGCCGCGGGGTTCATTCAAGAGGAGGTGGCGCACATTGTCGTGGGACTTTTTAAAGTTTTGCAGCTTCTCCAACATTGAGTTGCCTGGGACATCGGGTACGCCGCCAACAATGACGTCTCCCACCTCACCTTCGGCATGGCAACCGACGACTTGGATAGGCTGGCGCGAGTGCATGGTAATGATATCCTGACGGGCGTTTGCTATTTTGACTCTTTGGCACGGTTGTTCTGCTGCCCGCTTGGACAAACCAGGCTCCCTTCGACATACAGTGAGTATATACGCTTGATGAGTTTCGGGCAGACGGAAGCTGAGTTCTGTTTTTTTTCTTTTTCTTTTTTTTCCGTTACGTACGGAGTATTGGCTTCCAATAAAAACAAACACAAAGAGCCCGTTTCCTGTGACTTGCCATGTTGTGGACATGCTGCTTGTCCAAAATACTCCATTCGGACGCGGAACATGGCTTTGCCGGCACATTGCGTTCCATGTCTGCAGGCAGGACAACTAATCCGAGAGAGTACTCCTGAAGTACGGAGGGCAGCACAGCTAGGTAGAAGTGGAACGTTTGAAGAAGATGCGCCTCGGATTGCCATAACTCTCCGGAGCTGAACAACGACAAGAGACAGCCAGCGGAGATTGACTATGCGACGAGACGGTTTTTCACATGCGGAGGCCATCAATTGGCAGTTGAAGCACGGCGCTTTGGACGGAGATGAGGCGAATAGTCCATCGAAGGGTCGTCCGTTGCCAGCACAGCATCCTCAAACTTCTGCCTCAGCCTTCAGCGTCATGGAGCCGTATAGCTTCGAATCAACACCCATTCCTTGGCCTCCCTCTCGATTTACAGGCCGGGGTGATTTTGTGCAGCAATCACACGATATACCTATGCCTCAGTGTTGAGCAATCAAATTGCAGGGCGCGCGACGGGCCGGGCTGTCGGGTAAACAACACTGGTGGTTGGAGAGAAGTCCTGCAGACACTCCGCTTCGCAATAATTGACGGTATATCGAAAAGATGGGCCTGCGAGTCGCATCTCGCTCGTCCGTCTCGTCCGTCTCGTCCGTCTCGTCTACCTCGTCTATTAGCGCCAGTACGTGTTTGGCCTTGTACGAGAAGGACAAGAGCATATCAACGACTCGATCTGATTCAAACCTACAACGAAAAGCGGCAAAGATGACGACGGGCCCAAATCCAAAAGACTCGGTGGAGTCGACGTGGCGACTAGCCGACAGGAGCACCTGGGGCACGGCGCACCGGATCATGGACATGATCAATGTGCATCCCGTCGACCTGGACAAGCCCATAACGGTGCATTCCAAGACGGACAAGATTCCCCATGTCTCTCAGTGGTCGCAGCATCTATGGATCCTCACGTGCGCCCTGCTGCCCCTCGCGGTCGAGCAGGCCTGGAGCTCGTTGCTCCCGGGGCGGCAGGGCCCACGTGCGCCGACCGCATTGAGGCGTCAGCCGGCAATCTTGACTACTCCAACCAGGTAGGTGGTGATGCCGATACTTTAGCCACAGCACATGGAGGCCAAGTTGGTGCGAGAAAATTCGTCCAGGTCTGCTCTGAGTAGCCGGATGGTAGGGGATGGGCGATGCCGGCATGGTTGACCACGCGGGCCGCTTACTGATAGATGACACGACGTCTCTCGCAAAGCGACAGAAACGTTCAAGTTTTGGCCGCGTGTAAACCTGCTGTCTGCCGCGCGGTTGTCTAGACTTGTGCCAGCGTGCCGTGTACTTGGGCGAGGGACTTTACAGGTTTTCCTCCGACTACTTGGGATGTCACGGAGATATCAGCGCATCTGTCCGGGCCAGATGCCACACACGTGTGATCTGGAACTTGCTGTCAGACTTTCCTTGCCAGCATTATCATGTAACTGTATATTATTGCTTGTATCGCTCAAATGTCACCACAAAAGCCGGAGAGAGTGACTGTGCAAGACCTGGGATGTCGTCACAGGCCGTGGGATGTCAACCGAGACGGCAAAGGGGGGATGAATATAATCGGATACCGGCTTACCTGTGACACCACTTGATCGAAATGAAAATGATGAGTAGGACTCGCATCACAAGAATGAGCGCTCAGAATCGCACGTTCCCTCGCCCTGGCCTTTGTCCAACTGGCGGCAGACTAGCGGTCAGATGAGACGAGAGAGTTGAACAAGGCGCGGCAAGTCGCAATTGCAGCATGAGCGCACACCATGAGCCGGCCGAGTTGCAAGGCTGGGGCATTGGTTTGCAGGATCCAGGGGTTGTCCCGTCTCCTCTCGTCACCCATCTTCGTCTGCTATCCAACCAGCAACATTACCCAGCCCCAAGTGACTGACGGGGATATGGTGGCCATTCTCACAACGTGCTTCGGGGAGCCACGGCTTGAGGCACTGTGAGGAGAAACCAGACGGGATGGCGACTTGGTCGCAAGCAGGAAGCATGTAATATGGAACAAGCACAGAAGGTGGCTCAGCAGCCAAGCCAAGCAAAACCTGAGCACGAGCTTGAGAGTTGGCGCACCGATCTGGCTGAGCATGGGATGGCATGGACATGCTGCCCTGGCCAACCCCCCCCTCCTCTCTGCATCAAAGGTCTCTTTGCAGCGAGGCATTGATGATGCTGATGCATGTGCATGCTTGCATGCTTGGACGCTTGGACGGTTGCAGCGCCGGGAGGGGAGAGGGACGATGAGGGCAAGGCGTGGGCTAACCTGGGGGAGGCTTAAGCTCAGCCTACCTGCACAACAGACGTCAAGGTGTCGACGACGGAATCCCATCATCAACGAGGCGGAGGGCGCAATGTCTCCCCCGCCCCGTGCTCCGTGCGCCTTGTGCCGTGCGTCGTGCTCCGTGCGGCCTTACGCGTGGGTGATCGGGTCGACTTCGACTTTGGAAATCACGAGCTGGAAGAGTCGTCTCGGCTCCGTGGTGTTTGATGGCGCTCGGCGGTGATGGGGTGGGCGGCTGCGGACGCCCAAGACTCGAGAGGCATACTATACATGCATACGGAGTAGATGGAATGGTTATCTTGGCGATCCAAAGCAGCAGAAGCACTGTGACGTCGTGACTCTTGGCACTATTGGTGTTTGGTGTTGCGGATATTCTTGTATCCGGGCATGCAATTGCGGGTCGGATGAAGTGCCCCAACCCTTTTCGATGTAACAGTACAGACAGAAGTGCTGAGTACCTAACCTACCTGCCTCCTTGAGTACTCAAGTAGGTATAAGTACCTAGGTAGTAAGCATTTATCTATTCCGGCATTTTGCCAGACAGAACAACATGAACCAGTTGGCATGTGTTGAAGTCGGGACTGATGCCATTTGCCATACTCAAGCCCCTGCCACTGTTCACTGCTCACGAGGTGATCTACTGCAAGCTAATTGGGCTTTTTTTTTTTGACAGCTCCCTCGGATGAATTCCTCAATGCATCATGCGTTGACCCTTCTTCCTTGTATAACGATATATGCCATATGACTCTCCAACTTGACCTTGAAAATTCTGAATGGAATCTCAATATTATATTGATGTATTATGGTATGTCTTGCGTCATAAGTCTGTAGCCTCGCAGGACTTGGTATTAATGCATGTCAAGTACTAATGTACTAATCGTGCCCGCCCCACTTTATGTGGTTCGGCTAGCAAAAGCCCTCACCACCAAAGGTGGTGCTCGACAGCAAGGCGGGCCGGACACCAAGGCGGGCCAATTTTCAACCTAATAACGCTATTAACCTCTTCGCCTATAATGTACACCCTTCTCGTCCCAAATTTCTAGTAGATCTAGTACAGAATCCAGACGCCATTTACGTGCCTTTTTAGCTGCTTCAAAAAACGTCCTCTTGGCGTGGTTGTGGCGCCTTTTGTCGGCTGCCTCAACAACCCGACGAGCAGTATCAAGGCGGTCATTCTCGTTTTGCTTGACCATCTCACGCGCGTTATCCACAGAAAGAACGCCACCAGTTTGTAGGGCGTGATATTTATGAGCTCTACGTCGCTGTGATAGTAATTGAGCTGCTTTTGTACGCCCAAGGTCTCTCTTCGTCTGTATAAGCTCAGTAGCTGCAATAAGAGAGCCGCGGATAAAACGACTGATATTGCGTGCAAACTCAGGCTCAAGGGATGTATCGTCTTCTAATACCTCCCCTAGCTTGTTGGCAACCTTATTTATCTGCCTGAGTGTTGTGGGCGTCTCAAAGTCGGAAGAGTTGTTGTGATATAACGGCGGCGGCGATGGTGTTGATGTGTAAATTGCAGCTCGTTGTTCAAGGGCCTCAATTACAGGCTGTGGATTGTAGGGTGAAATTCCAGTTTTTCGAAAGGCTGTGAGAATAGTAGTAGTCTTGAAAGCTTGTTTTCGTACAGCTTGAATGCAAGCAAGGAATTCAATCTTTGTAATATTCAACACGCCGTCTCGAACAATGATATCCAACGCCTTTGCATGATAATGCTTTAGTGGCTGAAATATCACAACATCAAGAGGTTGAAGGATGTGTGTAAGGTGCGAGGGCAACGCAAAGGGAATTATATCGTGCTGTTCGCAGTATTCAACGAATTCAATTGTATGGTGTGATCCGTGGCCATCTAGGATTAAAAGGCGATATCTGCCTATTGGCGTTGCAAATTCCTGAAAATGCTGTATCCAAGCAACTGCAATTTCGTCATTCGTAAAGCCGGTTGGTGAGACTGTTATTTTGGTATTAGCTTCAAGCTCCTTTATCCGATACCAGGACTCCATGTGTTTTTGCCCTGTAAGGATAAGAAAGGCAGGAATAACTTTGCCGCCAGCAGAAATGCATTCTATTGCTGTTGCAGTCTCCCTGTTTTCTGGCATTGAAAATAGATGCGCTCTTCTTCGCTTTGTAACAACTAAATGGTCCTTTCCCATTCCAATACGAAAGCCAGTCTCATCCATATTCCAGATATCTTCAGGAGGGACTCCGTACTGCTGAATAGCCTCTTTAAGCTTGTTGTAATAAGAAAGAGCTCTTGTCACATCTTCTGAAGCTTTTCGACTTGAATCAATCTTTTTTTGAAGACCTTTATGATAGTGATGCCGCTGGATAAAGCGTGTAGTCCATCGCGTTCCAACTTGCCTAGGCGGGGCAGTTGACGATGCCCTCTCTTTTAGGATGTAATTTGCAGCATCTGTAATGAATTCAGGTCGTACAGCGAAGTTGGCCTTATCAAGGCGATCGATATAGTTACATAAAGCAACTTTTACAGACTGCTGAGCAAATACAAACTTCATGAGGGGCAGAGGAGTAGACAAAATTTCCCCTTTCCCTCTCCTGACGTACCTCCGATGAGGACTCGGAAATCAAGTCTCACGTGTGGGAAGGTGTACACAGCTGCTGGTGAGCACTAGACCACCTGTGGACCCTGTGCAGGGCAAGTCGAGGTGCGGAGTACCTGGCCGGTGCCTCATGTGCAGCACCAACTGCATGTGGAATGCAGGTGGCGCCTCCTCTCCCCGTCCATCGTCCCCCTGTTCCCGCCTGCCTTCCAGTCCCGCTGATTGGGTGCCTAAGCCCAACAAATTTTCATTTTTCATGCAAAGATAAAAAAAAGGGAGTCACCGAAAGCCGTAGCTGGCGCCGCCACTCGATCCCCTGGTCCGGCTCTTCCCCATCTGTTCAGAAAGCGACAATTTCCGTATGTACACTGCAGCCCGCATCGCATCAATGCAGCAGCAATAATACATCACATCCAGATCGTCGCCAAATGCCGAGTGCGGACTGACCGACTTCCAAGCACCGACACCAACACTGGCACTAGCAGCACCACCAGCGTCACCAGCGCCAACGACTCTCTTTCTCTCCGTCAACGGCCACCAGATTTGACTGGCTCATTGGGACTGAGCCCTCACCGCAGCCGTTATCACATGGGCTTGGCGCTCCCTTTAATTGGCCCACCCGCGCTCCATGCCATCCCTTCAAAACTCCAATCTTGCCATCTTGCCTCGAGCTACTCCTTGGAAGGGCAATAGGTCGTGTGCGCTGCTCCCACCTCACCTAGACTGCTGGCCTCGGCATCACTCTCCTCGAGACGGCCCTGTTTCCTTCTAGACTTGTCTATGCGTCCTCTGCTTCCGCGCCGCTGACATCAGACATCAGACATCAACAGCTCGGTGAGCTGTGCCCGTGGCCTCGTCTGCGCAAATCCGCCCCGAACGGACGGCATCCACCATCTCGAGTGAGGCCAATGAAACACCACATAACCGCATCTATCTTGCATTAATTTTTCTCCTTCCTTTTCTGTTTGGCCCGACCGCCCTGCCCTATCGCTTCATCCATCATGTCGCCTGCCGCTGCAGTCTCTCCCGCCGCCGAACTCGGCCACGTTCGCTTCATCCCCCTCAGATACGACAACAGTGACTCTCAACGCTCGGCAATGAAACTCATCCTCGCCCTGTTTCCTCACTGGGCCAAGGACGAAGCTCACATTGATTTTGTCCGTTTCACCGACGGTATCACCAACACCCTGCTCAAGGCAGTCAACCGCCGTCCCGGGCTTACCAAAGCTGAAATCGACAAGGATGCTGTCCTGCTCCGTGCCTACGGAAACGGTACCGACGTCCTCATTGATCGCGAGCGCGAGGCAGCAAATCATGAACTTCTCATGAGATACCACCTGGCTCCCCAGCTGCTGGCTCGATTTGGCAACGGCATGCTCTACCGCTTCATCCCAGGCGCCGTCGCTCAGCCCAGAGATCTAGCCGATCCTGCCATCCTCAAGGCCATTGCTCGTCGACTGGCCCAGTGGCATGCAACCGTGCCATGTATCCCCGACTCGTCGCTTCGGCGAAACAGCTCCACCAACGGTGACGCTAGCACTAATAACAATACCGTTCTACTCAGCGCCGCTGCCGGAAAGCCTATCCCCAATGTCTGGACGACGATGCAAAAGTGGATCTTGGCCTTGCCTACAGACACAGAGCCGCGTCGTGAGAGAAGAGCTCTGCTGCAAGAGGAACTTGAAAGCATGGTCAAGCGTCTTGCCCATCGCCCTGGATTGGGTAACAACGGGGTATGCTACCTGAGACACCCTACTTGCACAACACCACCACCCCCTTGCCCAGTCTTTTACCACGCTTCACTACGAATGGATCTTTGGCTAACAAACATGTGAACATGTAGCTCGTATTTGCCCACTGCGACCTCCTCTGCGCCAATGTAATCATTCATAGGGATGGCGAGAGGGAGCCGTCCGTCAGCTTCATTGACTACGAGTACGGGACTCCATCTCCGGTTGCCTTTGACATTTCAAACCACTTTGCCGAATGGGTTGGTTACAGTTGTGACTATGCCGCCATTCCCACCAAATCGCAACGTCTCGCATTCATCCGGGAGTACATTGCCTCATACGTCAAACTGTCTGGCGAGGTGATGGATGAGGAACAGGAGACTCAAAAGCTGATGGAGGAGGTGGATGTGTTCAGGGCTGTTCCAGGCTTCTTTTGGGGTATCTGGTCCTTGATCCAGGCCACCATCTCTCACATCGACTTTGACTACGCCTCATACGCCGAGAAGCGGCTTGGCGAGTACTGGGCTTTCAAGGCCGAAGACGACGGCAGCCGTGCAGCATCTGGCAAGAAAATACCTCTACGAGAAGAGAAATGGGCGAGCAGCGAATGATGAGGGCGCCCAAGGAGATGGGAGTGCTAGGTCGTGAGAACATGGCGAGACCCAGACCGGATAGAACGTTTGGGGGGGCGGACTGCCGTGGCTAACACCATCTCATCTAGGCAGTCCAGGCTCGGTCACCGCACCAGAAAATGTGTCCCGGTTGACTCTGGGCAGAGACAGGAAGCAGGACGTAAAACATTGCAGTTCCACCTATGCGGGTGCGGGTAATTCCTTGGTAGGGTCAAGCGCGGCGTTGGTATTTTAAACAAGCTGTGGAGTGGTCCTTTTGAGACAGAGGAGAGACAGCTCAAGCGCGGCATTGCATGGATCATTTACCCCCCACTGCAGTAACTACGTACTACGAGATATGGAGGAATGGCCATTCGAGTTTGGAGGCGACCAGTCAACATGACATGCAGGAGCTTTGCAGGCGGTCGGAGGCGTACTGGCACTACATGCTTGCTACTTCCAGCATGCTTGAAGTAAAACCATATTATACAGGAGCAGATTCATAGCGGCAATGGTGCGATTGATTGAATAAGCAGAGGGATAAAGTGTGCAGCCCGGACCATGAAATCGGTCCGTGTCAGCGGGATACCGGGAAGTTTTGACGTTTCGGATGAAAATACCTTGTTCACATTAACCAGTTTTCGGGTTTGCCTAGCGAAGGAGAAAGCCTGGAGGCGAGAAAACAAGATGGCCAACGCGACAATGATGCCTCATTTGGCGAACATGAAAGCATTTGATTGTTGCTGTCAACCCGTGCTTGACACCGGTACTCCGTACCACAGATGGGCTTATGCACGGCATTCATTAAGTTATATGGTTCTTGCTTCGGCTGTTGCATCTCTCGGCCAGATACGAAACTCTGTAGTCACTCGGTCCCAACCTGCCTCACCCTACAGATATGTACGTATTAGGCAGGTATTTGCATGTTCTTCAACACGGAGTGTACGACCCCAGCCACCGACTCCGTCTGCTTACCTGCAGGCCGCAGGAGACACATGTAGAGACGACGCACGGAGTATGTATGTTAGTTAGCAACCATCCAGTTGCCAGTCTGCCAGTCTGCCAAAGCGGCCCCATTGACGGGAAGGAATCACGGCATGCCGACGAGCACGGCCACGGGCCAAAGGTTCTGAGTGTGTCGTGGCGGCCTGGAAGTGACCTAGTCCGTGCTACGTATTATTCTGACACTGTCGGGGTCTGGAATGTAGCTAGAAGGTCCCGAGACCAACGGGATGTCACTCTCGATGCGGTCAGAAACATTTCCATCTGGGCTGACTCTGTTGCCGTCCCTCGTTTTACATGGTGTCATGTCGTTGGTTGGCGGTTTTTGCGTCGTCTCTCGTGGGGAGGCGAGGGGCAAGTGCTGAATTAACGATAGAAGAGGGAGGAGGGACGTCCAAGATGGGACGGGGCGAACTCTCAGGTCATGTATGGAGGATGAGGGATTTGGAGCGACAGGCGGGAGACGCAACGACAGCCAGCTCGGGCAGGGTGAAGCTGCAGGGAGTAGGGAGTAGTCGGTAGTCTCGGTACAGATTGACAGCGACAGCGACAGGGTCAAGGGCTCAAGGGCTCAAGGGCGAGTGGACTGAGATGGATGGAGCTGGACCGGGCTTGTGTTCCGAAGAGGCGGACAGTCGAGTTGCAGAGCTGCAAGACGTGGGCTTCCGAGGCGGACGGACGGACGGACGGGCGATGGATGGGTGACGACGGACGCGGGGCTGGGATGCAGACACAGCTCGTGGGCAGGGCTTTGGCTCGGCTTGGCTCGGCTTGGGCCCAGGCTCAGGCTCGCCGTTGCAGACTGAAGTTGAGTTTACTGGGAGCTCGGAGGCTTGCAGGCTCTCCTTCCTGGCCGGGTCCTCCCGTCGAGAGTGCTGGTTTGGGGTACGGAGCATGGAGGAGGCGCTCACGGGCTGGGGGCTGGGGGCTGGAAGCTGGAGTTTACGCACATGTCAAGTGGGTGCACAGGGCACCTGTCGTGGAGTATCGAGACTGTGCTGGTCTGAACTGGTCTGACGGGACACGAGGTGGGAGACGCACAGTGTGAAAGTGGGGGCTCCCCCGAGTCAACGGCGTGGGTGCCAAGATGGCTGACGGCTGGCTGCCCCTCCCCCACCGTGTCAATCAATCAACGCCTCGGGCTGCCCAAGGAGAGCCAAGTTTGACGTTCATCCGTGCCTAGGACGGCTGTGGCGTGGGCGTGGGCGTGGGCATCCAACGTCCCGCCGAGACGGGCGCGACGCCAGAGCGAGAGCGACGAAAGGGAGGAACCGTCGACGACGGCGCTGGTCGATGGGGGACGGCGGTCGGCGGGTGGCGGATGGCGGATGGCGGTTGGCGGTCGGCGGATGGCGGATGGGCTGACGATAGCTGACCTGTTTGAAATTGGCACCAGCAAGACATGGACTCTCCCGCATTCTGTCTGCATACTCGGTACATACATTGCACACATACACATACACACGTACACACATACAAACCCACGCTGCCGCCACACACCCAGTCAGGACTCAGGACCGAGGACCAGGACTCGGCAGTAACCTGGACACAAACACGCAGACGGACAGCGCAGACGGGCAAGAAACAACGCACCCACAAGTCGGAGAGACACACGCCAACCACTCCTCGCTCCTCGGTCGGCTCTCTCTGGCTCTGGCTCTGGCTCTGGCTCTGGCTCTGGCTCTGGCTCCGGCTACGGCTCTGGCTCCGGCTCTGGTAATACCATCTATCTCGTCGTCACGTCTCTGCTCCATACGGACAGAGTACGGCGTACTCGTCGACACAATCCACATCATTCTGTACGCCGTGCCCCGTACACACACACACACAGGACAACAGGACACAGACACCTCACAGCACACAGCACAGCACAGCACAGGCACATTGGCCCCCCCCCCCCCCTGTTGTATGGGAAAGGATTCAAGCACCTTGTGTTGTTGAACGTCCCCCCCAGACCAGAGGCCTGAGCCCGATCCTGATCCTGAGCCCGAGCCTGAGCCATGGAACTCGGCCGAGGTTGCTGGTACCCTATTCTTGTTCCTGAATGAAGGCTCACCTCGGGTTTTTGCCTGGCTTGTCCAAACGGGCTGCCTCGTTGGTTCGCATCCCCAACCAACCTCCACCACCACCGACAACACGCAATCTGCCGTACATTCTGGTACTTGCGATAGCGACAAGCGATATCGGGCTTCCGCCATCAGCAACGGCATCGAAAAGGGTCGACGGAAAAGTCTCGACGACAAGCCCGTTCGCTCCTCTCTCACCCCCAAGGTAACTATGTCGCTTTGCTAGGCTTTGGGGGACGAAGTCGTGACTATGTCTGCCACTGGCGCAGATTCTGCTGCGCCTGACCTCGGTATCGCTATCCGCCACTTGCTCAATCAACAAGCCGATATCCAGTCGAGGCTTTCTGTTTTGATCGCCGCCCAACACGGTCTGGAAATCCCGCTTGAGCTGGACATGTTACGCCACAAGCTGCGCGTTCTTGAGCATCTGGTAGACCGCTACGGTATGTTGATGTTTCTGTACCGAAATACCAGGCCTTTGCTTTTTCTCTTCTTTTTTTTTTCTTTTTCAAAGGAACGCGTTGCTCCCTTGCCGCCGGGCGTCTCGCGACATGTCAAGTGTGCACAGGCTAGGGATCTCCCTTTGCGTGGTTATACGTGCTGCGTTATTTTGCCGGATTATGAGGCAGGCCCAATGTGGTTGTGCTCGCTGCTGACAGAAACATCTTCGTCTGTGTATAAACAGATCTGGCTTCCCAGATTCCCGTTCTTTCTGGTCCAGAGGAAGCGCGAGAACTTCAGTATCGGTGTGAGTGTCTCGAGGCCGTGTGCTTACAAAACGGTACGTTGTCGCAAATGGCTCTCTCCTCATTTTGACGGCACCCGCGAGGCACGAGGCGCGAGCTACGTCATGGCTAATGCGTCAATCAGAGGTGAATGTGATAGAGCCGCTGAAGAGGTCGCTACCCTCGGCGCCGCCAGATTTTGCTGTCTGGTTGGAAAGGCATCTCGAATTGCACGATTCGATTCTGCCCCATCGCTCTGAAGCTCACGCAGAGGCCGGTGGGTGGAAAGCCCGATCGATGCCATCTTTTAAATGTTGGCATGACCAATGCGCCCACTATGTCTACGGCTTCGCCAGCCAGCGAGAAAGAGACAGCCACAGCCTTGTTCACCAAACCTCTGCAAAGAGGGATTCTGGATTCTCCGTGGAAACCTCTCCCCTATGGCCGCCCATTAGCCAGCAATCTCCTCGGCCTCTAAGCAGCTCTCAATCGAATACACAGCCCCCGTCAGTGCAAACTGGAAGGAGGCCTCCGGCTTCCAGTCTACCAGTCCTCAGTCCTCAGCTTCCACTCAAGGAGAAGGGCTGCGTGTCCGCAAATTATACGTTTCATGCACCACCCGGACCCGGAAGCGGACGCAGAAATTCGAGCGATGCTGATTTAGAAGCCATGCTACCGCCCTTGAAGAAATCAAAGACGAACCAGCCACGATTAGAATCCATTGGAGAGCTTCGGCTTTTTCCAGAGACGGGACCGTGCCTTCGGTGCAGAGTAGCCAAGAAAATGGTACTGATGTGCTTCTCCTTATGCCCTGCGTCCATGTGAGGCCCCGAGTTGCTGATGATGTTTCCCCGTGGCCAGTGCGATAACAACAAGCCTTGTTCGAATTGTTCGGATAGTCCCCCTTGCGGAAAGGAGGAGCATTGGGGCGCGATAGGCTGTTTCCGCAACCCTCTCACTGCCTTTGCAGCCATCTTTTTACCTGGTACGACATGAGTGCGAAGAAGTCTTGTGCTGTTCTGACCACATCGGCAGGCCCAATATGTCCAAGACAAGCCCGCACTCCTATAACATCCCCTCTTTCGCAGCGCCGGGGCATAAACGAGTACCTGGAAACGGCTTGCTCCTTTCCCGAAAACTTCAAGGAGATTGCCAAGGAGAGCGTTGACTTTTCTGATGGCTTCTGGTGGTCAGCACATCTCGACTCGAGACACAGCTCTGCCGACGGGACATCGGGGTATAATCGCGACGCGCCCAAACAGGCCCCTCCAGTGCTGGCTGCCATTGCCAGCAGTTGGCACGCTCAAGATACCGCTTACAACATTTTTCGGCTGCTTCGAATCACGGGCTCAATGTCGGCGTCGCGAGAAAGCGAGGAGGCATCATTTCCAACATTATATTCTGCCAAAGTACTGCTCCGTGAAACAATATATTACGGAATCATTCACCCGGATCCCCTTTTCCGTGTTGGGTCAACATTCAGCATGCAGAATCCGCCCGAAGGCGTCGACTTGGACGAGCATGTGCGGCTACTCGAGGAATGTCTGCTGGGGTTTCTCCAGCTGTTTGACGCAATGTGCTCCTCCAAGTCAGATAAACGACCGTGTGATCTTTTTGCAGAGTTTCTCTCGGTTTGTATTTTCAGCGCAACGAGGACACTCTTGCTAGACATGGCCCCAACCTCAAATGCTACGTCAGTGTCCCAGCGCCAACTAGGCTCCCCAAGCAATAACAACCACGTTGCCCACGGCATGTATCGGGCTTTGGTCCAGCTGTTTTGTTCTTCTGGCCCGCTCTTCACGGACAGTTGGGAGGGAAGCCAGACGCATGAAGACTCATCCCTCTATTACAGCATCAATCACCTGATCCGGAGAGATATGTGGGCAAGCGAAGGGATAGAGTCGGGTGCGGATTTTCTTTTGAAGCTTGGTGATGGCCATTTTGAAAGCTGGGGCTTCAACGGTTTCCTTCGGCAACGAAAACCAAACGGCCTAGCTTGGCAGTTGTCGTCCACACCGATCCTCCATTCCGCGCAAGAGCAGCGTCGCCCCCAGCCGACTGCGGCAGCGCCGCCGCTCGGCCCGCAAACGTGGAATATAACTTTTCAGGATGACGCGGGACTGCCGCAGCGTCGCACATCAGACCTCGGGAGCTCGCCGTATGTTCCAGAGGTGGAAATGGCGAGACGACACACAGTGGGCGAAACATCTTCTGGGACCCTCAAGCAGCTCGAAGCTCCGTGGAGAACCCCTGGCTCTCCATCACGACTCAGGTCTCCGTATCACCGTCCACCTTTACGACGCGTGTACTGTGACAAGTGCCACGAGTACCCCGAAGGCTTTCGAGGGGAACACGAGCTGAGGCGACACACTGAAGCAAAACATTCGGCAATGGTCCGCCGTTGGGTCTGTTGCGAGCCTGAAAACGCAAGAGACGCTTCCCCCAAGCCAGTCGTGTCGCTATCCAGCTGCAAGGCATGCATGGCTCAAAAGCAGTATGGCGCCTATTACAATGCTGCCGCTCACCTGCGACGGGCACACTTCAGTCCTCATCGTGGTGGCAAAGCCAGTGGTGACTGGCCGCCCATGTCCGTCTTGAAAGATTGGATGCGTGAGGTGCGGCAGCCACTTGATCCTACCCAGGCGGAATACCTCAGCGGGGGGGAAGACGATGGTGGCGACCCGGCATCGGAATCATCGACGTCCACGTCCAGGGCCGTTCCGGAGGCACCAGCATCTAGGGCTCTTATGGTGTCCCCGATAGACGATCCGTGGCGACGTGGGAGCTCGAGTCAATCTACTCAATCTGGAGTACGGCCGACGGACAACCGAAGTCAATGCCCTCATCCAGACTGTGGGAGGATAGTCAAAGATCTCGCGGCGCACATGCTGACGCATCAGGAGGAGCGGCCGGAAAAGTGCCCTATCGTCGCCTGCGAATATCACACAAAAGGATTTGCTCGCAAGTATGACAAGAACCGGCACGCGCTCACCCATTATCGAGGCACCATGGTCTGTCCGTTCTGCCCCGGCGTTGGCTCACCATACGAGAAGATCTTTGGTCGAGCAGACGTCTTCAAGCGGCATCTTGCTACGGCGCATAATGTCGACCAGACACCAACAAATAACCGCAGCGGCAGTCTGGCGCATCTCCTCGACGGCCAAGGCCCAGCTTCGACGCACAGCTTCGGAGCCCGTTGCTCGATATGCGGGGGCCGCTTTGCCACCGCGCAGGACTTCTACGAGCACTTGGACGAGTGCGTACTTCGGGTCATTGTGCCCAACTTCGCCCACCAACAGCACTCGGAAGCAGCGGATTCAATCAGTCCGTTGCAAACGGAAGGCCCCAGCAGAGTCCCTTGACTTTTTTTCTCTTTTTTCCCTTCGCCTCTGCCATATCCTATTACCTTTAGCGATACGTGTTTTGTTTACCTGTGGCTCTCTGGTCGAGCCGTCGTGTTCATTTCGCCGTGCCGAGATAGCGAGCTGTATGTATAAGGCGGTAGACGGGAAGGAGAGGGTTTTCAGAACATCAAAAAGGGTGGTCGAGTCGTTGTTTTGTGTGGGAAGGGAAGGGACATTGAGGGGGAAAATACCCAAAGGCGACGCGCGCGCGTGTGCTTGAGAATTGCAATGAGAATTTCGGCAACTTTCTGATTTGGTTTGGCGCAATCATACGGGGGACCGGCGTTGTTTTCAGTCGACTAGAAAAGTTGGACAGAAATCACGGAGGACAGCCCCTCCCGTCTTACATGGCATGGTGTTGTGGAGTTGGCAGACGGTACGGTACGTTACTGGGAAGGGAAGACGACATGGTTATCGAAGACGCCTGGTAATCTCCTTGCTGCATCGTTGCTCTCGACCCCTTTTGGTCTCAACATGTGCGGTATTTCTCGGTCTCACGTAGAAGTAAGTATCCAAGAACGCGGGGTCCATGGATGAAAGTAACCTGCGCCATGTTCAAGGCACGCGGGACCATCCATCTTGTTTTCAATTCGCGCCCTCGTCATGCAAGGCACCAAGGCCTCACTTCACGTCAGCTCCTCCAGTCTGGCTCCCCCAGCAAGATTCCAAGGCTCGCGATTCGCATTAGTACTTCGGCTACTAAAGAACAAGAAAAGCTGGGTCCAAATCACAACATGTTTTTACATCGGAACTATGGCGATTATCCAACTTCACCTACAGTCTAGTCACTACACTCCATAGATGTATGTATAAAGTTGCCGTTGCCAGCGATCGAGTGGCCAGGGCAGAGAATGCTCATCAGAAAATGCCAACACTCGTTTCAACATCAAAATCAACTCCTCACCGGGGACCCATACGCCTCCGTAACCTGACAACGCCGAAACAAACACCGCCAACTGGCTCGAAAGGAGGATCCGGACTTAGATGTGCAATATACATGGTTATGCCAAAAATAATACATCTACGTATATCCGACATTAGGTATATTCGGCGCTTGTTCTACGTCACCGCTAAATCTTTTCGCGAACGACCCCGCGGGGGTTGTTCATGCTTCCCGGGCTGGAGCGCTTGAAATATTCGTGAATCTCGGCAGAAAATTCGCCATCGTCGGGCATGCCATGGTCTTTACCACCCTCAGTTTCCTTGGGGCCACGAGTAGCTTGGACAGCCTCCCACTCAGCTCGCATGTCAGCAATCTTGGCCTTCCAGTCAGCCTCCGGATCATAGGTCTTGTGAAGACCACAGATGCGCTCCCACAAGCTCAGATGTTTCGGGTGGACAGCGATGCCGTGGTACTCCTTGGCCCTGCCGTCACGAATATATCTCCACCGACGCTCCTGTTCCTTGAGGTCGAGACCAGTCGTGTCCGGGAGGTAGAGGAAGGTCAGGAACATGCCGGCGAGACCGAACCAGGGAACAACGTAGAACTTGGTCTGATCGTCGATGTAGTTGTAGAGGACAGAAGCAAGCAGAGCACCAGCCTTGCCCATGCAGGCAGAGAATCCGTGAGCGGTGGCACGGATTGGAGTAGGAAAAACCTCTCCAGCAATGAGAAAGGTGACCGAGTTGGGGCCAAACTGGTTGAAAAACGAAGATATAAAGTACATGGCCTGGAAGGAGTGAATGCCCTCGGGACTAGTGTAGTACTTGTAGCGGAAGGCGGGGATGACGAACATGAGGAAGCACATGAAGAAGCCAACCTGCTGCATCATCTTGCGGCCATAGAGCTTGTTGTCTATCAGAAGAGATGCGAGATAGTAACCGGCCAGCGAGACGGTGATGTTGACCAGGTTCCAGGTCCAGTTGGTCATGAGAGAGCTTGGGTTGTCCGAAATGACCTTGATGAACTGGCCTTGGAAGAGTTTGTTGCCGTAGAAAAAGACGTCGTTGCAGAACCAGGTGCCGGCAGTGGCCAGCAAACGGCCGCCAAAGTGGGAGAAGCAGTAGCGCAGGGCAGTGACGTCGTAGCCAGTAACATTGGTGCGGTGCTTGGCCTGGGCGAGTTGCTTGGAAGCATTGGGCATCCTCCAGGTTCTGTAGTAGACAAGCCAGAGAGTGCCAATGGCAGGGAAAGCGAAAGACAGACGAAAAGCATACTGAGCAGCTGAGGTGGTGTAAGGCGGAGCACCGGATCCCTTGTTGAAGATGACAAGCAGGACAATGAGGAGAACCTGGTTGACAAACTGGCCCCAACCCTGCATCAGAAAAGCCATGGTGACACGGCGGCCACGGTGAAGACGATCCTCCTTGGTAGACATCTTGCCAGAAGTAACAGCACTCTCGAGGGAAGAAGTGGCGGTGATGGGATACTCGCCGCCAACACCCAAAGAGTAGAAGAACAAGGACCAGGCATAGCAGATGACCCAGCCTTGGAGGGTGAGGCCCCAAGAAGCAGTGAGCATGAGAAGACCGACAAACATGATGATGGCATCTTGGATCAAGCCCCAGCGACGACCAACCCAGTCGCCAATAACCTGGAAAGAAAAGGCCTTGGTTAGCTACTGAAGGCGGAGAGGCGCAGTGGTCGGGCAGAAGAATACTCACACCAACAAAGACCTGGCCAACCATGATACCAATGATCTCGAGGTATGTGACACTGGCGAGCCAGTTCTTGCTGCAAACTTGGTGCTTTCCCCAGCACTCGGGCCAGACCTTTGCGAAGAGCGGCTCCAAATTACCAATGGAGAAAAGAACGTAGCCCTCAAGGCCAAGGCCGGCACCGGGAATCACGGCATGTCGGAAGTACCAGGCAAGGGGAGAAAGGGGATCTTTCTTCATCATTGAGCCAATGGTGCTCAGCTCCTTGGCAGCAGCCTCGCGGTCAACCTGACTGACAAACTTGACACGCTGCATCCAGGGCAAATCGGCCCAGTAGACGCCGTCAGGCGTATACGAGTCGTCGGGACGAGTGACATGGCTGAAAATGCGCTGCTCGTCGGGAGTGGCGTGGTCAAGGGTGAAGTCGTCACTGTCGTGGTCGCCAGGAGGTCCGTGGGGAATTGGGATCTCGCCAGGAATCGACGGGTGACGGCGGTGGTGACTGTGGTGAGCTCCCGAATCGGAGTCGGACGAATCAAAGCCAGCCATTCAAACGAGATTGGGTGGCGGCCGATGCTCTTAGAGAGGCGGTGCAGAGACGAGGGACGAGGGAGGGAGGCTGACGGTCCAACGCGCAGCTGCACGTTGCAGTCTGATTCGATGCTTTCGTATCCGTAGATGGGCGCAGGACCGAAGAGGGACGCCTGTATTTGTAGGGAGCAATTGTAGGAGCGGCGGGCAGGCGAAGCAGGCTATTTCGTCGATGGCCGCCGAGGCCGACGGGGGGGCCAAAGAAATGATGCCTCCAAGTGGAAAAGGGAAAAAAAAAAAAAAAGAGGGCTTGACAATGGCCCGGGGCGCCAAGTTGACGCTCTGAGGGACAGAAGCGGCTTGCCACCGTCGCAGAGGCCGAGGCGTGTTGTGGCAGGAGCTACTCGCGGAGGAGACCCCCGGGAAGCGCGATGGGAGGAAAGCGAGGAAGGAGCGCGGCCGCAGCTTCCTTGACGCGAATCAAGGATCAAGGATTGCCTTGTGTCCTGGCAGAAGCGTTGAGAGCAAAGTCTCGAGAGTCTCGAGAGTCTCGAGGCCTCGCTGTCTCTTTAAACCACATTGCATCGCGCAACAGAGAGCACACGGGACCATACGACCAGTCAGAGGCGTCCATCAAGCACCGTGTTCGATCCTCTGGCCACCATGGTGCTAAAAGCTTTTCCTGCAGGGCCCCAGGCCGTTTCCGCATCCCACGGAGCCTCAAGCCGGGGGGGCCACGGCCAGCCACGTCGACGAGGGGTTCCAGAAATCTGGGGACAATGTGCCAGTGGCACGCATCATGGGCGCGACGCCAGAGTCCCCGGCCGCTGCGGAGGGTTAAGCCATTGTTTGCTGCTGGCCTAGTGTCGGTGTCTCGCTTTATTAGCCTCGCACGCCAAATCGCCGCCTCCGGCCTGGTATGATGCTTGGGTCTCTCGAGAAAGCGCGGGACGGCACTGGGCACACGCCGGCTGGTTGGTCAATCAATGAATCGATTCCCACGACGACGGCGGCGGCGACGACGACGAATGCTACACTGGTTCTTATCCGTCCGTCCCCGGGGTCCAGCCAAATCTGCGAGACGACACTCCTGAATGCCTCGCCGAAAGGGTAGTTGGTCGCGTGAGGGCCGACAAGCCCTTTGCTGCAGACACTGCAGATGCGATGCAGATGGCGCGATGCCTGTTCCGCACAGATTGCCGGACAATTCGTCGTTGCCAAGTCAGCCAAGGCCGTCCTTCGGTTCCGTTGCCATGGCGCTCACGCGAGCCCTGCCTGCCCTTGTCCCAAGTTTTCACCGCCAACCAACGTTGTTTCACGTACCTAGCACTCCGTACTTGGGTCAGATGAGGATGGCTACCCTGTGCTGAATTCTTGATTCTTCCTTGGCAAGGCTGCATCTGCAAACATCAATGGTGTATCAGTGAAATGCAGTGCCCCTCGGACCCTGGGCCCCGGAAGGCCTCGTTATATTTCACCTCACCCGTAAGGAGTACGCATCGTTCGATTCGAGACCACCTCTCCACGCAACAATCCACTCTTGTACCCCTTCGGACGCACCTCTGATCCAATGTTGCCTCGATAAGCAACAATTCTCTGCCTCCTGCCCCGCCAAAAGAACAAAGGACCATGTAGAAAACCGCGCAAACTTGTGCCCATGTGAGCTTTATGCAAGCCCTGCCTAATGTGTCCCCCCCCCTTCTTCTCTCTGTCTCTACGTGTCGCTGCCGAGTCTCACTGACGTCCACAACAGCGGCCTCGATTCTGCAGCAGCCAGGGTCAATTCCATCCCCGCGATGGCACTAGGTTCTAGCGAGTACGTATCAACAGACCCCGTCGAGCATGCACACCTTGCGATAATTCCGCGCGGGGCATGCGTGTCTCGCGCTCGCCCGTGACTCGGAAATCGCGCTTGCCGCCGCCACACGCCGGTACACCTGCGATGTGACAGCGACGGCATCGGACACGGAACACGGCACAGGAACCACGGAACACGGGACACGGAACACGGAACAGCAGTCGAGGGGACCGCTCGACGTCCACTGCCAGCCGCATCTCGCCGCTTCACCACACACTGCTTGCTTCCGCCTTGTGGCTCACTCAACGTCAAGACAAAACCACGGCCGCGGAGGGAAAGAAGACCACGCACACAAGTCCCAGTCCGGCCACGTATGGAACAGAACATAGATGGTTTCTCAGACGCGCCATCGAGATAAACTAGAATACATACACGTCGGAACCCTTGACTAGCAAGTTGCCGCCCTTCCACTCTCACGCGCACACGCTGTAGCCCCCGAGTCCCCCAAACTCAACTCAACGCTACTCTTCATGCTTCTTCATCCATCATCCAGTCATCATCACTGCGCGCAGCAAACTGGCAGCCATATATATCCCTAGGAATGGGTCATGCAAAAGTGCGCCCTCAGCACAGGCCAGAACAAAAAATAAAAAATAAAAAAACATAAAAAAAAAGAGAAAAGGAGAAAGCCGGGAAAAGAGGATAAAAAAAAAAGAGTAACCCCCTCCCAAACTTAGTCTTCATGTCCTCGTCACAGCCCCCCTAGTTTTCACTCATTTGCGCACCAGAACACCAGCCCTACTCTGCTCTACCCTCTTGTGTACATTCCGAAGATTTCTTTTTGTTTTTCCTCCTTTCTTTTTTTTTTAAGTTCAAAAAACAAAGAAAAAAAGAAAGGAAGAAAGAAAGACAAAAAGAAAAAGAGAGCAGAAATCATAGAAATAAAAGAAACTCGTCCAGTTGACGCCTCGCTGCAGCCGCACCTACGTACAAATGGAAAAAAACAATAATAAAAGATGGGTCAAATGCGAAAAATTGAAAGTGACATCAAATATGAAGAGAGAAAAACAACTTTCCCTACAGTCCCATGTCTGCGTCTGACTTGAAAGGCTTTCCTTTGCCTGTGACGGACTTTTTTATCTCGTCTTTCCTCGTATTTGAAACGTGTAGTTCCACTGCGCACCCTCAGACGGGATCCGATTCATGTCCCGCCAGGTCGTGGTGTAGCCTCTTTGGAAGAGTCCACCGGGCCCGGCTCCGTGGCAGGGGGTGCAAACGTCAGTGGTCGTGGTGTGCCATCGGCACATTCTGGAACTGCCATGTCGGTCGGTTCCTTTCCGCCCTGCTTCCCTGCTGGAGTGGTAATAGCCTGACTGTTTGCTGGAGTGACCGTCGCTCCCCCCTCGACTGCAGCCAGAATAGGAGTGCCCATTTCTTGGGATGGTGTTGTTGCCACTTGTGTTACCGCTTCGGGGGTGCTCTCAGACCCGAACGTCACGCTATCATGACTGTCTGCACGCATCATTTCGATGGCCAATTTTGAGCTGGGCAGGGTTGATTTACCCTGCAATGGTTTGCTGCTTCGCCGTTGGTGATTTCCCTTGGAATTGCCCGTCTCTTCGTCCTCATCGTCTGCCGAGTCGGTTGCTTCGACTCCTTTCTTGTCGCTGCTTTCCCTTCTCGGCCTGATCCGGTCACCTCGGCGAAGGTGTTCCATTTGTCCTGGCGCTGATTGTTGGGCTAGTAAGGGCGGCACTGCCTTGGGAGGACCGTCTGCAGCTGAAACGATATCAAATTCCGTGATGCCGAGACCCCCTTCCTCCCATTCGCTTGTTGCTTTGCGGCTGATGACGACTGGAACATCGTCCGTTGTGACAGACTCCGAGTCCCCAAATATGCTCGAGTTGATGGAGTCTTCTCGGCTAGATATTATTGCAGATGAATGCCGTCCCGGGAAAGCAGACAGGCTTGACGTTGGGCTGTCATCGGCCCTTGATTTGGTCTTTTTGAGACCAGTGGGCATAGGGTGGGGAAGAGGCCCTGAAGTTATCCGGTTCGGCGAGGCTGGACGCCACTGACACAGGCTCCGTAGGACCTCGGCCAGCTTGGAAGAGCTGATTGGCTTCTCGATCAAAGAATCAAAGTAGTGTGGCGCCTGTAGCTCCTTAAGATATGCAGTGATTGCCACGATAGGGGTATGAGAATTCGCATTTTTGGTCTCCCGAATCATTCGTGCCACGTCGGCGCCGCTGATCTGGGGCAACTTGTACTCCAGGAAAATAACGTCGAACTGAATTTCGCTCATGGAGAAGCGAACGGCCTCGGAGCCGTTTGCTACTGATATTGTCCGACAACGGAGTTTCTCCAATAACTTTTCCATCACCATTCTCGACACAGGGTGATCTTCGCAGATTAAAACGTCAAGAGGCCTGAAGCTAGGGCCACTGTCGAAGGCAATTTGGGAAAGCCGCCGTGAACTTTGCCTGCGCCTTTGTACTCGTAGCAAAGCATTGTGCTTGTCGCCCTCGTTATCCGATGAAGAGGGAGACATGTCAAACACTTGGCTCCTCCGATTGCGATGATGCTGAAGAACATCGGATGATATAGGACTAGCTTCCTGTGACCCTACAGTCAACGACCTGGACCTTGTCGTCGAGCCGCTGTTTTGTCGCGGTGTGCACATGAGCTTCTGCGGGGATAGAGCCAGTGGTGGCGGAGCCGATCCGCGACCCTTGATGGGAGATGCAGCGGCTGTGGTTGCGGCCTTCTGCAAGCTTGGCGGCACCTTAGGCACATCAAGAGAAGAATGAGGTTGCAGTGATGGTGGCCCTGACTGATGCGAAAGACTTGAAGAGTTGCTGGATGCCTTCCGCCGACCCTCTGCTCCTTGGCCGGCTACAAATGAGACAAGTAGAGGCGATGATGGCTGAGAAACTCGGCTAGGCGATGAATTGGAGTGACTGTACCCCGATGGAGACTGCGGCCGATTTCCTGCCTTGGCATTCGAAATCGATCGGTGTAGATGTGTAGCCAGAACCGGACTGCCATCTAGAGATGGGGCTGGTGAGGCTACATTTGTGACTCCTCCGGGGCTAATGGCAGATTGCTTGTGTTGTGAAGCCATTGCATCGGCCCTCAGCTTTTGGATGACGTCCTTGTTTGCCTTCTCAAGGACTGGGAGGTTCTTGAAAGTGAAAGAGCCAAAGTCATCCGTCGCTACTGGTTCGCTCAACCTTCTTGACTTGAGATCGCGAACATGAGGTGGGATATGTAGCGGCATCAACTTGCGGTTGAGTGAATTCACTTGGGATCGGACTCGCGAAAGAGCATCGTGCGGTCGATCAGGATACTCAAGCCCACCAGCGGAAGATTGTGGAGACATTTGGTCTTCCATTTCCTCTGCAAATGATTGCAAGACAGCACCTCTGGCATCAAAGTATTCTGTGTCCTCAGGATTCTCTGGCTGAGGGACAAATTGCGCCTCGTCTTCCAGCAGACGGTCCCAGTTGATACCTTCAAACCAGGGATGGCTTCGGATTTCTTCTCCTCCGGAAGAGAATTTTTCGTCACGATTAGCTCCTAGCCGTTCCTTAGGATCCATGCACAGTAGCTTATTGATGAGATCTTTAGCTTCCTCTGAGACGGGCTCACAAACGGTCTCGTCTGGCCACTGGATTTTTCGTGCTAGAATATTATCGAATACTTTCTCGGCTTCGCTGGCGTGGAAGGGCGGTATGCCGAACAAGAACTCGAACATGATACACCCGACTGACCACCAATCGCTAGTTTCGTCTTGCTTGTCCCCATTGATTGTCTCTGGCGCCAAGTAGTCTGGAGTCCCAACGAAGCGCCGATTCGTGTCCTCGGGGTCGAACAGGGCCATCGGCGGCGGCATCATGTTCGACGGCGGGAGGGAGTTACGGGAATGGCCGTCCACGCTGGCTCTAATGTTGGGCTGGCTTGCAATCATATCCGGTGATCCATGAATGACAACTTCATCATCCGTAATGGGCGTTTTTGCACTCAGCAATTGAGATCCAGGGTCGGAGTCAGCCAGAGAGAATGATGTTAGCAGATGAGCCAGAGACTCACTGCCACCGCTATCGCTCCTACGGCTGCTGGATACCCTGCGATTCTCTGGTGGCATAGATGATGCGAGGCTGAAATACGATGGCTGTACAACGCTGCCCACGTCTGGGGTCATCATAGGTGTTCCCGTGGGAGAATGAGGGTGTCCGTGCAAGTCTAGGGAGGTCGATCGAGAAGAAGCCATGGATGTAGATCTAGCAAAGGGTCCCTGCCTAAGCAAGTCTGGCGTTGTATCCGTCGTCTCGCTATTCAGCGCGCGCTTTTGTCTGCCAACCAACCCCATTCGGGACAAACCAAAATCCGTCAGCTTTAGATGACCCTTTGGATCAATGAGCAAGTTATCTGGCTTCAGATCACGATGAATGATGTCTCTCTCGTGAAGGTGCTCAACACCCAGAACAACTTCACCAAGATACTTCTTGACCCATTCCTCCGGTAGGCCGCCGAGTACTTTGATTAGAGATGCGCAATCGCCTCCATTGAGGTATTCCATAACCAGGTAGAGATAATCCTTGCTTGAAAAGGTCCAGTATAGCTTGGCAACAAAGTCACTTTGTCCCTGCCACATCATAATTGCACGCTCTGCCTTGACGTTGCCCACTTGATTCTTGGCCACCATATCCGCCTTTTTCAGGACTTTAATGGCGAAGTATTCCCCAGTTGATTTCTTCTTCGAGAGATAAACGCTACCGAACGCACCTTTACTAATCGGCTTAATGATCTCAAAGTCTTTAATAGACGGCTGGGCGGCGCGAGCTTGCGGTGGTGCTTGCGTTGCGCCTAGACGAGGCGACGGTGGCGCTCGCATGACGAAATCCGATATAGCTGCTGATGATTGGCGTCTGTGATGGCGTACCGAATGAGAAACGGGTGAGCTGAATTCACTCGTAGGAAACATAGGTGATGCTTCAGGTGATGCTAGTCCTTCTTGATAGGGTATGACGCGTGGCTTGATACGCAACGGCGAGGAAGGTTGAGCAGAACGGGACGGCGATTCCTGCCGTCGGGGTGACGATGTCCCGGGTATGACAAGGCTTCTTCGGTGATGATGACGGGTGCTTGCAGCACGCCTGAGATCGCCGAACTCGGATATCGGTGATTCCGTTCGGGGTGCATTGAGGGAGGCCACAGATGACGATCGTCGACTTCCGTTCCCCTCAGCAAACTCGGCTTCGTATAACAGGGACGAGCCTCTCCTGGCATGACGAGCATGCACAGCCGGTATTGAGCCACTATCAACTGTGGACCGTGGCGTGGGACATTCCTTGGGACTGCTAGACCTGGTTGATGCGATGAAGGAAGCGGGACGAGATCGAATCAAGCCGCCAGAGGAGATGTCCATTTGACGCAAGGCCGCCGCCAAGGCAGAAGGGCTGGAAACCGACTGCCTTGATACCTCATCAGCTGAGCGTCCACGAGGTTCTTCACTGACCTCGACCTGGCCCCCGTCTTCCTCAACGTTGTCTGCTTGCAAGTCCTCCTCGGTCTCGTCCTCAGTTGAGTCGCTCAAACGACCAGCCGCAATCCGCGCGGCCTTTCTCATCGCTTCGTCGATACAGTCTTGCACCAGTACTGCCATCTCGATACGTATACGCTCAGCATATTCAATAATTCTGCGATGACGGAACACAGCATCAACCTTCAACCTCGCCACCTTCTCTGTATCTGAGCATAATAGTGCCAAGCCTTGTTCCTGCTCCAGTGTGTTCGTGCTCGGCGACTGCCATTGCAAGACTTGCGATATTCTGGACTCTGACTGCGGAGATTGAGTGCGTAAGTCTCCATCGTCCTGCTGAGACATCTCCTTCATGGCTGGAGTGCTTATTTCGATGGCAGTATCACACAAATCCATAAGCAACTCTACTATGCGGGCTTGGGGCCGGCGTATAGCAAACGACCTAGTCCTGGCATGCCCGAAACCACCTGTACGCTCACGAGACCGTACTAAAGAGGTACCGGGTGAAGATTGGGCAGACGGAGCTGGGCCAATAGGCATGCCCTTGTACTCTGCCATCGGTCCAGTTTGCTGCTCTCCGATCATTGAACGGCTTTTCCGAGCTTCCAGTGCATCCAGGACCCTAACAATGGCGTGCCGGTGCTCCGTCAGATTCTCCTGTGCCAATTGGACGTCCATCTCTGCACGATGTTCTTGTAGACACAAGTCGGTGTGTTTTTCAAACCACCAAGGAGAAATTTGCCGTTCACAGATCCGACATAGCACCGGCGCGGGCGGTTCCCGGGTTTGCGAATCGTCCCCACCAGATTCAGCGAGCCGTGTAAGGTAACTGGCCAGTAATTCAGCACCAGATCCAAGGGAGTCGACAATGACATCTGGCAAGTCAATTTGAATTTCTTGAGGGGCCGTCCACGGACGAAGCATCCACATAGTCTGCGAGAGGGTTTGTCAGAAGATTGTTCACCGGAGTTTGTTAGTCCTGATTATACGAGGAAATCTCACATGGCTCTCTCCTCCGGATGCACTGTCGTACACCATAATGCCTTGAGCTTCAAGATCAGCCGTTTGTGGCTCCGGTTCCCCAGCTGCACGCTCTTCTCCTTCGACTTGACCCTCGTATCGTAACTTGGACAAAGGGCCAAGTTGAACTGCGAATCGAATCCTGTAGCTCCTCGAATCGTCTTTTTTCATCGAAACGACCACGTCGGTAAATACGTTCTTGTTCTCACTAGTGATGAGGTCTGACATTGGCTTGCCACTAATGGACTCGAATGGAGTACCGACGACATCAGTCCAAGATGGACTGACCCATTTGACGGTTCCGTCCAGATTGAGGTCGACGATGGTATTGAGGGTCTGCTCTGCTGCCTCACGAAGCTCCTCACGCTCGTTTCGGATATCCTGGCTCATTGTCCTTTCCATGGGCGTGGCCTGCTGGATACGCAAAGAAGACACAGCTGGCACGGCCAGCGGGGCAGAAGGGGTTTCCATGATGCCCAAGGATTATTCACCCTCTACTCTGGTTATTCTGCTGTGTAGTCCGAAGCCGCGGAATCGCCAGAGGCGCAGCGGCAGATTGGTCGGCAACAGATGGGGCTCGAAACAGCAGCTCAAAACGTCGTAGTAGTATCGGGAAGACTCGGGGTCTGGCAAAGGCGCCAGAACTATAGAAGTGCGGGAGCTGGATACATGACTGGTGGTCGCCGGTGTAGTGATTCCCGCAGTTGTCGTGTGAAGATGGCGATGCTCAGGGGCTCAGAAATGTTCGGTCTCGCGAACGACGGAAAAACAAGGCCCTGCGGAGAGCACCGAGCGGGAAAGGGAGCGGCAGGAACCGCTCGGCTGCTCGGGGGTAGTGACTCTGTCGTCGATTGGCAAATCCGCTGAGGATGTCCAACTCGGTTTCAAGGGGAGAAAAGAATATAGCAGTCCAACTGGTGGAATGGGCGTAAGAAAACAGGAGGGACAAGCGTTTCTCGATCACTATTGTCGTTAGCAAAGCGCCCCAGATGCGTTTCCTCTCATGACACATTAAGCGGGGAAGGCGACCTTGCAGCCAATCATGTCACGCCAGCTCCCAGGCTAGTGCGTCGCCGCACCAGCTCACGGGCCCAAGCATCCACTCACGCCTCTTCATCCAGCCAGCTCGTACTTACTTAAAGTAGCAGTTATTTGTGCTGCTCTTTGGGCCAAATTTTAGCTTTTGGAACCCGTTGGCAGTTGAGCAGCTCGGAAGTAAAGTAAGGTCAATCGTCTACTTTAATTAAGTACTCAAGTACCCAACGTACCGAGGCTGTGTTCTGTCAGGTCCTGGAGCGCGTGCGTATACCTTCCTAGGTATTTTCTTAGTACGTAGGTGCCTGTACCTACCTAGGTAGGTAAGTACTTACTTAGTACTTGATACTTCAGTAGGCTGCAAGTACACCGCTGACATGCAAAAATCTTGGTACAATGTCACGTTGCGATATGAACCATGGACGAAATACTACTTGGTAATTCGGGCTGCCATTATTCTCGTCTAACGAGACCTCGGACAGCAGCAAGCCCAGTCATGAGCAGTGCCGCATAGTTTTTATCATTGCTAGAATCGGAACAGATTGAACATTATGGTTGGCCAATAAGCCAACTGACTGAACTTGACTTGACACAACTGGTATTTATTGTCACGACAAACTGCCGCACGGTTTCTGCTACTGACAAATTGTGACCGCAACATGACTGGTCTGTTATTTCTGTTCACCTTGCCCTCCATACGCTATCATTCTCTTCGTCGTATGCTGGGTGAATCGAGACACATACACCTAGTATTATGTGGAGGCAGACGTCAAGACCGAAGATGCTGCCAGCATCGTGACACGATATTTTCGCCAGTTTCGGACACAGATGGCCCATTACAAGACATGCTGGTTGAGTATATCGAAGTGGCTAACCAGAGGTGTTGACTGGATCCATTCGCAAGCAATCATTGCAAATGCTCCCGTATGGCGACGCATCATGACGAGCCGGTGGCTGACCAGGCTTGCTTGAGCGATTCCAACCATTCTCCCTTTTCCGCCCACCGCTGCTCAAGCCACTGTGCTAGACCTTGGTCAGACTCGGGCAAAGTCTCAAGGGGAAATCTCCGGACATGGATATGGAACCTGAATCGGTGTTTCGTGCTCAGATCTGGTACGCTCAACGTGTCCCACATGCGTGGTGCTTCATGGAAGACGCCACCACACTGATAAGCAATTGTAAGGTCGTAGACAGCCTTGACATGTGGAGCCTTACGCAGATGCCGAATAGTGCTGATGAAGCCTTTGGTGCGAGGGTATAAGAGATGCCTGGGCTGGGGCCTGTCATTCTTTTTGCACCAAACTTGAGACTCGGCCAGCTTTTTCTTGGTGAAACGCGTCGCCTCGCTGAAGCTGATAAGCCCTGTCAGTGAGTTAGACTCCCGTGACAGGGGAACTTAATGGAAAGCAGGCGGCGAGGAAAGACTCGTGGTTTCGAGATTTGTCGCGACTCACAGGTAGGAAAGCTGTGAGAGACAAGACCGGAGAATACACGATCAAGCTCGGCCTCGTCCTTGAGCCAGTTCCGACTGACCATGGGCATGCCCATGGCCCAAAGCCCCCATCCCAGGAAGGGAACGAATTTGAGCTGACTCTTGGCAAAATACCTGCAGTAGCCCAGCATTCCGGAACGTCGAGCGACAGCCTGGATCAAGTAGAAGTCGGACCAAGCAACATGGTTTGCCACGACGATAGCCGATTCGGCACTGGGCAGGAAGTCGCCAGATATCTCAACATGGGCTCCATTGAGAGCCTCGAATACGAACTGGATCCACGCCCAGACAGTGAAGGCTAGATATGACGATGCATGGTAGACCCATCTGGGAGCGAATATGGCAAGAGGCAGAAGCATCGAAACCGATATATCGACCAGCAACAGGTACAGCAGCCATGGCACTGTGATGATAAGGCCCCTCAAATGGGTCCAGGGCGACGAGTGCTGGGACATGTAGACGTGGAAGGTGAGTGAGAGGGGCCGGTTTGGTTGATGAAGAAGTGGCGGTGCTAGCTTTTGACTGATATCGACGAAGCTCAGTCACATCACTTGCCAGGGATGAAGGGAGGAAAGGGACGAACTACGTATCAGGCGTCATCCTCTTTAATTTTTTTCTTTTTTTTTTTCGGTCTGGTGAAATGACACTAACCTCAGAGAGGAAGCAGTGCTCACGCAAATATAACGTTAGGTTTTGTAACTGCCCGGCTTACCAACGACGGGAGGACCAACTATCTAGGTACCTACCTAGGTAGGTAGGTACTTACTTAAGTACTTCTTACTTAAGTACCTACTCTGGTGCAAGGAAATACCAGACGATGCAAGGGTCAACGCGCCTCCAGCAGTCTGCTTGTGCCGGCGCACAGATGCCACGTTGGCCTAGCATTGAAAGACGCCAATAGGCAGTTATGTGCAACAGTCTCCTTGACTTCCTACTGGTTTCGATTTTGTGCGCGATACGACCCATCAATACCCGAGGGAGATAGCTACCTCAAGTACCTAGGTAACTAGGTACTCAGGTAGGCGCCAAGTCTCACGTGGTTAGGGGTGGTTCGGGGGCACCGTTTCGATTTACACCACCGGGGACTTGGCAACGCGGCTGTCCCGGAAACTCGCAGTGGCGCCTTGGCAGCAATTGGCAGCAGGACCAGTTGACGGGCTTTCCATCAATTGACACTCCGAGGTGCTCCCGTACTTGAGTAGGTACTTAAGTACTTAGTGACTACTTAATTACTGAAGTACTTGGACGGGACTGCCAGTTGACGCCCTTCAGAACGCCAGTCCAACCCAACCGCTATCAGACCTGTTTGTTCCTCCACCAAGGTGACGGATCCTGCATGAGCCAGGCTCTCTTGGCTTCTTCCACTTGTGACTTGGCCCGGCCATCTTACGCCTCGACGACAATATTACATCCTGCTCAACATCCTCATCAAGGAGGCCAGTTGGGCCACAGACTGGACCCCGCCGGCTGGTCCGTCTGTTTGCTCATCCGCACAATTGTCCCTGGGCCCAAGCTGCCGTCATTCACACGGATCGGCTTGATCAACCCACCGTTTTGACGCATTGCAGCTTGGCGCCAGCGCTGAAACTCTATCTGCTCGCTTCATCGGTGAAGGAACTTGCGCCTGTATATCCTAGGGGCAACTCTACCCGTCCCGCTTGTTCGACTGAGCTGGCCCTCACAACTGCGCCGTCTCCGACTGTTTGAGCCCAGACGTGCGTGATACGTCCCGACCTCAGACCTCACAGCGTCTTACCGTCGCCATGTCGTCTTCGTTATCTCCTGATCAGTTTGGAAGCGCTCAATCCCATAGCTCCCCGGACGGCACTGCGACCAGCCAAGATTGCAGCCCGCTTAATCTCGGCTTTCTGAAGTCTCTGACTGAGAAAAGAACCACGCGAGGTCAGTTGGGTGGCAGCCACCAAATACCCTTGGGGCGTTCCGAGCTGTCCGCTGATCCGTTGAACAAGATGGCAACCCGGCCAAGCGTCGTGGCCCAAAGCCCGATAGTAAGCCTGCTCTCACTCGGAGGCAAGAGTTGAACCGACAAGCACAAAGGTAACGTGATGGCCAGCTACGGTGCCTGAAAAAGAAGCTCATCGTCATTCAGGACCCATCGCGAACGCAAGGAGCTCTACATTAAGGCGCTTGAGGATGAAGTCCTGAGGCTGAAGGAACTGTACAGCAACGCTTCGCAAAGCAAAGAAAAGCTGCTGGCTGAAAACAAGTACCTGAAAACCATCATGGCTCAGCACGGTGTAAGATTTCCGCGATCCGCAGACCGGGACAACGGAGGGAGTCCCGGCGCATCGGGCGCAAGTCCCGGCAACAGCGGTGCTCCGGGTTCCTATGCCTCCTTCTCTCCAGGGTCACAATCAGGGACTTCAACCGGCCATTCCACCAATTTTCAGCTCATGGCCGGGCAGCAGATGCGGAGCGCGGTACAACAATTGGCAAACAAAGGCGTCGATTTTGAGCAAGCCGGCATTGATTTCGTTTTAACGTACGACAATCCCGCTTCTTCGAGGGCCTACCCATCACCTCCTCCACAGTGAGAAGGGACCGAGTGTTCTTTAGGGAGGGGGGCCACATATATCATGGGGTTGCAAAGATAGAGTTTGCTAACAATTTCGGTTTTATCCGGCCTGTCAAATAGACTTGAGAAACCTTGCATGCAACACTTGCCCTTCCTCACCAGTAGATCGGAGGGAGGCGACCCATGTGGCCATGCCCTCATGGCCTCGTGCCCGCCGGCTCCTTTCGGCAAGTTGACGACAAAGACACCATTTGGAAACACGCACACGCACGACCGCGGAGACGGAAGCAACCCAGCTCAGGGAACATGGGAGATTAGCAAGGCTGATCTGTCCACCTTGCTTGACCTGAGCCAACGGCTCGATCTTGATGGGGAGATTACCCCCGTCATGGCTTGGGGTATGATTCTGAGTCATCCACGATTCGCCGACTTCCAGCCAGAAGACTTTGCAAAGATTGCCGCGGAGTTGGGCCGCAAAGTGAGGTGCTATGGGTGAGTTCCGGCTCGTCTTGGATGTTCGATGTTCCGAACATTGGCTGTTGCCACCTCACTGACGCTACCACTTGCCTAGATTCGGGGCTGTCATGGAGGAATTCGAACTAAGAGATGCCTTTGAAAGCGTGCTGCCCTCGGGTATGGAGCCAGAGATCATGGCTCACTGATGCCCTGGAATTCTACGGTCGTTGCGAAAAATTCGAGCAAAGGAAAGGTGATCAACAATGGTAGGACATCTTCCGGTGATGGGGATGGGGAAGGAGTTGTGTTGGAGCCCATAGCATCATTGTCTACAAATGGAAGCAATACCACACATGTTAAATTTTTTGGAATTCAAACCATTTGATTCTTTTGGAATGTGAACTCGACAAACTGTTGTACATCTGACTTGCAAGCTGACAAGAAGCAATCTCAGGGTCAGCCTCCTGGACCCTGGACCCTGGACAGCAGAATTGGAAAATGTGGGCTGTGGGCGGTGGGCGCCAGCTGTTGCCAGCTGTTGCCGGCTGTTGACTGACTGGCCGGCGCGGGCGACTCAAGTTTTCGGCAGCCCGCCCCACACCCCACCACAATTTCATTCAACTTCGAGAGTCCAAATTCCCTACACCGCGAGACGACGATTGAGACTGCCGCTCTCTGCCATCCACCATCCATCACCGTCGCTGTCTGCTTGAAAGACACTCAAGTCTTCAGGATGGCTGACCACCTCGACTTTGTCAATGTTTGCGAAAGATGCCCCCCGGGCGACGGCTGGGGGCCGCCCCTATGCGCCATTCTCCAAGGGTGACAAGCTGGGCCGCATGGCTGACTGGACGGCTGAAGGCAAGGATCGCGATCGTGGCCGAGCTCAGTACAATAGAAACTACAGAGGTAAGCGCCCTGTCCCGGGATGGACTGCGATCCTTGTTCCAGATTCAAAGTGTGGCCAACATGACATGTTTCCTATTCTTGTGCAGATCAACAAGCCTACGGTGCCAGCCATGCCGTCACCTTCAACGCTCCTCCCGCCGAGGACGAATCTACCTTCTCCCTCGTCAGCAACACCAGAGACTCCACGAAATCACGATTTGGCCGCGGGGCTGTGTTCACCCGGGGAGGCCGTGGCCAGCGTGGCGGGCGTGGTGACACCCGTGGCGGACGAGGCCAACTGCAGCGCTCTGGAGCCGGTCGGCAGGGCTACGACCGCGGCGGCCGATCCAATGCTGGTGCCCGAGGCCGCCGCTTTGGTTGGAAGGACTACGATAAGCCAGCTCGCAGCCGCGATGCCAGCATCAACATCAAGGCTGACTGGGAGTTGCTCGAGGAGATTGACTTCAACCGCCTGGCGAAGCTGAACTTGGACGCTGATGATGGCGAAGACCTCGAGGACTATGGCTTCCTCTACTACTACGACCGCTCCTTTGACAAGCAGCCCGTCAAGGGCGCCGAGAAGAAACTCACGGCCATCGATCGCGCTGCCTACAACGTCACCACCTCCTCCGATCCGGTCATCCAGGAGCTCGCCGAGAAGGACGAGGCCACCATCTTCGCCACCGACACAATTCTGTCAATGCTCATGTGCTCTCCCCGATCCGTGTATCCCTGGGATATTGTCATTGTGCGCCAGGGCAACAAGATCTTCCTCGACAAGCGTGACAATGCGACCCTCGACATGGTTACCGTCAACGAAAACGCTGCCGACGCACCTCTCGACGCCGCCGACGGCGGCAAGGAGGGCATCAACCAGCCTGCTGCCCTCGCCGAGGAGGCCACCTACATCAACCACAACTTTGCCAACCAGGTGGTGAACGAGAGCGAGACCTCCAAGGTTGACATGGCCCACGCCAACCCCTTTTACAACTCATCCGAGGACACCGACCCGCCCGCGAGCAAGGCGTACAAGTACAGAAAGTTCGACCTCTCTACCAACGAGGAGGAGCCCGTGTACCTGGTTGTCCGTACCGAAGTCGATGCCGTCCAGAAGGGCGCCGGCGGCGGCGAGGACCAGCTCGTCACCATCCGGGCCCTCAACGAGTTCGACAGCAAGGCCCAGGGCAGCGGCGGCGCTCTAGATTGGAGGAGCAAGCTCGTCACCCAGCGCGGTGCCGTCGTCGCCACCGAAATGAAGAACAACAGCTGCAAGCTGGCCAGGTGGACCGTTCAGAGCATTCTGTCCAAGTCCGACATCATGAAGCTTGGGTACGGCCTGCCCCCGCGCAAACCAAAACCAGAGCCCTTTCTTTCCTCGCTCTTCATTGTGTGAAAAAAGTCCCAGGTACTGATTTTTGTTTCTTCTTTTCCAGTTTCGTCTCCCGAGTCAACCCGCGCTCCAACGACAAGCACGTCATCCTCGGCGTCGTCGGGTGGAAACCACGAGACTTTGCCAACCAGATGAACCTCTCGCTCTCCAACGGCTGGGGCATCGTCCGCACCATTGCCGACATGTGTCTCAAGCGCGAGGAGGGCAAGTTTGTCCTGGTCAAGGACCCCAACAAGTCCATTCTGCGGCTGTACGAAGTCCCCGCCGGCAGCTTCGACGAGGACGACGACCGCGAGGACGAGCAGGGAGGCGACGAGGTGGGCGAGGATAACGAGTAGAGGACAATGTGATGATTTTGCCCAAGGGTAAGGTTTTCCAGCCCGTCCCCGACGTATATGTGGCGCGCTGCGTGGGGGAGGAGGGCAAGTCAAGTCAATCGGCGAAACGCATCCACGACGGGAACAAGGACGAGGAAAAAGGTTTATATACAAGAAACGAAAATATACTTTTTGTTTCTGTTCGGGAAATTTTTTTTTTGGGGGGGGGCAAGGGGGAAGAGGCTGTGGGGAGCCGTGGGACAAAAAGTTCAAAGAAGGGATTTATTTTCGCAGGTTACTTGTAGGTCTCGTAGGTTGTAGGTGTGCTTGCAAATACAGGCGCGTGGCAGAATGGTGTTCTGGTTTCCCTGGGCCCTGGAGCGATGCGTGCGACTACCGGACGCATTGACAACCACCTCGTTGCGCGCAATCAAGGGTGGCTTTGTGCTTGCTTGCTTGCTTGCTTGCTTGCTTGTGTGCCATTGCTGTCATGCTGCCTCAAGTACATAGTTACATCTTCGCGGGTGCTCGTTTGCCCATCGTGTCTACCGCCTTCGTGCCCGCGTAACAAGTGCCCGCGTTGCGACGTCCCTTGTTCTCGGCCACGACAAGCTCAATGGCGCCCTCGTGAACCACGCATTGTCCCGATCATCCCCCCGTGGGGTGGGGGGGGAGAGATATCTATTTCTTTCCCTTTTCCTTTCCCTTTCCCTTGCTTTCCTTGTGATGACGAAAGACACAACACGTAATGTACACTGCGCTATCCCGGGCGCAAACCAAATGACTTTGGAGATATTACTCTCGGAGCATTCTTCGAAACCCCTCCAGACCGACATTGATCGTAATCATCCGCTTTTCTCTACCTGGCATGTGCGCAACCACCGTGTATCCTTGCCACGTGGAACGAGCGGTACGTGGTGTCGTGCCGTTTCCACTTCGACGTACGTACTTCTGCTCACGCACGGACTGTAGCCGCGGCTCTTTGCTCGCCATGCCCTGGTGTCTTATCGTCATGGTGTGCCTGGTGTTTCTTGGACACGGGCTCGGGACCCGGCGACCTGGATGATGACCTGCCGCGTCGGCCGAGCGCGGACTTGTTGGTGTCGGCGGACTCGCGGTGAAGAGGTGCAGGACTCCAAGGACCGGCGGCGGACCACCCCGCGAGGGGCTGCTCCCTGTCCAGAGACTCTTTACCGACGCGAGCCCACGCCATTCTCGGCTGTATGCTCTCGGGGATCTCGTACGGCCTCGGCGGTGCGGATCCCAAGCAAGCACGCCTGTGGTAGCCGCTCCCATGGCGGGCCGACTCCCTCGCTGGCTCGGCATGCTTGTTGTTGTACGGGTGGTGCGGTTCATTGTGCGCGGCGCAGGGGTTGATGTCCTTCTCGTCGCGGCTCCTGTTCCGCGGCGGCAACAGCGAAGGGAGCTGAGTCTGAGGATATGTTCCGCACTCCCCCGAGCGTTGGTGGTTCCTGGATCTGCTGTTGAGGACCTGCGTGCTTGTCGTCGGTGGAGGGAGCTTGAACGGCGGCGGAGACGGCTGTGTAGGGTGTTTGGACATGGTCATGGTCACTCCCGGAGCTGTGGTATGCATGGGCGGCAGAGGGTTTCCGGACCAGTATGCAGAAGACGGGTATCGGGGCCCTGGCGAGTTCGGGAGAAGAACACGGGACGGTACGGAGAAAACGGGCCTCGTAGCGGGATGCTGTTGCCTGTCTGACTCGAGGCTGTGGGAGCTCTGCATGAGGGCGAGAGCCTTGGCGGCGTTTTCCTCGTCGCCATACATCAGGAACCTGTCGAGGTCTCCGCGTGCGGTGTACACTTTGGACGTGGTTTGAGTTGCTTTGTCTGCTTTTACTTTGAGGGGAGGACCCTGACCCTGACCCTGACCCTGACCCTGAACATCTACCTCAGCACCTCCACCTTCGCCTTCACCACCACCAGTGGCTGGGGGTACCTCGATAATGGATGGAGGATTCCTCTTGCTCTTGGTGAGCTTCTCGACCGGCCTGGCCGTCTTGTCCCTTTTGGCGCGCTTCACGGCCGTCTTCTTGGCGTTGGAGTCGCTTTTCTTGGGAGGAGTTTCCCAGTCTGCAGAGTTGTGATCCAGGAGGTGATTATTGTTCTTTAGAGGCCCGGGGATTGCTTCGCTGCATTCCCGGCAGATACACCACGAGCAGTGTAGACACTTCTGAAGGACTTCGCGGCCCTGGAGTTGACACTGATCACACTTGGCCGTGGCCGCGCACAACTTGGTCCAGCCTTTGTGGATGGTCTTGCGCAAGGCCTTTTCGAACTTTCCCGGCTCGTCGGCCGGGGTGGTAGGTGCTGCTGGCTCGCCATGGTGGCTGTGGCTGCTCAGCAGCGAACGCTCAGCCGGGGGACTCATTGATGTGCTGTTGGGCCGTCTTCTCTGCCGTGCAGTGAAGACGACGTCAAGTGAAATACTGTCTAGCTTGGAGGCGGGCCTTCTGTTTGTTTGTACGTGTAACAAAGAGCCGCCTTCAGGCCGAGGGACAGTTTCGTGTTGGACAATGGTGGTGGTGGCCTCCGGGAGGCGTGGACACAAAGGAGCAGAGCTGCGAGACGCCAACCGTGCGGCTCGGAACAAGTGAGCGTTTGGGTTCATATACTCACCGTCATTGCCCGTCAACGAGCACCTTGCTTTTCACCGTGGCGTGGTGGTGCCATTTTTCGAGGTCAAGTGATGCTCGGCCGGTGTCTGAGGAGCATCTCCGTGGTCAGGTTCAAACTTCAGACGAATTGCCTTTGAATCACAAAACAGCAAGGATGGCGCAAGGTCTTGAATGAGAATGATCATCGCGGCTTGCTGATACAAGGCTGAGTGTGTGATACTGCTTTGTCTGTTTTTAGTCGACTTTGATGCATGGTTCGCCAGCTTTGATCGGGGCTCGTGCGGTTGCCCTCGATCATGCGAGTGTTGGATGATGAAGCCTGCCTCCTTGTTGCCCAAAGCTAGTCCTCAACAAACGTGACACGCTGCGAGTCCAAAAATGGCAAGTCTGGTCGTGACTGGAGTGAAAGATGCCAGTCCAGTTCCCGCCGAAGGCTCCTGGGCGTGCGTCTTGGCTGACACTCAATGCTCGCGCCGTCGCATAACTGGTTCGTGTTGAGTGGCCATGGAGGTCAACTCTGTGCTCGCGGTGACGGTCAGGGCAGCCAGAGGCTCTCGTATCTGAGATCTGCCCAATGGCCCCGTTGTTGCCAAGATTTCGCAACTTGCTCGACATGGGCGCGTACAGAGTAATATTTAGCTTGAGACTCGCAACTCGGAATCAGGGGGCCAAACATGTTGTGAACTTAAGTTGAAAGCCCCTACCCGCCAGGAAACAAACAGACATGCTAATTTGGACCTGTTGTAGGGTTAGTCTTGATTTGACCTACACAGCCTGCAAACTCGGCGGTTCGACAAAGCAGAAAGACGACGCAGTTCGTACTGTCAAGCAGTAGGTTTCGCAGACCAGGTGTCGGTACCGCTTGGAATCATGGCGAAGTGCCGCCTTTGCATGATCAAATCCTATCCTATGTAGACCTTGTACGAAACCTCGTCAGCACAAGACGTGGAAACTCTACTCGTCGTCTGCAACGAACCTTGCGGCCCTTGACGAAACCAAACGTTGCTTCGACAAGTCAAGAAGTAGCTGCACAGGTTACGCAATTCTGATGGCACGTCACGGGACAGGTAACTAAGCTTCTTCGCAGCTACCTCTTTTCTCCTTGGGATATATGCCAATGCGAAACCTACGACCTGTTGTACTCTGAGCTCATCTTCTTGGGTAACAACATTTCGGTTCCCTCACTGATAGCACAATGGGTCATGATCGGCCAGTCCTAAGAGTCGAGGCGGCAAGTTTTATACCCTTTAGAAAATCTCGTTCGCCCACAGTCAGTACACATCAACATGTCCCAGCGTCTTCAAGCATGATGTGAAGCGATCTCGCCCCATCAAATACTCTTCGCCCCCCAATATGGACAGGGACTTGGGCGCGGTCTGACATATCTAAGCCAGCGGCATTTTCCAATTCTTGCGAAACCGGATGGCTAGTCACTTCTTCGTTCACGGCCAGCTAGGAGTGCAACATTGCTCGCAGGGCACTTGCTCACTTGCCTTTGCAAATTGTCGACATTTTACTTGCGGACGCTGGGGGCTCCGTTCTCTCATGAACCCGAAATATTTGAGAAATTCAAAGTGCCGCGTCGCACCAAGGTGACGCCATGTAGATATGGCTGATACCCGCCGGCGAACCTCGTCAAAAGTGGTAGTATTGGGAAGCGAACCTCGGCGCTTGCTCACACATGTGCGGCTCTGGCCATTTTCGTTTGCTTTCATGTCTATTATCAAGGATGAATCAAGACGATGCCTGTGCAGCCTTGGACCATCATCCATCATCAGCTCTTCTCATGCGACATGGTGTGTTGACCGATTCCTTGTAGAAGGAAGCCTTTAGGACGGACGTCACCAAGTAATTCGAATTGTGGGACCAGCAAGGCAAACGTCCATAATTCAGCTGCATTTGACACGGTATAACTACGGAGTTCTCCGTACGGGGTGCCGTAATCTTTCTTGGTTGCAAAGCCGCCGTCGTCATTATTCCCGTCATAACCGTCGGTTTGAACCAACCACGTCAGCCGTAAGGGAAGGACAATCTATCTCGCAAGTGGCGGGTGTTGCCGCGACGGATCGGAACATTCAACGTGGTGGCAGTAGTCGTACTAGTTAGTAGGAGTCAGCAGCCAGCACGACGCAAGTTATTAAAAGGAAACGATGCTCGAGTCCCTCGACGAAACGAAACAAAGGGCGGGCCAAGCGACACGCCGTGCCAGGCCCTCGTCTGATGGGCAGTGCCGCTCCTTGGCCGCAGAACGGCTCGCTGAGTGGCGGGCGGGAATGCACGGCCAGTGAGGCGCAGCGCATTAGGTGCGGTGCATCCTCTTCTTTGCCGTCGTCTTCTGCTTGGCCTTTTGTTTCTTTGTAGTGTGAGATACCGGCATACTGCGGATGGCTGGTTGCGGTGAGGAAATGAGTCGAGGTGGTTTCGACTTTGAGGCGAGGCTCATGGTGTGGTTCAACACGGTACGAAGCACCGAGAGTTGGGGAGAATGAATGCTGCCGTCAACGGGGTTATTGCCCTAAATATTCCCACGGGGCACTCCGTAGATGATGACAGCGTACAGAGCACTCGACGGCTTTGCCGAGCAAGCTTATGCGACGTGAGGGCAACAACTACCCAGGTACGTACCTCTAAGTACTTACTTGGTGTGACCCCCAGCACAGAGTCACACGTCGACGTGTTTTGTCCGGCGCTTGTGGTTTCGTTGCAAGAATCGAGGGAATACTCTACTCAGGGCGCCCGGCGCTGCGTACGTATGCTCAGCACGCAATACTACTTCATTCAACCAAGGAGTCCGGAGTTCGCGCCCACGTACCTACGGAGTGCTCAGTACAGAGCACGGCTTACGTGCCGCAATGTTCCATGTTCCTCCACGTACGTACTCCGTGCACGCGTAGATTCCCGCGGTCAGGTGGGTGCAAAGTGTTCCAAAACCAAGCAAGACGACGTCGCCACCTACCGCCGAGGCCCAGCCGGCCGGCCAAAAAGGACCGGTTGAGTTGTACAGGTCCAAGGTTGAATCAGTCGGGGGGTTCCATGTCCGAACTTCCATGCCGCCATCATTCATATCATCATCAGCAGCAGCGAACGTAATGAGCCGCGCCACAATCGGCCGTCCATGGTCCCCACGGCGCCAGCAGGCTCACTCCAACCAGCGATCAGATCAGGTCACAGCCACAGCCACAGCCCCCGGTCCCGGAACGCCGGCATCTCAGGGCCCCAGATTTGACCTGGCCTTTGCCTGATGCAGTTGGTACGGGGCTGGCTGCTCTCAAGCGCGAGCTGCTTGGGTGTGGCGGCGCCACGGGGCCCGCCGGCGCACGGAAGGGTTAAGCTCAGCTGCGAAGCTGTCTGGGCGGCGGCCGCCCTGCGAGGGTTGTCGTGCGAGTCTGGCAGCTGAATTGAAGATGCCGGGCCAGAGTTAATTGTCCATGCCCTGCCCGGCTGCGCACCTCAAGGGCGGTTAAGCACCCGGTGTTTATTTTCTTCAGCAGCTCGTGAGCACGCTGCACAGTACTCGGCGCAATACGGAGACGTGATCCCGCCAGCATCTGAAGCCAACCGGTCCTAGTCCGGCCTCGTCGTCTCTTTGCCCCGCCGTTGGTACATGCAGTACGGGGTAAGAAAAGTACCTCAACATCCAACGTCATTGCAATCAGACGTTTGGTATTCTGCGCCAAGCCGTGCCTTAAAACGACCTTGACGCGCGCGTTTTCGTGCTACCATTGCGGGCTGCTTTGTGCAAACACCATCCATGTCTGTTACAGTTTACCGAGTGCTACGGAGTACTAGTCGAGGAAAGGGTCTCCCTTTCATTTTGTCGCCGAGTCGCGAAAAGCCCGCCCCATGAGCCCGCCCAAGGCTGTGTGCCACGATGTTCAGGCATGCCGTGTCCACGTCCTCGTCCGCTCCCGCGGGGCTCCCCAGGCCCCGGCCACCAGGGCAGGGCAGCCTGCAAACCTCGAGTACGGAGTACTTGCTTGGGTAAGTAGGAACCTAGGTACTTGATTAGCAAGTAGTGTTGCGGAGTGCCCTGGTAGGTACGGAGTAACAGGTACGTACTGATACAGCCCACCAGCGAGCGGCCACTGACCTCAAGTTTTTGCTACTGTACGGAGCAAAGTCAACATATCTTGATTACGGACAAGACGGACCAGACAGACAGTCTGGAATCAACTGACCAGGTCTGGTCTGGTCTTGACTCTTGACTCCGTACACGCGCGCTAGCCTGCTGCATCTAGGCCTATTGACCCTGACTTGTATGGGGACCTGCCTTGGCTCCTCCAGTTTGGGGCTGGTATCTGGACATGGGCACTAACTTAATAAGCTCCCGTGCTCCGCCATTCCGAGTACCTCGATATCCAACCAGACACACCCCCCTTCGCTCCGCCTCCAATCTCTCACTCCTACTTTTCTTCGCCTTTATTTTTTTTCCCCTAGAATCCCATTCCTGTATTGCTTCTGTTGAATATCCCTCGCCGTCTTTCGCGTGCGCCCATCCCCCATCGCCTCGCTCTGTACACAGCTCGTCTCCGTCTCCACCGCCTCAAAATGTCCAGCCAAGAGTATTACCAGGGCCAACAGGGCGGCTATCCCGCCCACCCTCAGCCTGTAAGCCCCGAGCCGTTCAAGCAAAGGCGCTCTCGTCTGTCCGCTCTCCGCGGCGACAGAGTCCCTCGAAACTCTTGATGCTGATGCCTCTCGCGTTCTGCCACCCTCCAGAGCTACGGCCCCCCCCAGGGTCAATACGGCCCTCCCCAGGGACAGTACTATGGTCCTCCCCAAGGCCAGCCGCCCATGCAGTACCAGCAGGCTCCTCCCCAGCAGGAATCTCGCGGCCGACGCGGCGGCAGCAACAACTGCCTGATGGCCTGTCTCGCTGCTCTCTGCTGCTGCTGTGCCGTCGAAGAGGGCTGCGAATGCTGGTAAGTCTCCCCTCCTCCGTCCTGGCGGAGCCAATGCCTCAACACCACACACCGCCAAATGTGTCGTCGTGAGATCCCGACGCGGCCTGGCCTCGTGCGGCGCACGCACAAACACATCCCCTTTTCCGGCAACACGCAGCAATCAAGAAAGCGGTGCTAACCCGTCCTCCAGCATCGAGTGCTGTGAGTGTCTCCTGTAGGTGACACTCGGCCCATGCAACAACGCGAAACCCACCGGCCACACTCGGCGACCTGGAGCTCTCCCAAAGCTGGCCGCACCTACGCCTTGCAAGCGCCAGTCGCCATAAACACGGATTCTCTGACCAAACTACGCCGAGAAACACCATCAACTTTGGTCTATTCTACTGCTACATATATCGCCCCTGCTCCCCCCCTTTCCCCCAAGTACGCCCTTCTTGTCCCCAACGTTCCCTTTGCAAGGCGACGACGACGCACTTCCGATCCACCATCATGTGAATAACTATCGCGAATGGGACAGGCCTAGAGAGACAATAAGATTTGTTGGCTCAGACGCGACTCGCCAAAACGGTTTATGGCGTCCTCTGTGTATTTTTCTGCTCTGCCGCTGCCGCTTCGCGAGCCACCTGACTGTCGTCGCGTTCTATTTGTTCAGCATTCGGGCTTGTTTATTTCACGTTAGGAAAGGCCTTTGGCTCTCACGGATCATGATGCGCTGTGGAGACCCTGGCTGTTTTTGAGCACTAGCCTATGGTAATAGAGGGTGGTGTTTCATAATACTACGCGGTAAAGTGACCGATGATTTGTGATACAAAAGCTTAATGGCTCAGCTTTGACGAGTGACGCTGATGCCGACAAAATGCGGTGTACGGAGTAGTTACCGTGGCAAGTACCGCGCCCAACGACTGGACATGAACGGATTTTATGACCAGTCTATCCGCATCTCGACCACAAAACGCAGATTGAGGCAACACGGATGCCCTCAACCCGCAAAATTGCTCCAAACTCGCGCCGCAGCATGCCTACATCAACTTGCTCATTTCTTTCATACCACCACCGTCGGTGGGCCCAGTAATTGTGAACTGTTTTCTGCTACCAAAAAAACAAACAACAAAAACAACCAAATACAAACAAATTCAACGACTTGCGGAATACAGCAACGATCCCCTTGATCCTTCAAGCCTTGGGGTCCACCTGCACGTAGTTGGATGGGAAAAGGCCCGCATGACCACCGTAATGACCAAACCACCAGTCGTCATCAGGGAACTCGAGGTTCGTAATTTTGGCATCTTCCGGGAATGACAATTCTGTTTCAAGACAATGTTAGTCGCCAAATTTGGTAGGCCGCCAGGTATCTATTCGACTCACCATTATCCTCCGCCGCCTCATAGTCGTACAAAGCTGTGGCAGTTGGCTTGGCCGTCGCAGGTGCGCTTGGAACTGCACGAGCTGCGAGCGAGGATGCCGACGGTGCTTCCCCAGCCGCTGGAGCTGCTGCTGGGGTGGCGCCGGTCTCCCCCTTGATCAGCTCGACATAATTGCTGGGGAATAGCCCGCTCTCTCCCAGGTGATTCGTGCCCATCCACCAGTCCTCGTCTACCATATCAATGTTGATAACGATCTGACCTTCCATCAGGTCAATTTCATTGCCCTCAGCCTTTTCATAATCGTACATAATCACTGCACGGTGGCCTTCTGCAGCAGCCCCATGGTCTGCCTCCGTCTCCGGCTCCGGCTCCGCCGGTCCACCAACTTCTGGAATCGGAGGTTCTGGTTCCTGGTTAGGAAGGGCAGGGGGGAGAGGTCGTCGTTCAGGTGCGGGCTCGGGCTCGGGTTCTTCCTCAAGTTCAGGCTCGGGCTCTGGAGCGCGAGCGACAGGCGCCGCCACCCGAATTGGCGATGGTTCTCTTTGCTGACTGGGCTCATAAGTAGTCGGCTGGCCGTCCGCTTCTTCTTCCTCTCCATCAGTCGGGGAGGGTCTACTGGGAAGGCTGGGAAGAGCGAAGCCGCCGGATGGCCTAGAGTTATCGGGAACAGGTGGAGGGGGAGCAGATTGCTCATCTGGAGGTGTAGATGCTGGGCCGATTAGTGAAGCGTCCTTGAAACGATCTCTCAGAGCAGACACGCCTGAAGCAGAATCATCAGCCTCGTCTGCAGGCCCTCTTTGACGATCGTCCCCATGTTGTTGTTCGTTTTCGACAGGTCCATCACGCGAGTAGCCAGGTGCTTGGACAGACCAAGACTTTCCAGTATAGCCGCTCTTCCATCCTTGTCCTCCACTTGCCTGAGCCGTAACTGATACTGGGGCAGCAGGTAAAGATCTAGACCCAATAGGTGATCCTCCCTTTCTAGCCTTCTTTTCAGCCCAAAGCTGTGCTGGAGTTTTGCCCCCTTGGTCAGCAAATGTTCGACTGGCAGACCCAACGGGCGCGGCGGTAGAAGGTGCTGGGCCGGCAAAACCTAAACCTCCTGGGTTTGGTGCTTTTGTGCCGGTAAACGTGGAGGCGCCTCCAAACTTATTAGCAACCTTGGGCTTGGGCAATGCTGTTATTCTCTCGGACTGCACAGGTTGAGAAAGGGCTGCGTCTCTGTCAGCTAGGGGTTTGGGCTGCGCCGCAACTTTCTCTTCCCGCGGTTCGGCAGGCTTTTGGGCTCTGGCTCTGATAGCTGCAATATCTACCTTTCCAACTGGCTCATATGCGCCCTTGACCGGGGTGGGCCTGTCGTCTTCTTTTCTCTGCGCAGCAGCTCGAATAGCGGCAATATCTACCTTGCCCACAGGCTGATATCCTCCTCCTACAACATCGCTAGGTCCGTCAGACTGTCGACTGCTACCATCAAATCGCGAGGGCTCTGGCTGCTGCTTTGTGAGTTCCGCCATGTTGACTTTCGTAGGCTTATAGGCAGGTTCGACCCTTTCAATCTCAGTTCTCGTGACCGGGGGTGCGTCGACACCCCATCCTTCCTCATCAGCATTGTCGTCTCTCCGGGAGCGCGCAGCAACAAGAGGATCGAATTCTCTGCCGGTGCTGGAAGAAGTCGGAGTGAAAACCGGCTTTGACTTGACTGGGGGAGGCGCGGCTCGAGCAAGGCCACCAAAAGCACCAGCAGAGTATTTGGCTCCAGAAGCATCAGCGACTTTTTGCATAATTGATTCGGGGTCTAGGTCGCTGTCAGAGCGCGCGGTTATTTGGACGTGGTATCCGTGAAGGACGTTGGCCACAGCATTGAGATGGCTCGTGAAGTAACCCTTGGTGCGCTCAGGAACGCCGCCACCACACCATGCAATGAGGACATTCTTGGGCAGAGATGTGTTGGGGTCCTTGACCTTGACGAAAGCGAACTGAATGCGGCCTTCGTTGAAATCCTCGAGCAAATCAGCCAGTTCACCACCTGTGCAATCTCACGTCAGAACTACGGTGTAGCGAATGGAATAAGACACTTGTCGCGCCCGTTGCAAAAAGGGCACATCGCACCTCCTGTGTTTTCAACCTTGAGGATACTCTCCTTGGAACCGCTATCTTGAAAAGCGTTCATCAAGGGAGCCTGGACGGCGAAGAGCGCCCACTGTGCAAGGGTGGCCGAGACACCCGCGGGAGCAGGGCCATTTACCACGCTATTGTAGCTGCTTTTTATGGATGGGCCGTTGATGGACAGGTTCAACGACGCCATGTTGTTGAAGACGGCCGAGGCCGAGGCCGGAAGGGTTCGGTTTTCGAAGAGAATGGGGAGAGGGAGAGACGGAGACTTCAGCCGAGAGTTGCGGTTGAGCCTGATGGCAAAGCTCCTGGGCACTCAGATGCGGGGGCAGGTTGACGGCTTCAGCAGGTTGATCGATCGCTCTGTGTGATGGACGGGTCGACTTGAGCAGTCGGACAGAACGAGGCTGCAGACCAAAAGAATGGGCGGAGCGTAGCAGTTGAGCTCGGCAGGATGGTGCCGTGATGAATTAACGTTATGAGGGTCTGGCGATGTTTACGTTGACATTGCTCGAGGCGCAAGCCTGGGAGGGGGGAGCCCGGGCCGAACTCGCAGGCCAGTTGGTAAGTGCCAGTGCCACCAGCTGACGAGTGGCCCGTGGGTGCCAGGTTGTTCCGAGAGCGACGGCGAACTCTGACTCTGACAGAGGGAGGCTTTGACCTGCTTGGTTCGCAAGCTTCCAGTCTTGATGCTCTCCAAAAAGTAACTGTGTTTGTCCGGCAGTATGGTGTCACTTGTGACTCCTTGTCCTCGCTGCTTGTCATCTACTAGAGTGCTTGAGGACTACGAGGTGCTCCTCAGTTAGGAATGGTAGTAATACTAGCTCGACTTCCGATGAAGCTCAGGTAATGATAGCTCGCAGCTGAGTCAGTCGCTTCATGCTCGTGCTTGCCATTGCCATGGCCACATTCACCTGAAAAGAACTGCGGAGGTACTTGCACCTGACCTGACATTTCGACGTTCCACGCATTAGGTACCTGCCTGCGTTGGGGTTTTATACTGCCGTCGGATGCTGTGTGATGTCGGCCCTACTCACATCACAGTTGGTGTACGGAGGAGCTAGCACCTCCAAGTACTTACGTAAAGTAACTTAGGTGTCTTGGACTTCTGGACCCAGGCCAGACGGCCATGGTTGCGCAACAGCATGTCATGTCATGAAGCCAACCACGCACTCGTCCGATGGGCCAATTGATGATGGCTCGCGACACCATGGTCCAGTATCAATTCATGATTGACGCCTGCCAACCTAAAGCTACCCTGGTACTTTAGTAGGTGGGCTCCGGCCGCGCCTTGGACTTGCCGCCGAGTCGTCCAATGCCATGCAACCAAAATGACGCAAGGCCGTCCAACCATAGGCCCGTCGCCCATTTCCGCTGCCCCTCCTCTGGCAAGACTTTCTCCTTCCGTCTCCAAGAAACATCAAAGTTGCCCCGCCAAATTCCCATCGTCCAAGGGCTCACGACCATTACTCCCATCCTCGCACCACGCCCGCACCGTATTTTGACGCCACAGACCACGGGAAGTACTCTTGGACGATTCAACATACATCGCCTAGGTCTGCCGAGCGCCTTCATCATTCATCATGTCGGTCATCACGGAGATTACCACTCAGGCGCAGTGGGACGAGACTCTCGCCTCCCTGCCGTCTTCGACCCTGTTGATCATCTCATTCCACGCACCCTGGGCAGCACCTTGCGCTCAGATGGCCACTGTTTTATCCACCCTCGCATCAGAGTATCCAGTCACGGAGCCTTTGAGCACGAAGTGGGTGTCTATAAACGCCGAGGAGCTCAGCGATATCAGCGAAGCCTATGATGTTACGGCTGTTCCGTTCCTCGTCCTTGTTCGAAACGGTCGGATCGTAGAGACTGTCAGCGGAAGCAGCGCCATTAAAGTTCGAGCCGCCATCGAGACCAATGCTCAAAACAACGCATCTGCATCATCCGCCCCTGTCAACGGTGCCAACCAGACAAATGCGCAGGGTACCAAGACGGTCGACGCGAGTGTCGACCCCGAGAAGCAGAAAGAAGAGCTTTTCAAACGCCTGGGTGATCTTGTCAAGGCTGCACCGGTCATGCTGTTCATGAAGGGAACCCCTAGCGACCCTCAGTGTGGCTTTTCACGGCAGATGGTCGCCATCTTGCGGGAGAACTCTGTCAAATATGGCTTCTTCAACATCTTGGCCGACGACGAGGTCCGGCAAGGTCTTAAGGAGTTTGCTGAATGGCCTACTTACCCTCAGTTGTGGATTGATGGCGAACTTGTCGGTGGTTTGGATATTGTACGTGACACACGAAGGACTATTTTCCGCCAATGACGAACTTTTTTTCTGGAGCCAACCACTGACACAGACACTTAGGTCAAAGAAGAAATGGGCAATAACGAGGATTTCTTCAAGCCATACGCTGTCGGTGGAATTGCTGATGCTGCTTCGTGAGGAAGGAATTCGAGCAGGCGGCACGTCCAATAAGGAATTTTGAATCATGGTGTTGATACAACACACGCAGTGAGGTTTCGTGGAAGACGAGATGGAACTGCACCATAATCTTGGAATCATACGACTGCGACGCCCTGGAGGGTGTCCCATATTTGCTGGGTAATAATTCACGGGAAAGGTATCAAAAGAGTGGCGGTTCATCCCAGCCCTCTGGATACCCAAGGAAATGGGACAGCATAGTCACCAATGAGCAGTACAAACAACGTATCATGACGGTGATGGAGCTTTGGCGCATGGCGAGTTGGTAAGAACTTGGGAAATAGTAGCACACTTCATCATATCGGCAAATGTATGATAAAAATGAGGCTGCATCGCCACGAGTTTCGATAGTCGCCTTGTGTTTGTTGGGATTTGAATTCTGTATAGCTAACAGCGCACCGCGCAAAATAGTGCAGAGGACTATGATCATATGACCATTGTGAGCAAATGCAGGGAGCAACGAGCAGTGCAGCGGATCACACTGACAACTCACCAAATAGAGACTTTCTAAAAAAAAACGGGTGATCATCAAAAGATGACTACTAGGATGAGAAGACGCGGTCCAGTCAACTATAATCATTCGCCTCCCTCAACTCGCGCTCGTCAGCCAAATCGAAAGCCCCTAATAATGGCAAGCCAGCAGTTAGCAGCGAACGTTTGGCAATCCGTCGGCGGCTGGAGATGCTATTCCGCCTCAACGGCTGACAAATGACCGTGGCATCGAGACCCGGCCCGCCCATGGTGTTGTGTTGTGTAACTTTGGCCGCAATTTTTATCCACGCGCTTCCATTGAAGCCTCCCGTCTGTGCGCTGAAGGATGGATTTTTTTTTTTTTTTGGAGTTTGCACTTTATTGAGCTTTGTCTTCTTAGATTTGGCAAATCGACGGGGAAACTGATGCTGTTGAAAACGCCCAATTTACATCGGCAGAAAGAGGTGACCATTGACGACTTTCGGCGCCAAAGAGCTCAAGTGCTTTTTTTTGTCTCGGGTACCGCACGCTCAGGTGGCTTACAAAGTGGCTGGTCAGGTAGGTGGTACATGCAGATTGCAATTCTCTGCAGCCATGGCCCAAGTACTTTCTGGGTTCGAGTACTAAGTAGCAAATCAGAGTCGAGGCGCATCGCGCATTTAACACGGCCGACGCCACTGATCCAACGATTGCCCTCACGGCTTCTTCGCTACTCTCTCTCCTCGTCAAATGTTCCCATCCTCAAAGCCAAGGGTTTGCCGTCTGCAGATTCAGGATCCCACTGGCTGGTGTTTTCGATTCTCATAATCTCCAGCAACCAGCAACCAGCAACCAGCAACTATTCACCACCACCCCGAACCTTGCCCAGTCCATCCTTCGCTTCAACCTAATTCGGCCGACATCTTCCTTACAAAACTGTGATCGATTCGTTTCATTTCGTGCCGACCCCATCGCTCCATCATCATCCAGTCAATTCAACGTCGGTCATTTCCCCTCCGTACATTTGACACGGCTCAAAGAGCCTTCGGAACACACTGCCCATTGGTGCAGTCTCGAGTTTCGCCTCACCCGCTGAGTACGGAGTAGACGAAGCGCTCTTCGTGGGAGAAGAGCAGGAGTCAAGCCCAACAAGTGTCTGGGAACTTTGCTTCCCTCCCTTCCAGGCCTCGGGCGACCGCTTCGCTTGAGAAGTCGACTGCTGCAGCTGATCTCACCTGGCCACCTACACGTCCAGCGTCTCCGAACGAGATTGGTCACCAGGCTTCACATTTATTCATCGTGCATCGAGAACAATTATTGACCACAATGACGCCAACTCCGCCTTCTACAAACTCGTCCGCCGGAAAGGCATCGCCTGAAGAGAAATTTCGTGTGGTGCGCAAGAGAAATCGAGTACCGTTGAGCTGTTACCCGTGTAGGACAAGAAAGTAAGCTGGCAAGCTCTCCTCCGCCCATGTGATGATACTCATACTAACATTTCATACTAGGCTGTAAGACCTCCGACAAGCATGAACAAGACTTTCTTTCTTTTTCTTTTCTTTTTCTTTTCTTTTTCTTTTCTTGCTAATTCATGCTTGCAGAAAATGTGATCGATGTCACCCGTGCAGCAACTGTACCAAGCGCGAGGGCATGGACACGACGTCCTGCTCCTACGCATCCCCCGCTTCCCGAAAGAAGAGTCTAAACCAAGCTGATTCGAGCCCCGACGATATGCAAAATAGAATAGATAGGCTTGAGGGCCTTGTGCTTTCCTTGATGCATAACGGCGCAAATATTGATCCCAAGGCCCCGCGCACCAGTGTATCTCTCTCTCACTCAGTCGCCGACAGCGGTTCCTCAGCTCAGATAGCGGAGGCGGCCATGGCAGAAGACGACGAGATCGACGTGGATGACCATCTTGCCAAATCTATTGGCATCCTCAAGGTTGACGCTGATAGGGGAAAGTCGATGTATATTGGCCAGGAACACTGGCATTTGATTCTAGCAGATATCGCCGAGGTCAAAAACTACTTCACTAATCACAAAAAAGAAATCGAATCAAGTTACGAGAAGGTCAGATCATCCAAACCCGCCACCGCGAGGGAAGGACCTACACTGCTTCTGGGCGCATCCCCTGCCTCCGAAGTAGAGCTGCGTGGGGAGCTGCCATTCAAATCGAGCGTTCTTACGCTGTGCAGTCGCTACTTCAATTCCATGGAAAATGCGGTCAGCATCATTCACGGACCAACTTTTTTTCAACAACTCCGAGACCACTGGCAAGATCCGTCGAAAACACCAATAATGTGGCTAGGCCTGTTATACTCAATTCTATGTCTTGCCATGTTGAGTTATCACAAAGTCGGAGACGAACCGCCAGAGTGGCGGGGCAAAACACTGGAACTTGCTGCGGAGTACAGGTTACGGACCGTGCAATGCCTGATAAAGGCTGACTACACCAAGCCAGTAGAGCACACTGTTGAAACAATGCTACTGTACGTGTTTGGCGAGTATTCTTCCCGTTGGGATGTTGATCACGGCCTATGGATGATTGTATCTTTGATCATCAGAATAGCCTTCCGCATGGGCTACCACAGAGACGCAAAATGGTTTCCGTCCCTATCACCATTCCAGGCGGTAAGCACAGAACCCTTGTCAGGAGATTGATTGCGCCCGTCTAACACTTGCGGTAGGAAATGAGGAGAAGAACATGGGCATTAGTTCGCATGGCCGATGTCGTTTTCTCTCACCAGGTATCACTACCAAGCATGATATACGACCATGATTGTGATACGCAGCTGCCAAATAATATCTTTGACGACGAGATCAACACTTCGACTCAGCAGCTGCCTCCTTCGAGGCCCATTTCTGAGAACACTCCGGTTTCCTACATGATCGCCAAGGCCCGGTTGTGCATCGAGTTGGGCAGTATCCTGCAGGCGACAAATAGAGTGGACAAGGGAGTACCGTATGACGAGATTATTCGTTTTGACGCAAAACTGCGGCAAATAATGCAAGAGCTGCCTCCGCATCTGAAAATTGGCCCTATGGCCGGCTCGCGTGACCCGGTCACGCTGATTATTGCTCGATTCAATATCGACATTCTATTTCAAAAGATTATGTGCTTGTTACATCGAAAGTACATACGAAGAGCAAGACAAAACCCTCGGTATGCACACTCGAGAAAAAGCGCCATTGAGGCGTCATTACAAGCCATGGAACACTTGCAAACTCTCCACCGAGAATCAAAAGACAAAGGTCGACTGCGCACCTTAAATTGGTACGTCAAGTCGATTGCGACCAAGGAATTTATTCTTCCAGCCATGCTTATCGTTCTGGATCTTCACTACGACAACCTCGCTGAGCAGTCTGGGTTGCCTGAAGACACCGAGGGCGCATTTCGATGGTCCGCAGAGCAGAGGGCCAGGATGATTAGCACCCTGGAAGACGCAACAATCATCTGGAAGAGTCTCGCAGATGGTTCAATGGAGGCTTTCAAGGCGTCCAAGACAGTCGACATCATGCTGCGCAAGTTACAGAACCCCATAAGAAACGGGCCATCCAATGCGCGCAGCGATCCCATATCTGCAGACACGATCAGGTCAGGATTGGATCCATCATTTGCATCATCTGGGACGGTGACAATTTCACCAGAAGGGCTCAATGACTTTGGTACCGGGATGAGCCCACTCTTCAACTTAAATAGCGGCGCATACACGGGCATGGAATTCGGCCTACCCGCGCCAAGTCTGGGCGAACTCACTGGTGACGGAATGAATCTCATCGGCGCCCAGCCACCATTGTCAATGCTCACAAATATAGGCGCAAGTTCTGGATCCGGGCCGGAGCTGTCCAATTTTGAATGGGTACGTTACATCCTACGTTAGGGCGATTGATTGTTGCAAATTTTAAATCGACTGACGAGTGTACAGGGCGCGTTCGAGAGTTATGCGCAAGCGGCTAATTGGGGTGCGGACCAAAGCTTTCAGATCTTTGGTGGGGAGTCAGATGACCAGGAAGCCAACATGACGAATTCGCAGTAGGCTCGCACGGGGAAAATGACGATATTTGTAAATGACATTTCATTTGATGTTGAGTTGTATGGTAGTTTATCACTGTGTCAATGGCTAGCGAGAAGTTGGGTGTTCGCTGATTCAGATGTATATTGAGTTGATTAGTTTGAGCAAAAAATCAAGATCACACACACTACTTGTCACCCAAATTCGCGTTCCAGCTGCTGGCGGGTAATTGAAAGTCGAAAACAAGCGTGACAATGTGAGGAAGAAGTGAAGTTGATTCCGAAGACATGGCCATTGACCACACTGCTGTGGCTTAGTCAGGATTTGCCATGCTCCTGATTTCCTACGCCATAAGTTCTTCCGCAACAAAACACTTTGGGTTCAGCATCATCGACCCTTTGAAAGCGTAGCGCTTGACTGCTGCGAGACTAATCATTTCCAACGGCCAGTCTGGTATCCGTGGGGCTTTTCTCAGTCGCTTCAACGGCAGGATAGAACCTCTTACATCGGTCCATCACGTCTGAGCAGCAGTCTTCCGCCATCTAGTCGCCATGGTGTCTTGGAAGAAGGGAACAGATTTACTGTCCATTTTGTTGTGCACCCAATCCTCACCCAAAAGCGTCTTCTAGGATAGCACTTCGCATGCTCAACTCCAAACAAGATGAAGTCGGCTCAGCTCAACCCCAAAAACGCCACGCAGTACGCACGAGATCTAGGCAACGATGCGATGGCCACTAGTATATGCAAGTTTGATGAGAACGAAGAGCCTTCCACAGACAGGACGCATAGCGGTACCCGGCCGACCGAGGATGGACTGAATAATTCCAAGGACGCTGGGCGAAAGAGGAAATTGGCAGACGCTCTCTCCGCAGAGGAGTTGCCAAGCTCCAAGCGAGCTTGGCTGGACCCAAATGATCAGAAAGAGCCAGATTCTCCCCCACCTGTTCGCCCAAGTATGGCGTCACGACTCCCGGCGGAGGCGTGGCATCACGTCTTTACATTCACGCCACCACGCACCCTCGGTAACTTGATGTTGGTGAGCAGGGAATTCAACAGTTACCTCGACCCGTTGTCTAGATTCCAGCCTCCACATGCCTTCGGCTCCTCTACCGCCCACAGTCTGTCAAAGTTGGCTCCTGATGCCATATGGCAAGCATCAAAGCGTCTGTTCTGGCCGCGGATGCCGGCGGCTTTGAAAGGCAGATCAGAACTGGAAATGTGGCGCCTTTGCTGCTCTCCAGCTTGCCAGTTTTGCGGTGTTCGTGGTAACTTTGCTGCTGGAAATAAGCCGGGAGGACAGTGGGAGCGAGGACCGGGTCTCCAGGGCATTTCCCCGGTCTTTCCTTTCTTTATTGTGTCGTGTGGACGTTGTCTCAGCGCCAAGAGTACTACGGTATGTGCGTCGACAGTATCCTGGCAAGGCCTCTCACCTAACATTGTACAGGAGATTGATCTACTTCTAAACTCATCCTTGCCAGCCGCCCTGGTCCCCGGGCTGCCAGTGGTGTTTTTAACCCAGGAGAATCATGTCGTGCCCCCTCACGTTCTGGCCTCTATAAGCTTATCACGTGCCCAACCAATTAAATTATTTTGGAGTGAGCAGATTGAAAAAATGAAATATGCACTTGAGAATGCCAAGAGGTCCCGTCCTGCTGCTGCGGAGGAGTGGATCAAAGGCCTTGAACAGCAGGGCAAATGCTGTCTGGCCGATGTTGCCCGATGGGAAAGATGGCATCATGCTGGAGGCGTGGAGGAGATGCGAAGGCCGAGCCCTAGAATTTGCGCGAACGCAGCTACTCACAACCAAAAACCGAGCATTGGCTGTTGGCCAGATTCTGGATGCCTGACAGCAATGGTAAACAGATCGATTGAGATGAAGGCTGTCATGAAAGGTGGGCACAAGGAAACTTTGTCTGATCATCATGGCAGTGCCCCCGCCTCAGTGCTCGCAAATATATCAGGCCTCCCAGGTGCCCAAGTCGAGTCGGTGGATGAGACCTTGACCGAGGGCGTGACAGTACCTGACTTCGTATCGAAGCCAACAAGCGTGGAAGCGGAGGCCGCACGACGGGCTGAAATCGAGCGGCGGGCACCTCTCCTACAACCGCCAATCCCACCGATGGCTCTCACTCATATGCCGGCTTTCCAGGAGGCTCTTGGATCAGCCACACCGCTGGATAACGATGCTTGGCAGGTTCTGGGACGGCATCTTCTCAAGCAGCGAAAGGAAGCAGACATGAAAGAAGGAGAATTTCAAGTCAACTTTCAATCTGCCGGGGGACTTGTGGCTGACGTGGATCCTCATGGCCCTCTGGAGGGCGCCAAAATAATGGACGTCGACTGCGATCATGCTCAGGAACTGTTACGAGGCCAAATATCGAAATTGGCTGATGAAATCATTCGAAATGAGTGGTCATGGTCTGGATCTACAGTGACCAGGAAGAACGCCCCCAAGTTTGCGGCAGATGTTCTTCTTTACGTCCGCGAGGAATTTTACGCGAAAATTGCAAAGGACGTCAGAACAGCCCAAGGCGCCGGGAAGAATGTTGTCATCAAACCAGCAGAACAAACCTGGACCCAGAAGCTTACCTTGGAGAACATGAGATGGATTTTTGATGCCAAAATTAGACCCCGCACCGATCCGGTCCGTAAGGATGTCTTTCTTTGCAATGGCTGCGACGGAGTGGCAAAGTTCTACAAATTCAATGGCCTGTTGTACCATTATGCCTCGAAGCACGCAAAGACGTTGAGCTTGGGCAAATCCGTTGTGCATTGGGGGGCGGAATGGCCAGAGAAGCCCATCTTTAAAGCTGATCCACAGCAATATGCCTTGGCCCATACCAAGACGAAGACGAAGACTCTAGAGACTTATTTTCCTTGCATCCCGAGACTGCCTCACCCAGAATCAGCGCAGCCTGGTCCAGAGCAAGGACACCACAGCCGAGATTTGGGGATGAGCGTGTCTACAAACTACAGGCAAGACAACCGTCTGCAAGGGTCATATGAAGGAGGGCTCTCTTACGAGCAAGATTATCCGTCACGCCCACACGTGCCTCAGCACGGGCGCCCCGAACCTCGCTCCGAGCCTTGGAAGAAGACGGTTGTATCGCAAACTACGGGCCATGGGCAAAGCTTGGGTAATAGAAAATCGGGAAAGACTTGGAGAGCCCTGGCTCAAAAGTCCAAACGCCTAGATTATATTATCAAGAGAGCGACGCACACTTGGCGAAAATTAGCAAACGAGAAGAGGCTTCACGGTTCTGTCAAAGTCTGTGCTGTCATTCACCATGCAGCAAAATCTTTTCGGAACAAGTACTCGGAGCCGGCGCCTTTGAATCTGTTCATCGAGGCACTTGAAACTCACAAAGCCCTTGGTCAACTGAGCGCCGTCACTGGTCTGTCATGCAAGGCTTGTAAACTGGATCCTGCTTCGGGTCTTCAGTCCAAGACCTACACGCTGGTCAATCTGTCGAGGCATTTCGACTGGAAGCACAGCGACCATGCGGCCCCGTCCATGGACAAACCATTCGACTGGCGCGCGGACATGATTTGGCTTTCTGAAGTATCAGACCCCATGACGTTGCGGAGCGTAGTAGGCGACGATAAAGACCTTCTCGACGTGGTTTCGGATGCGCTGCCGTCGGCGTTTGAGGCTCTTGGATGTGGCCGGGAGCAGGAGGCTGAACGGAGCGGCCGCGGACACGAAACTGCCCGTCGAGCACCAGACCCGGACCGGCACCAGTCGTCAACCATGGCCAGCACTGTGCGTCGGGCTGCCCCTCGTCTCGAAGTCGATGGGCTTGAAATCATCGAGCAGCCCGCTGCGTGGCCGGGGCACCGCATGCATGGTGATGGTGAACCTCGAACCATGCAGTCGCAGCCCGGAACTCTGCCGCCAGCATCCTCGGGACAAGACGAACGCCGCAACAACGGTGTCCAGCAACAAGGATACGCAAAGCGTACCCGAACCGACCCTGGCATGAGCAGCCGCCACAACACCCACTGGGACAATGGCTACCGACACGACCGCAGTCACGAGCCCAGGCCGGTGCCGGCTCACCACGCACCAAACCCCCGTTACGAAAGCCGCGCGGCCGAACCGTACGAAACAGTAAACGTACCAGACCACCACGGCGGTTACCTCGTCTGAGGACCGGCCAGGCATGGCTCCAAGCAAACACGTACTACCGCAAAGACCGCCCTCACCTGTATTTGTATTCCCTTCCCGGCGAGTCCCTGCATCGGCGCAACCACAACGACAACAGCGGCAGTCGGCCGCGCGCAGTCATCGACGACCCCAGAGTCTCGGGTTACGAGGACTATGACGCTCGGTTTCCAGGCGCGGCCTGGAGATGCCCCATGTATACCAGATGAATGGGTCATGTGCACCGCTCTAGACGGACATTGACCTGCATTAAGCACCTTTGCTATTCAAGCCTGCTTGCCTGCTTTAACTGCCAACACCCACGGCATCCATACGGCGCTGGAAAAGGAAGAGGAAGGGAAAAAAGATAAAAGATAAACGGACAAACAGACGAGCACAAATTACTTCTTTCACTTCTCACATGTATAATCATTCTACCGACAGGGATATTTCATTGCATGCAGCCTTGGTCATGCACTAGTGGTTCACGTCTGGCGCAATGGAAGCACATGTCCCTCGATTTCGTACAGGGAGAAGACGTTGGCGAGTTGAGCAAAAAAGTCGTAGATACACCAAAGAAAAGGGGCGATTCATCTAATGTCCCGTGCCCCTGTTCTCTCTTCTCTTCGAAAAATTTCAGGGCGGCACGGCACGTTTATCAAGTTGCATGCTCCAGCGCCCACCGCAAAAAGCCCCAAGCCTCATTCTTGTCCCCCCCCCCCCTTTCGCAGACCGCTCTTCACATCTTCCCCCCTTCATCATGGTGTACATAATAGACAACAGAGTTTACCAATAAATAAAGACAGACGACCAACACACCTGAATGCCTTGCAAGTCATTCCCCGTCTCCCATCCATCAACGTCTTCTTCTATGCTCTGATCCCCGCTGAGCATGTGTCGAGGTACCAAGACGCCGCCCTTTGCTCCCCGTTTTCAAAGATTCTGTGCATTTCCATTGTGCTCTTTGTTGGAACGTCAAGACGGCAGTCGTCAAATTGACAACGTGACGACATCTTGCGGGAAAGAGCGGAACCAAGACTGTAGTTCGTATCCCTGTTTTTATAAAACCTCGCCAATAATCCTGGCGGCTTCCCTGTATGTTTGGAGCAGCTTCTCGCATTTCTCGCGCTCCTTCTTGACACCGTCGTCTTCGTACAAGAGCTCCTCAAACAAGCTCTCCCTGTACAGCTCACTGACCAGACGGTTCTGAACAACGTCTTTGGAATGGTTAACCAGCAGGTGCATAATAGCTTTGGGCACTTGATCGGCGATAGATTCCCGGACAATGTTGAAGTAGGAAGAGATGAGGGCCCGTATGAGCTCAGTTTCCATGACTTCACGGTCGGTCATGGCGGGTTCGTTGGACTCGCCCTGATGAATGACAAAGTTAGAAGACATGTCGACATTGTCGAAAAAAAATCAGGAGACTTACAAGGTGTGACGCAAGACCGTAGCTTCGTCCGGTGGGATCATACTCGTCGACTTGAGAGTGAGAGGGCGCAGGCCGTAGTGCAACCCTCTCCTCTCGGCGGATGGACTGAGATATGCTCGGCTCAGAAGACTGGCTGATATGCCTTCCAGGATTGGCAGAGCTGCCAGGCAGAGCACTCTGCAGAGCAGCACCGTCTTTGCCGAAGAAATAGTTCAAAAAGGTATCCCTGGCACCCAAGGCTTGACCGTTCACCCGTGAAGGAGAGTTAGGCCGGATGCCATTGACGGCAGCGGCAAGGCTGCCATGAGCATTCTCGTGAACAGCAGGTGAAAGGCTTCGGCCAGATTTGGAGTTATTCTTGCGGCTGTTCTCGCCCTTCGCCATGACACTACCCTCTAGCCCATCCTCCGTAGGCTCCCCGTTGACGCCGAGCTCCTTGAGGCGGCGCTTTTCCCGACGCTCACGCTCCTCCTGGATCAATCGCTTCCGTTCACGTTCTTGTTTTGCGCTGACAACATTGCTCATGGCTGCAGCGGCACCAAGGAAGTTGGGATGGTTGGTGTTGATATATGCCCGCTGGATGGAGATGAGAGACTCAACATAGGAAGAGGCGGGACCAAGTCTCTCCCGAAGCAGGTCTGACACCGTTTCGATTAACTTGGCTTGCAATCTAGGATATCGCGAGAGCTCGGTAGATCCACAGGTGTGGCAGATTTTGATCAGCTCCTCATACACAAGCTCGACACAACGTTGACTGGGAATTTCCAAGAGTTTGATCTGGGGCTTTACAAGCAGATCGAAAGCCATTTCAGGCACGAACAAGCTGGGCCGAGGACCGGTCGAGTTTCGGATGGCGGTGCGGATATCCAAGGCTGTAAGGTTAGAAGTGGGATCAATGGATTCGAGCGAGCTGCCAAAGACAGAGTTGAAGATGTAGTAGATTCGGGCACCACCACACAGCTCCTTTGTGGAAATTTCCGTCGACGTGCCATCGATGGAAGAGATAAAGGAGGTTGCAAACCGAGTCATTTGTTGCAGGATGAGCGAACCACGATGCTCCTTGCCACTGAAAGCCATGTCACCGTAGCTAGCCAGCTCCTGCTGAGTCTGACCCATAAGCGTATTCAGCCGAGCCTTGATATCTGGCAACCGCTCTCGAATATGAGACATCAGGGTGGAGTTGAGCGTCTTGGCCAAGAATTGCGTTCCGCATCGGGTAGAGATGTTGCGATATGCCGGGTGGTGCTTGAAGAAGTCCATCTCTGCTTGAAGAGCCTCCTCCATGGGCTTGTTGCCCTGGATATCCTGCTGCGATCGGTTCACAACGCCAATGAATCCAAGCTTCAGGGGATAGACACGGCCGGAAAGGATATCAAGTGCGTTTGTACCGTGGTCCATCAGGTCCAGCTTTGTCAGTACACCGATGGTCCTTCTGCCTAGGGCATCGACATGTCGAGCGAGCTTCAACGCCTCCGAGTTGACAATGTCGACATTGGCCGGCGACACGGCCAAAATAAGGCTATTGGGCTTGGCGATGTATTCGGAAATCAAGTTTCTCGTTTGCTTCTCAATATCGGTGGGCTGATCGCCGATTGGAACCTAGAGCAGGCAGGGAAATATCAGAAACGGCTCACTAGCAGGATTACAGATAGGTATAATAGGAAACCAAGTTTTGCTCAAGGCTTACTTGCCTTGGTCAGACCTGGCAAATCAACCAGAGTCAGGTTGAGAACATGGGGCGAGTAGATTTTGAGGTTGATAGACTGCCTGTTGATGCCCTTGTTGGTACCAGCGACTCTCGTGGTTTCATTCTCAATCTCTCGCTTGACGTCAGAAAAATCATTGAAGCGCCGGTTGGGGATGTGATGGAACTCAGCCCACTCGGATCGCCGAGCGGCAGCTGGTGATCTGTAAGGATCGAGGTTTGGATCGGGGGCGCTGTCGTCCTCGGGTACGTTGATGAGTTGCAGAATAAGGGGCCGGCGGGTGACAATGCCGCTTCCTCTGGGCAGGAAATCTCGGCCGACGATGTTTTCCAGGACCGACGATTTGCCAGCCGACTGTGAGCCGACGACGACCTGAGATAACGCCATTAGTTTGAGAGCACATGTCAATTCATGTGTTTTTTTGGCCTTTCGGGGCTTACAATCTGTGGCAGGTCCAGAGAGTCGCTGCCTATGGTGTTGAAGACCAAATCTTGCAGCTTGTTGACCGTGGTGAGCAAGTCCTCGCCCAGGGCAGCCATGGCAACGGGCGATGCAGTCTCCGCCGCGACAACAGCAAAAAGACTGTCGGAGACAAGGAAAAAAACAATGACAGACTGAGAAAATGGAAGACCGCACTTGGGGTAGTCAAGCGGCCGCGGGCCAGAGCACGGATACGCAAGCAATCACGCACGTAGGTGAGGATTGCGCTGCGCGTTCAACGACAATTGGATTTGGAACGGAGACTTGGGAACCAACCAACGAGAAAGAGAAGGCGAGGCCACTTCAGCAGCGACGGCCTGGGTGTGGCTTTACGGGTCGTTGGGCCACGAGGTCGCGAACACAATGGTACGTACTCCGTACTTGAGTACACAATGTCCAGCGGACCGAGGTGCACGCACTCGCGCCACAAGTAGCGGGAACCTCGAAGCACTTCCAAGTTGGTATCTACCAAAGTACCGAGGAGCATGCATGCGGTACTAGAACCAGAGAGCGGTGTACCCGAGGACCTCAGCTCAGACCTGTGCGCAAGTACACTAGTGAATCGAGTACTTTGCACAGATGTACCAGACTTCTCGAGAGCAATCTTGGAGAGTTGGGAGCCTCGATGCTCCCTACTTAAGTACCTAGGTACTTAGAGTTCCGCACGGTGTGGCCCACGGGGTCGTCACGGCATCGCCCGGCCTGGCAGAGGTCATTCATCGTCTTTTTCGCGTTGATCTCTGGCTCAGTTGGAGCCACATGCCTGCCTGCGCCACACCAGCCGGCAGCGCTACTCCTGCTTTGCTCAGTCGCCTCGGGTCTTCACCTCACCTCACCTCGCAACATGCGCCGGTGACCATCTGGCGTGACCAGATGCAGCAGACACAGAAACCACCAAGGCCATGAGTACATTTGGCAGTCCAGGAAGTCTGCCTACGACGAGGCCCAAACCGTAAGTTGTCAGGCTCCGTCCGTCAGTCCGTCCGTCCAGCCGAGGGGGGGGGGGGGGGGGAGGGAGTTTTCCGTTGGATCACGATGGTAAGTTTACAACGTTGGCTCGAGGGAGACCGGCCAGTAAACAAACAAACAAACAAAAAAAAGGAAAAATCCTAGTTCTGATCAGGCCTGCAGGCGAGTGCAGGGACGTAATGACCAGCTACTTGGCTTGTATGAAGAGAGTGAGAGGTGTCAACGAGGACGAATGCCGAAATCTCGCCAAGGCGTACCTGTCTTGCAGAATGGATCGGTGAGCAGCGCATCACTCACTAGTGGACTTCTCGCTCAACACTAACCGAGGGATTTGCGCTTCTTCCTCTTTGGCCTCAGCAACTTGATGGCCAAGGACGAGTTCAAAAACTTGGGTTTTGCGGAACCGTCAAGACCAGAGCAACAGCCAAAGGCGCAACCAGAGCCTGAAAAGGGCGTGAAAGGCGAGCTCAGGTGGTAGACGGTGGCGAACGGACCGACTTCTTTGTTGTTTCAACGCACACATGTAATGACAGCTGTTTTCAATATGAAACCATCAATTGCTGCAATCTCTGATCACAGTATGTCTGTCATGGACTCATGGTCCCGTTGTTCCATGGTGGGGACCCTTCCTTTCCCGCCGACCGTTGGTGGCGCGTTGCCTGGCCAACCACCCGCCCGCCCGCAGTCCCTCCAACGTGGGTCTTGGTCATTGGCATACAAAACTGCACGCACTTTCCTGCCATGCACGGCATGCTCGAGCCCAACGACGTTGGCAAAGTCAACAACCTCACTCACCTCCGCATAAGTACCTACTGGCCTCATCTCACCCTTTCCGCGATTTTCATGACTCCTTGATTAACCTGGTTATGGTATTTTCTCTCTATTGCAGTTCAACGATATTTCATGGCCAACGCCAGCCCTCCCAGGATGAAAAAATCCAGCGGGACCAAGGCGCGAAAGGTGACGCCGCCGTCGCCGACCTACATGTCCAACGAGCAATTTGGTATGAGCAAGGCTTAAATCAGAGGTCTCTGGGGCTTCATTCTGACTGTCGTTGCTCTCGCAGCCAAGTATCTCTCCGACCTGCGTTCCAACCGCACGACACGACCTGGTGGAGCAAGGCCTCTGCCACCATCCGGGGAGCGGTCGACAGCCTCACGCACGAGCCTCGGACGACACAGCATGGACCCGCCGCCTCCGTCCCAACTTGCAGGCCAGACAAGTCAGTCGAGCCAGCGGCGGATACCATCGCAAGCCCCGAGTGTTGGCGCGGCCAGTGTCGCCTCTCGGTACTCCATGTCAAGCTCCGGTGGGCGAGACTACTACCCAACCAGTCCCGTTGTGCCTGTGAAACCATCTGAAGCAGTCCCAACAGCAACTTACATGGAGCGCGGCCAAAGATGGATGGAAAAAGAAGAGGCCTTCTCTTTGCGCGAGGCCATAGAAACAATGGACATCCGGGATGGCTCCAAAGACCCCGTCGACGACGATAGCCGCATCTATGATGCCGCTCTGAACGAAGCCGCAGAACTGGTCTGGCAGCACCAACATGGATACCGGCAACCCCAGCCAGACGGGCCATATCGCTACAAACCTCATCTTAGAAAGAACAGCTATGCCCATGCCCGAACCGCAAGCGTCGGCCGATATGGTGATGACATTGCCCCTAGCGGTCTAGGTCGTGATCATGGCCCCCGCTCCGTGTCTGGTAGTTCTGCAGACAGCTCTGGATCTGTACCTGGTAATCGAGCATCGTCAGATTCCGCCCGTCCTGCTGCGACTTTTACGAGGCCAACCAAGCCGTACGGTAGCGTCGGCGCTGGCTTCCGCCGCCGCAGTAGTCTCAAGAGGAATATCAGCGGGGATGTGGAGCGTCCATTCTCAGGCGATCAAATCTGGGAAGAACCAGAAGGCTCCGTGAAAAGGGGACTGGTTTCTTCTTCTGGGGGCCGCGCGTCGCCAGACAAGCTTAGCAGTATCCCCCAGAATCCTCTCAACAGATCGTCGATGAACCAAGCTTCGAGCAGTGGAATGCCGTTGACCAAGCCTCTTAATACCGTCGAGATCCATCGCAATCCTCCATCTCAGTCGCGGAACGCATTTTACACCACCAACTCTCAACGGTCTAAAGTTGAGCCGGAGCCCATGGCGGAGCGCAAGAACGGGGTAGAGATTCGCAGTGACGATATTCGTGCTGCCACAGGCTTCAGGTTGAAAGACCGTAGCGCAAAGCTGCCAGAACCGACCGCCGTTAGCGACAGTCCTGGACGGCCGATTGTAAGCTTTGATACTAATTGGCAACCGCCTGAGGCGTCCGCTGATGTCAGCCCAGACCGGCAACCCAAAAGCTCGCCGCTCAACATCAAGGTCAAGCCGCAGCAGAAGCCGTCCGAATCTATGGCAATCCCTATCATCAATGTTGCGGAAGTCGACCCGCCGAGGCCACTGCCAACGCCATCTGCGAATATTCCATCGATCTCAGTAGCCGGGTGCGATGACGCCCCGAGGAAGAAGGATGCTGCTCCGACAAATACACCCACGATTGCCGTTGAAGATATCTCGGCGACCGAGAACGTGCCTTCCATCGTGACATCAGGTGCAAAACAGACAGGCCGCTCACGGCCCCTGCCTGCTCCAACACCATCCCAACCTAAGGCACGCAAAGGTCAGATGCCTCGCGGCCACTGGTCTCCCGCTATTGGCAGTATCGGAAGGCCAACCACAACGTGCCATGAATGCGGCTTCCCCATTGAGGGAAGATTTGTGGCACTGAGCGGCTCCCAAGAGCGCTTCCACCCTCAATGTTTCAGCTGTTTTGCTTGTGGGACCAGCCTGGAGGCCATGGAGATCAGCCCTGAGCCAGAGTCGCAGCGAAAAGCACGCCTCGAGCGCATTCGCCGTCGCCAGGCAGGAGAAATACTGGATGAGGTGGCGGGCATGACGATGGAAGAAGATGGAGATGAACGACTCCGCTTCTATTGCCACCTAGATTGGCATGAACTGTTCGCGCCGCGCTGTAAGCACTGCCAGACGCCGATTCTTGATGAGCATATTGTTGCCCTCGGTGAGCACTGGCACTACGGCCATTTCTTCTGTGCAGAGTGCGGTGATCCCTTTGAGCATGGCATGACTCACATCGAGAAGGATGGCTACGCGTGGTGCATCAAGTGTCAGACCAAGCGAACAGAACTAAGGGCGCCAAAATGTAAGATGTGCAAGACGGCAGTGATTGGTCAGTACATTCAAGCGCTCGGCGGCGAGTGGCACGAGCACTGCTTCCGTTGTGCTCAATGCGAAGGGGGGTTTGTAGATGGTCAGATTTTCACCAAGGAAGTCAAAGGGGTCATGGTTGTGCTTTGTACGGACTGCCGGACGCGTGAGCTCAAGGCATGATGGGGTATGGTTGCTGTGCGGCGTTATTGCATTGCGTATTGTGTTTGTGGATTTCTGGAGAAACTTTATCGCCAGGATAAGACGGGCAACCAAGGTAATTTGCGCAGTATAGGTAATTATATAGAGGCTGGTTTGCTGATGAGAGAATCACGCAATCACGCATGGTGCTTTAAATTTCAAAGCTTGATGCCTTGTTACTTCTTCCAAACACTGTGGGATCATTCGTATCCGCAGGTGGGGGTAACAATGTGACCGTCGTCTGTGTTGCATTGAGAATTATCGTAAAACGAGACCTGGGGGACCATCTCGATGACGGATCCCGTGGATTCACCACGTGCACACAAAAGCGAGAGGCAAAACTTGGGGTTGGAGAAGACAGGAAAAGAAAAAAAAATCAAAAAATCAAAAAAATCAAAAAAAAAGGTCTTTCGTTTCTCGTTTGCACAGAAAAGCGACCCGATGTATCCTCTTTGTCCTGTAAAGTACCAAACGCCACCTTGCTGCCTCGGCGAGCCGCAGCGAATACATGCGCGTGTCGTATGCGTCCCGTTCTGGCTTAGAGAGCGCCGCCGACTTGTTCCTGATGGACTTCGAGAGTGTCTCCGTCCTGCATTTCGAGCTGGGGAGGAGAGAAGTCAGTTCACGACACGGCTCACGGGACGGCAGAAGGGAGCGATGGCTGCTGCAGGGGCCGAGGGGGCCGAAGGGAAAGGCGGCGGACGTACAGCATCGGGCGTGTCGGTTGGTTGACACCGCGAGCCTTCGAACAGGAATCTCACGGAGGCGGGGCTCTTGCCCTGGCGCTCGCAGAAGGCGTTCATCAACTTTTCGAGTTTCGTGCTGCGCTTGATTTTAAAGAAGACCTCGTTGTTGTTGTCCGTTACTTTGAGGTTTAGGTGTTCTGCGCCGGCTGCGGGCGCTTCATTCCGCTCTGGCGACGTGTTGCCGTCCTCGTTGGACATGTTGGGTCTGCGTCTCGCTTGTACGGGCGCGGGTGGTGGTTGCGGTTGCGGAGGCGAAGGCGAAGTCGATTTCGGCAAGGAAATTTGGTGCAAGGAGTTGAGTTTTGGCTGGCCTTTTGGGTTGGGGTTGTTTGGTTGTCTGTCGGCTGGCTCGTGCCAAATCGAGGCAAGAACTCGTGCTGGGCGATGTTGGCAGTTTGCGAAGGCCGGTTTGTGATTGGGTCAGTCTGTCTGAAGGTCTCCGTCAGACGAGTGAGTGAGTAACTACGAAGTCAAGGGCGCAGAAGGAAAGCGCCTCTTTGCAGACAGACAGACAGGTGCGAGGGGTGGCCTGACGGGCCACGGCTGCTGCTGCCGGTGGCGGGGCCTGCACGACTCGCAGGTGGGTGGGCGGCTTCGGGCAAGTCGGATGTACCGAACGAAGCACTGGATGCATTTGCCTCGTCTCGCCCGCCTTCTTCCCCCCGACCCTGACCGACCTCGGTGCCTGTTGACAGGTATATTTTCATATTCTCGCCCGTATGCATGTTTGCTGAGGATTGCTTGCCTCCGTCACCACCCAGCCACTCTCGGCTCACACAACAATCCGTCGTCGTGTTTGCGATTCCATAATGGTTCACAATACTCCGTGCAACAAACCTTGCTGCAGCATGCACCACCAGGCCATCTTCTAACACCATGCCACAGGCGAAAGAAGATGTCGACGCAAAGCCTCCATGCCATCCCAGAGCAGTCAGTATCACCCATGCATGACATTGACTTGATTCGTGGATATATATCTACCACACGTAGCAATCAAGACTGACACGGCCTCACCATCAACAGTGCGCAATTCAAGGTATCACACCATGGCCTCGCATGTGCTAATAGCCCAGCCATGACAACCCTCACATAATAACTGATGTTGGTCGTCTCGATAGACTGTCTGAGGAGGAACAATTACAATGACGCCAAATGCCAAGACGTTGTGAGGGCTCTCTACGAATGCTGCGACGCATTTTACCTAAAGCACGGCGATGATGCGACCAGCCCAAGCTGCCCCAAGCCCGGTTTATTACGGCTGAAGATGAAGCAGATGAGTCGAGGTGAATAAATCAAAGGGATACCCTGTACAATTGGAATTTATACATGGATAGAAATGGCATGTAACGCTCATCGTGCATCATGTCCACCAGCAGAGAGAATAATGGTGACTTTTTTTGAGGAGCGCCGAGTATCTTCTAGGCCGCCATTGAGCGCGCAGGAGATCTGTAGATCTGAACAAGCATCGGAGGTCTTGTTCCGAGACTCTAATATGAGGGCCGTGACATTGATGAGAAGAAGAAGAAGAGGAAGAGGAAAAGATGTTGCGGCAAAAATTTGTGCCTCTACGTCAACGGGGTCCCGACCGACGTCGCTTTGTTGCATATCGCAATATCCCGTAGCTTGTCCTATCCTCCGCCATCTGCAGTGCGGACCAGACCAGACGCGCTCGCGCTCTGTGTGGCGCCTGGTCCATCTCTGCTCCGTGCTAGCGCCAACTTTTCTTGTACTGTCAGAGCTCGACTTGCAAACACAACATCGACACCGAGCTTTTCCACCCTGACCGCGACCACAACCAATTCCCGACATCTACGAATTGACGAGCTTGACCATTGAGACTGCGCATTGCTTCTGATTATTTTCATTCTGTAGGCAGGTCAGGCGGTGGGGTCTAACCGATGCCGGCTTCAAGCTTGTCCAGCTGAGACTCTCGGAACTCTGAAGCGTTCGCAGGCCGTCTCGTTTGCCGGCCCAGATTCATACACGGTGGACAGTCAACGGCATTTTGCTGACATCATGGACGCTGGGAAGAAACAACAGCAAATGACCGCGGTAAAACCTGGGCCCGAGATCGAAGATTTCGCCAACGCTCTGGATGCTTGCTTAGCACCTGGCCTCAGTGTGTCGGAGAAAAAGGCTCGCGTTCTGGACCTTCCACGCAAGTATCACGAGAATGCGATTCGCCGGTTGGCGCACAAGCGACCCATGCCTCGGCGAGGTTGCAGTGAGGACATGGACTTGGACGTGGATGAGCGGTTCGGAAACGGGAGCAAAACAGAGACATCAGAAGATGTAACCCAGCTGGAAAAGGAGGTGCAAACGTGGCATCTTTTTCGACGGCTTCTTCCTCCGCGATACTCTGATTCGACTGATGAGTCGACGCGCCTTTCTCCGTTTCCCGCCTCGAAACCGGCCCAACGAGACTCCTTGGGCGAATACCTCGCAACTGACGGCCTTGCCTTGGAGCGCCGTGCTGTTCTTCAGTGGCTGCAAACCAATTCTGCCTCTGAGCCAGACATCGACGACGTGGCCCGGAAACTTCAGCAGGATGCGGACAGGGGAGATATAATTGCGCACGGCTGGCTTCACACACGATCAAAGATAAAGCTGAGGAAGAGCATGACAGCATGGCCTCATTTATTGGATCGTCAGTCGCCCAACGTGACAGCATCCCACCTTAACGCTGACGGCGCACCGCTCGTTACACATCTCGATCCCGATGCATCCACTCGACAGCGCCGCAAATTAGAACCTCAAGACGAGTTCTTCGAGCGGGCTATATGGCTCGGATGCTTGAAGCATTTGCGACGAGGTAGCAGTCTGGAAGATATTCGCGAATGGTGCCAGGAGCGGACAGAGTTGTGGAGAGCCGTCTCAATGTCTGCCATGCCCCTGTCTGTTGACGACAACCAAGGTCCTGCGTCCAATATCGACCCATCGGCCTTGGTTCTATGGCGTAGGATGTGTCTTGCGTTGGCTAGACAAGGGGGCTCCTCTGATGACGAGCGCGCCGTGTATGGAATGCTCTCAGGAGACATCTTGAGTGTGGAAAAGGTAGCAAAGACGTGGGACGATTACCTATTCGCCAACTACAACGCCCTCCTTCGATCACAAATCGACACATATATGTTGTCCCAGTGCCCCTCCGACGTAGCGTCAAACCTGACGCAGTCGTTCTCAACATTTGATGCAGTACAATTTCACGGCGACCAGGAGGGCATCGAGAAACGACTCATCAACTCCATCGCATCAAGACCGAATATGGCGGCCCAAGCTATGGAGCCCAACAAGGCCCTTCAGGCTTCGTTCATTGCAAAGGAACTAGAACGTCATCTCTTTGAGCAAGGCCTGGTGCTGACCAAACAGGCAAATGAGTCGAAAGTCTCTCGTCTTGTCCGCCCCGGGCTTGACGCCGATTACGACGTCGTAGAGACGAAGTATTTCGATTTTTCACAGCACAGTGGGCTACGAATTGTCGCTCACGTATTCGTCCTCATTGCCTTGCTGAAGCGATTTGAGGGCCACCGTCACAGTTGGATGGAGCCTGGGTTCCCTCCAGACAAACGATTCACTCAAGAGAATATACTGGCCAGCTACACAGACTATTTGCGACGGTGCAAGCTCCAGGAGCTGATTCCGCTGTACTGCTCTGTTTTGGACAGCCCTCGGTCCTACGAAGTTCTTGCTTGGAATGTCATTGAAGAAGCCGACCCGAATAACCGGATCACGCAACTGAAACTAATCAAGCGCGCTGGAATAGATGTACTGGAGTTCGTGGAGAGACAGGCGACGCTATTGTTTGACGAGCTGGATCATGACGCAACCTCATTTGGTGCCGAAGAATGGTTCAAAATCTTGGACAATGGCCCGGCAACTGCTCGGCATGGTAGGCCTATCAAACCCGATTTCTTCGGAGACGAGGAGGACAAGGTCGACATCAAGGATGTTCATGTCATACGAGCGTTGGAGTGGCTCCTGACGGTCAGCGAAACCTGGCCCAAGGTGTTCTCCATCGGTACAAGAGTGTACAAATTTTTCCTCAGTACGCACCCGCACGCCAGCGTCTCGGAACCTGTTGACAGGGAGATTAGGTACACTGCTAACGAGGTACAACAGGGAATTCCCGGTTGAACGCGGCGCGGAGACTGATGCAGAACGTTTCTTTTAGCGAAGTCATGCGAGGCACGATGGACCATGATGACGGGTACGTCATGCATGAGGATGCAGACTTTTGGGCTCGACAGCTGCAGCTGAGTGGTATAGAAGGCGCACGACCAGAGCAAGTGATGACCGATGCGCGGAACTACCGTGAACTTGAGGCTCTTGTTAAGGCGCTCGACAACCTCGAGACCATGGCATCGCTTGCAGTGATATCCAGAGAGTACGTCAGCACCCGTCAGAGTCCCGCGGCGAGAAGACGAAAACACTAACGCAGACGTCAGCGCCGATACGTCCAACCGGGAATTCTGGAAAGGCGTGGGTGCCACGATTGACGCGACCAAGGACAATATGCAGCCCTTGCTGCAGAACTGGCTGCTGTCTGGCATTGAAGGTACGTCTGACGAAACCGCCTCAGGCAACGTGCATATGGCCCGAGATTGCTAACTCTACCGCGCAGCCGGCGATGAAGAGCTTAAAAAGCTCCGACAGGCATACTTGCCAGAGACGATCCTGGCCTACGTCAGCGCATTACACTTTGCGGGAACCGGCCTGACGCGCGATCACCTCCTCGACTGCATGGAGCTGTCTTCCGTCATTGCAGAGAGGAACTCCGACCTGGCGGATGTGTTTGTAAGCACGGGGCGCGTGCGGGAACTCGTGGAGGCGTTTACGTGGTGTAGCAAGGCGCTCGCGATTGCGACGGGAGACAGCAAGAGGTCTGTGGGCTCGGCTAGCAAGAAGCTACGATATATGGGGTGGTCAAGAGACCTGTGGTCTATTAGAAACTGAGCAAAGAGAGACAGTTTGGGTCGGTGGCGAGAGCAGCAAGACGTCTGTAGGCCTCATGGCGTGTAAAGCGCATCGTTTACGTTGAAGAGGAATGGCGGGCGGCAAGGCACTTGCAGTTGGAGGAGAGCCGCAATGTAGAAACAATGCAAGCGGTGTACTGCATGTGCCATGCCGGGATCGTGATGTTGCCTCGAGTACCCGAGGCCCTGGTGGCAGATGACGAGATGCCAGGCTATGAACAGAGCGTACGGAGTAGTTAATGCCCCTTTTTATGAGGTGAGCCAGGTGACACGACGCCACAACGCAACCGGGTGTGCAGGTCGACGCTGCGCCACGGACGCCACACGGCTCCCGCCCCAACAACCAACCCTGAAGCCAATTTCAGCTCCGACAACCGCACCACAGCCGCAGCCGCACCGAGAGGGGGAAAACGAAAAAAAGACATCACGACACAATGTCGAGCTTCACGACGGAGCGGCACAGCTCGACGCCGCCGGCACCAACCCCCAAAGGCGGCAGCCACGACGTCAGCAGCGTCAGCACCCCGACGATCAGCTCGCCCCGTCCGCTCCCCCACGACGGCAAAACCCCCGGGGCGGCCTCCACGCCGCCGCCGCCGCCGCCGCCGCCAGCAGTCTCCGAGCCGATCCCCGACCCGGGCGAGGCCTGGCTCCCCGAACTCCTGAGAGACAAGTCGTACGTGGCCCGGCGCGCCTGCCCCCTGCCCCCTCCCCCCTCGGTCCCGCCGCCATGCTAAAGACGGAGTGAACGCCCTCAGCACGCAGGACCTGGCCGACGTCCTCGCCAGCCCGGCGCTGCTCAGCGCGCTAGCCCTCGCGCCGGCCTCCGCGCACGGCAGCACCACGACGTCCCGCGCGAACCTCGCCGCGGCCGCAGGCGCAGCTGCTGGCGACGCACGCGCTCGAGCGGCAGTGGCGCCAGCGGCAGTCCGACATGGACCACGCGCTGGCCCCCTTCTCCCCGGCCTCGCTGTACCAGCGGCTGGCGCAGGGCGTGCAGGAGCAGGCGCTCGTGTGCCAGGCCATGGAGGAGAGCTTCCTCGAGGGCGGCGGCGGCGCGCCGTCGGAGCGCGAGGTCGCCGACTGGATCCGGAGGTACAGGGAGGCCAAGGTGCTGTGTTACCTGAGGCAGGAGAGGAAGGAGAGGTGGGACGAGGGGAGGGTCGGCGGGTGGCGGTGATGCAAAGGATAGATGGAGATGATGGTGGGGGGACGACGACGACGACGGCAACTACGACATGTTTTACATGATTTGATGACTTGTGCCGTTGGCGATGGACGAGGAATCATGGGATGCTACTTTGTGCAAGGGAGGCATGGTTGGCATTGACATTGTCAACTTTGGACATGGACGCGTACTACTACATGATCACATGGCGTTTGTATTGAATTTCACAGGGACGAGTCGGTATGGAAATAGGTCTCAAGACGGCGCCTCACGTTCTGCACCTGGGACTTGACTGTACATCTTGCTTGCCGTTGCTGCGGTGCTTCTATAGCCAGTCGAGGCAGTCACAAAATCATGCAAGAGAGGGGGCAACTCTGCGGTAATGCCAACGTTGAGAAGGCCTCTCCCTCGCACGTCCATCCTTCAAGTCGTTAATATCCGAGTCCATCTGGAGAAACGTCCACAGATAGACATGGCCCAAGCACCCAATATGCTGAGCAGCTGCCCTATTTTTGGCCTTGTTCTTGTTCTTTTTTTCTTTTTTCTTGTTGTTGTTGTTGTTGTTGTTGTCGTCTGCAACTGTCGTCTGCAACCAACGGGTATCCATGCGCAAGTTCAAGTGATGACAAATAAAACCACATCACAAAAGCCACGACAAAACAGTGCCAAGTTCCATGCCACTAAGCGCTCTAGCGTGTGTTACATTCACGAGAGAGTGCTGAATGGGCTCCTTTTCATATCGGGACTCCGCGGACTGAGTGGGAGAGCAAACAGATCATCGTCATCGTCACGAGAGCTGAGGTCGACACGTGGTATTTTCCCCTGCACGGCGCCGTTCAATGACATGGTCTCTGGGAGGCCGGTGCCACGCGGGATGGCGGAGAATGAGGACACGGCAATATCATGGCCCAATAGTGATAACGTTTGTGATGGAACGTGGATGCCGGTAAACGTGTTTGCTGTGGCCACATGTCAGCAGGTTGGGTGCGTTTCCCGAGTGCTGATGCTGGGGAACTCAAATTACACTCACCGGTTGGACCGGGCACCAGAGCTTCAGGCGAGGTCGCCAATCGAAGCCCCTTCGGCTTGTCTCCCAGGCGGCCAGAGATAGCCGACCGAGGAGACATGGGTGCCGGCGCGGATGGCGGGGCAAGGAAATTGTCAATGATCCATTGCTTCTCGGCCAGGGCCATCTGTAGGCCAACACTTTCGGCATTGGCCCGCATCTCAGCATCCATCTCGCATTGGAGCTCCGACAAGCGTTTCTTCGCCCACAGAGTATGCAAGACGCCGCGAGGTCCCGACTCGACGTTGAACCCGGGCGGGAAAATGGCAGGGAGAGGCTTCACGAGTATGCTTGGCTGTCCCGGGGGCGTGATGGTGACGTTTGTGGGAATGGATGCTTCTGGCGGCAGGAGGAAGTACACACGGCGGCGAGTGCCCACCTCATCCTTGTCTGTGTCTCTGGCGGGAAGAAACGTCGACTTTCCGGGCCAGGAAACTTCCCAAGCCGTAGCATCTGCAGCCGAAAGTGAAGCGTTGTTCTTGATACTGTCGATCTGATCACCGGGTACGGGGGCGGCAGCTCTGTTTGGGTTTGGCTCGGGGTCGGAGCCCAAGGGTTCGGAGGGTGCACGTGTGACGAGAGTGCCGTCGGCGGTGGGGGCAGCAGCAGAAGCAGCAGAAGCAGCAGAAGCAGCAGCACCGGGATGCCACTCAACCATGAGGATCCTGGTGCCCAGGTCGCTAAATTCAAAGCGTGCAAGGTGAGCCGTGGCCATGGAGGCGGGCGGAGCGTCGACAGTGGTGGCAGATGTCGAGGCCGACGCACAGGCCGACGCAGAGGCAGACTCCGCGGCTGACCGAGGAGGCTCCGGCGATGGTTCCATCGTGGATATAGGACATGCGACGTGGTGATATTCCCTCGGCGATGGAGTATTGTGGGAGGGAGTCGGGACTGGTTCCTGGATCAGGGGCGAGACGGCGCCGTCACGCACGAGGACATGACCCGAGCGGATATTTCGGGGGCAGCATCAGAGCCAGCATCAGCACCAGCACCAGCATCAGCATCAGCATCGGACGCGAACGCTAACGCCGACGCGAAGCAAAATTCGCAGACAGACGGCAGGCAGAGGCAGAGGCGAAGAGGCGGAGGTGAGCTAGCCGAGAGCTCGGAGCTTCCTCGTCTTGGATGTGGGATGGAAGGTGGGACCAAGGATAGGTACTTGCTTAGGTACCTAAGCACCTCTACGGTTCAGCCCTCACTCAGTACACCGAGCAGCAACAAAAGTTGGCCGGCCAAGTGCTGCTGCCGGCAAGTACTTGAGTGCCCGGTAGTACTTGGCCTGTTGTGTCTACCATCTAACGTTACTCCGTACTCCGTACTTGACGGAGTGGGGAAACAACCAGGTATCTAGCATCTAGCATCTAGGATTGAAGGCCGAGAAATGGACATGGAGCTGCATCGAGGGATGGAGCGTCCACATGTTATTGCACGTGAGGGCCGCGTTTGTCATTCTGTCGCGTCTGCACTCTGTGATATCGAGTCTGGTCTACTCTTCCTGGATCCATCAAGGCGGAATACTGGCCGGAACCATTGCAAATTCTAGCAATGGGACAGACCGAGCATCCATCTACTCCGTACTCTGCAACTACAATATGCGTTGCATCGTATGTATCACGTACATACAATTGACGGGTCCATGCCTCTCCCTCCAGCGCAAAACCCGCCTCTCGTCTTCGCCACCAGCATCACTATCAATGTCATTACTATTCAACCCGCCACTGCCAGGGCTGGTGGCCGCTGGCCACATCCGCCCAACTGCTCGCACTGCCAAGTCAGGCCCAAGCAAGCAAGCCGTTTGGCGCTGCCGAATTCAGCAACCGGACCGACTGGCTCGGAGTCGATGGTGGAGAGACGATCCAAAGTTCAGGCACATTGGCGGCAAATATTCCCGCTCACGCACTCGTGAGTCGTGACTCGAGCTCCAAGTTCGTAGCGCGGAATGAATTCGAGACCCGCCGAATATTGAGTGCCTTGAATGGGGCCTTTCCTGCTGGGCATCATAGAACCGCCGAGCATGACCCCGGCCGGCTCAAACCTACCGAAGAATCCATCACGGCCAAGCATGCATGCTGTGTCATGTCGTATTGGACAGAAATCCGGCTTGCCGTTCCCATGCAATGTCAACCTCCTCTTGACACCGGTGACCGGTCCAGTGATCGACCGCCTCTCTAGGTGCCCTCTGGCGGTACGACCTCTAAAGCCTTCGCCGGTGTCTGGCCGTGCCGCTGATCAAACTCACCAGCTCGGCCTCTTCATTTTTCGCAGAGGCGAGCGAGGGAAAGGGCCGTGTATCCCGTCGTAGATATGTCACCGCGGGGTGTCATCGTCATCCATGCCCAGTCCCATCATCCCCGTTTGGCACGACGCTGATCAATCTTGTCTTGAGGGAAAAGCACGTAATCCACTGCGACTTGCAACAGTCTAGGCAATCAACCTCAGCCAAGCCTTCCTCTCACAATTCAAGACGTGAATGCGAGTCAGCCCTGAGTAATTGGCCGAGCAAGTCTAGTCAGCTGCCCTACACGCCTATCTGCCAAGGCATGTTAGTGACGACAAACAACTCCATGACCCCTTCACGATCCCGCCATCATCTGGGTTTCTGACCAAGTGCATGGTCAAAGGATCACCTAACAAATGAGTACGCCCCGGTTGACGTTGTCGTCAAGTCGCATCATCTTTTTGTTTTCTACGCTTCAGACAAACAGCATCGACGGCGTCAGGTAATTCGGTCGGTGCCTGTAACTGGTGTCCTTGTTTGTTCAAGATTTTTTTCGTCCAAATTTGCAAGGCAGAGCCACCAGCGAGACATTGTCCGTTGATACGGTTGCGCGGTTGCACGCTTCTTGCCTCTCAATCAGTTCTGGCCCATTGCCATGTGGGAAGCGTGGGATGAAAAACAACCAAAGCACGTGTACGGAGTAGTTACATTGCCCTGCCGTTGCCCGTCGTCATGCGAACTGTCAACGGTGGTTCCCGACACGCAAAGCCAAAAAGCAGTCTTTCAACGAGATATCAGACTCGGGAGGAGGGTGATGACCAAATGCCGGCCGTGTCTGCACCACGCCTCACATCTGATCGAGGCAAGGGACTCTCTCCCACAAATATAAACGTGAACATGTTGTACCAGCAGAGCCGTGATCATGTGGTCGGATGATGACGAACAACGACATCATGGCAGCAGACGCAGTCGCTCGGCCGCAAGATGCTAAGCTGAACCAAAACTTGAGCCGAGCTCCGTTGTAACTTAGCGCTGCTGTGCCATGCTTCTTGTTGCAAGTTTTGGCCATGTTGCGGACCGAGTCACCCGGAATCCTCACTGCCCTTGTAACACACCCGTGTGTGCTGTTCAGGATCGTTCCGTGTCATTTTGGATGCACGCCCGAAAAACAAAAAAAGAAAATTCAAAGGTAAAACCGGCGTCAAGTAACTACGGAGTAGGTAGCACTGCGGAGAGGCGCGACCCGTGAGCGGGACGGCCAAAAGTGTCGCGGTCGAGTCCCGTGGCAGTGAATCGGCCAGTACGGAGTATTGGAAACCACAATACGTTGCAGCAGCAGAGGGGCCACTTGATAGTCACTTATTATCAATGTTGTGCCCCGACTCCCCGAGACATGAAGTAGCAATAATAAACCATGTCTCCGCCTTGATCATGGGATTGATTTGAGCAGGATTTCAGAGCCAAGACGGGGTGGCGGTACTTCGGAACTATCTAGGGAGCCAGCAGCGATGCTTTCTGTTGACCTGACCTTGTCAAGATAAATGTGCAGATTTGACGACGCGTTGCGTCAGTGCTGTCTGCAATAACACACTCTTCGCATGGGAGGAGGCACCTGATGGCTGGGCCGTACATCGACGAGAGAGGGAACTTTGAGTTCGGGTGTCGGTCTCAAAAACCACCGGAGAAGGGCCGGGGCGTGGCCTTACGCCCCCCTTGAGGAGGTCTCGTTCAGACGTCCGGGATTGACGTGGGAAGCGTTTAGGGTCGAAATCATCCTGTGGCGGGAAGATGGGCTCTCGCCTCGTACACACTGGTTCCTGCATCATGAGCAGCATTTTACGGAGTACCGCTCATGACAACAAAGTTGAGAGGTTGGGCTGGATTGGAGACGTGCGTACTCCGCACTCCGTAGGCAGTCGAGCAGTCGAGCACCGAGAGAGGCAGGAAGGGCCTTGGAGAGGAAGGCGCAGTCCAAACTTAACCAGACTGTTCTGCTGATTCAGCCAATGGCATCGACAAAGGACGGCTTGGCTTTCCAGCCCGGCCCTTGCAGGCAAACACAGCGCAAATCAAAACAAAGTCAGACAGACCGTCCATGCAACATGGCCGCAAGTTGCAACGCAATGCTCGAACAGCGCATGATCACACACACCAGAGTTCGGGCACAATCAAGCGCGCCTTGTCAGGCACAGGTCTCATAGTGCCAGATGGCCTACAGTCATAAACGCGCCCGCTGATGGTCACAGGCGATGCAATGACAGACGCGGCAGATGGTGCGTGTTACGTCGCAGTCTGGACGAATGCGTGCTCGCCGGCGTATCGATGGACAACTTTCAATCGTCTCGTGGTATCCGGCGTCACAGCACCCAAACTTTCATTTGTCGGGCCTGACAATGCTGTGCAGTATACTCCGTACTTGGGACGAATTAGTTGTCCGTATCTGATACTTGACAGTCAAACTATACCAGCTCATACAGCGTTTAAGAAGGCCCTTTGTAGGGCCGTGGCCCGTGTCGAACTCACCAGGATCCCATACGCAAGAACGATGCAGTCGTGCCGGAGAGTCGCGGACTGATGACCCGAAAGACTGCAGGGTTGCCAGTGTCTACGCCCGCCGTCGCTGACGGCCGTCGTCGGCGCTGTTCGTCATGAATGGGCTGGGCGGCTCAAGGACGGCAAGCAGCTCTGCGTTTGGAGCCCTTTGACGTGCTCCGGCCGGCCGACTCTGGCTCTGGGATCGGCTCCGGAGAAACGGTGGAGAGGACGAGTGCAGCGGCAGAAGTCGGAATTCTATCGAGGAATTCCTTCTTCCTCGGCCATTAGCTGAAACTAGTCGTCATCTCGAGTGCTGGATGAGCATGGTGCGCAAATGGTGATGTGCTGTGCGGGTTTCAATGTCTGAGCCTCGACGGACGACGGCCTCGATGGCAAAGTTGTCAAGAACAGCACACAGCACTCGGTCGTCGGTAACTCGTCCGTACTGGGCGGCTCCGCAAATGAGGCCGAAGCCCACCATGGCCCAGCTAGCAATTGCCACAGTTATAACCCGCCACCACCGCGTACGGAGCACCGTACATCGAATACAGGAGACGCGCAGCTGCTGATTGGCACAGCGGGTCGCCGGTACCTTTCCATCTTGCGCTGTTTCCGCCCCACTATTAGGCCGGCCAAACGGCCGTGTCGACGAACCAGCGGCGGCGTCTGGGGTGCAGCCCACGCCGCTCAATTTGATTCTGCATCCGCCTGGTCCAGATGTCGTGCCCCTGTGCGTCTTGCCTTGCCTGCACTCGCCTCATGTCCCAAGACCCAAGAGTTGCCGTGCCCCAAGTGTTCCAGTGTTGCCTGTGCCCCAGTGCTCCAGTGCTCCGGATGCCCACTAATTAGCACCAGCACCAGCACCAGCACCAGCACCAGCAAGGGTACCTCTACCTTCGTCGCTCCGGGCACTGCAGTGGCCGGTCGTGTACCCGGAACATTTGAGCGCTCGCAAACCCCAATCCCCATGCCCCATGTCTTTGCTGCCACGCCCGCCCCGTCTCGTCCCCATCGCCCGTCTGGGCCATCTCCCATCTCCCGAGCGTTGTCTCGCCGTCAGCGTCAGTCACCTCCTTGACCTTGTCCTTGCCCGCGATTCTGCTCCCTTCAGTCTTGATCGGTCCGTCGTCCCGCCATTACGACTCCATTGCCTTATCTTCACCCCCGACCAAACTCTGCTGCCGATTCCCCGCCGACGACCTGCTTTGTACAGCATTCACCGGGTTTCCGCTCTCTTGTCTTCTCTTATCAGCATACATCCAATCTAGAGCAAGACCGGGTTGGTCTGCGAATACAACAACGCCGATAACGAATCGCCATCTGCCGCCGCCGGACGCGAGGCCCTAATAAGAGTTGCCTCGAGCCTCACCTGCGACCTCGTTCCGTGCTCTCTCTCCCCCATTAGAGCATTTTGCCTCGTTGCGTCTCGTCTTCGCGTCTCGTCTTCATCCAATACTGGCGGCCTCTTCCACTACACACACCTGTTGAGCGCACTTTAGGGTTTTCAGCCAGCTATGTTAGGATTGCCCTGTGCCAACTTCGCCCAGCAATAGAGACACGCTTTGCTGCTCAAGCCGGCCGGTGTGGCCGCTGGTCTTTGCAAACTCTTGTCGTCGCTCGCTCTGGATCAAGATCCCGAAAGACCATTCACCATGGCTGAGCAACCTCTTCGCGCGGCCGTCATGGATCCGCCTCACATCACCGAGTTCGCCTCAGATCGATATTTTGAAAAGCTGGGCCAGCTCAGCGCTACCCAACAAAGTCATCATTATCGCCAGCTGCAGCAAGGACAGCAGCAGCACCAACTGTCGAATCCGTGCGAGACATCACCAACACCACCGGGGACAGCTCCATCAACATTCATCCTCCCGTTGCGAGACACAAAAACTGTTGAACTCGAGCTCGGCAAGCAATCTGAGCAGAAAAAGGACAGAAGTCGTTTCTTTGGCATTCGCCATAAGGTATCTTTATTACACCCGAAGCCTCATGCAGCCGACAATGAAACACATCTCCCGATTAGAGTTTCTGCCGAGCCGATCCGAAAAAGGTTTGTTTCTACATCGTCAAATGTATTTTCGGCCATCTAACACGCATTCTCAGTGCTCCTTTCGACCAATTGTTTCTAGCTCTCCCTAATGAGTTGCAAGTTCAAATTCTGTCGTCATTGCCTCTTACGGACATTCTCAGCCTTCGACTCGCTTCCAAAACGTGGCACAGTCTCATCACCGCAAACGAATCCCCCATTGTTCGATACCACCTTGATACCCATATACCTGCCTATGCGCTCCGCTTATATCCCATCATCGACCAGTCCGAGATCAACTTTCATTTCTTGTGCAGCTTGTGGCACCGACTGCACGTTGCAGCCAAGCTTGCCCATCTCATGTGCGAGTGGATTACAAAGGAGATTTTTCTACGCCAATCTGAAGCTCAACAAGTGGCCTTCGCGCCGCAACGTGAGCGTATGCGTCGTCGACTGATTCCTCTTCTCTTCAACATCTTCCATTTCTTTGAGACGTACCGAAAATTGCACCTCAAGCATATCGTGGATCACGGTGGCTATGGATTACGGCACGAACCCTACACCCTGAACCCCATCGAGTCCGAGATTATGAACATGTATGACGACCAGACTTTGTTGCGGGTCCACGAAGTCTTTCCTTTGATAATATCATCCTTCTGCCGTCGGCTACGACCGCCTACTTATGTGGGTCGCGTTGAGAGGTCACTCAGGGGATACCTGCGAGACCGTCCATCTGACGAAATTCACTCCGCCATCCTGTGCGTCGGAGGCTTGCGACAAGTCGAAAGATTTTGGGAGATCAAGGGCTACAACAACCGTCGCGCCGCTGTTGACGTCTGGTACAACTCCTTGACCAAGGACTGCAAAGAGCTTGTATCGGAGCCACCCCCGGTCAAGTCAAGGTTAGGCTTGAAAGGATTCGGTCGCAAGAAGTCCACGAGCGGCGACCGACCTGTACACAGGCCATCGGTTGGTGAGGGTAACGTCAAGATGAGGAGTCCTGCAGGTTCAGTCGACGCCAACTGTGCGGATAATGTAGATTACAACTGGGTATTTCACACCAGCTTGGCAGCAGGCATCCCCATGTCCGCACTTGGTCCCGACGACACGCAGAAATTGCTCGACGACGCCCCTGTACTACAACAAATATGGCTCACCACGGCCGAGGCCCTGATTCTCGATCGAGGCATCGTATCAAGAACACAGGACATCAAGCGAAACCAGCAAGTCATGCTGGACCTTATTCGTGAAGACGGGCTCGACGAAGAAGACGAGTGGTGGTACGGACGAAACAACCCCGACTCTGTTCGGCCGGCCGCTAGTGCAACAGATGATGACGCAGAGTAAAATGAAATGCCAAAAACACCATCTATTGCGGGCGAGGCCGTCGGGATGTCTCCCCCCCTCTCTTTTTTTTTTTCTGTGCGTGAACTCACTGCGCATTCGGAAAGACGAATCGGCATTTACAGGCGTTTTTCTTTTTTTGTCCTTGGTTTACTGAACAGATAACTAACTCTCATCCTCCGCAAGATGCGTATATTTGGCGGGCACCATGCACTCTGAACGAGGTTGGATTGGTGGTAGGGAGTACGCGCACACTGGGGAGAGCCAAGACCGGCTACATTCCGGAGAAAGGGTATATGGGTGGGTCTGGCCGCATTGGGTGGGTCCATTTATTTTGTTTTCTTGCTATACCCTCCCCTGCTGGGCCAGAGATTGGGCACGCACCATCGATGCATATTCATGGTCTCGCCATTACTTTGCCGAAGCGTCCTTTATGTTCATTCCCATTCCGGAGAAACCAGGGGGAGCACGCCAAAAGCGTTGGCAGGCATGTACAGTTCATCGTTACAAATGGTTGAAATAAAAATTCCCCCATCCCATGTTGCACTGCCGTGTAAATGGGACAGCGGATCATGTAAAACTTCAATATACGTATCCGTGCGCATTGTAGCCTGCCATCATGCCGTCTTGGATATGATGAAGTTGCTTTTGATGTCTTATTCCCATGTATGCCATGAAAATAGTAAAAGGAAATCATTCAGTCATTTTCAGAAACAACGAATAATCTCGAAATTGACTTTCCCCGCCAATTGGATAACAGCCGAAGGTACGCCGAGTCCTTTGTCCTACAGATACCAGCCCTAATTAAAAGACGACAAATACGCTTGCCGTCATAACGCCGCGAAAGAGTAACCCAAAAACAATAGGGAGTATAGTAAGTCCGTGGATAGATGTTTGTCTGAGCGCATGACGGAAGATGAACACGCAGCCAAGTATGCTGGCGCCGTCTGTGCGGGGGCCCAATCTGAAGCCCGTGTCCTCTACATGAAGCCTTGGGTGTGAAAGGTCGAGTAGGTTCCCAAGGCGGTATTAGCGGATGAATGAGGCCCAGGTGGTCTGCCGTGATTGCTGAGATAGCCTTGCTTTCTCCCTCCAGTTTGTGGTCCGGCTGATTGTTGTTTAGCATGATCTTGAGATAAACGCACATCAGTGTTGTCAGCCATGGTATGGCTAAAGCTACCACCGGAGGAACGAATTGACGTCATAAGATGAGAGGCTTGCTGCATACTTTGCTGACTATAGTAACTCTGTGCTGCTGCGTTTACATGCTGCGACGCGAATGGGCTGTTTGTTTGTTGTCTTGTAATGGCTTGGCTCAGGTTTGGCAACTCGAGCTGTTGCTGTTGTGGATAGTTGGCCATGTAGAAATGTCCAAGTTGTGATGTCTGAGTGGGGTGTGCCCCAATTCCCATTCTTTCGATTCCAGAGCCATTGGCCTGGGTCTGAGAGTTAAAACTGCCAGGCAGGAATTCCGGCTGTGATCCAGAACCGGCACTTAGGCCGCTTCCATTTGATACACGTTGACGCTTCGTCCCTTGTGGCGCACGGGACGAAGAATCGTCATTATTGTTTCCTACAACGTCTCTCTGGCTTTGATGTGCGGTGTTTCTCTTCCTTGGCAAGCTGTTGCTGTTGCTGGCAGGCATGGGTTGTTGGACAGCTATGTTCGGCTGATTGTGGCCCGGCTCCGCAGCATGTTGGGCTAGGTTGTCTCCTGCGAACTGTGTCTCTGCGGGATAGTCATTTTTTGAAATGGCATTCTCAGCACTTTCGGTGCCAGATGTAGACGCCGTTTGAGGTTGTGCAGGCTGTGGCTGATTGGTATGCGGCGCCGACTGATTCTCGTCGCTGTTGTTCGTCTTTGGTCGATTTTTGGAGCCCTTTGGTCGACCCCTCTTTCTGACCAATAGAGTGGCCTTGGGAGCATTCGATTGTATGTCAGGATCATCAGCAATTCCAGGCCTCGCAGTGTTGTCGCTTGTTACCGGAACATCCACCTCCATATTCCCCCGTTCGGCTACACCATCATTTTCATTACCGATCGGTATGACAAGTGGCACGCTATATTTGAGTGCTTTTGACATGTGCCTCTTGCCCTTATCTGCGCGAACCTTGGTGCTCTTGCTCCCCTTGGGTCTGCCCCTTTTCCTCTTTCCAGTCCCAACTATCGCGGCTTCTTCTGGCGATGGGGAGTTTGTTTGTACCGTAGCAGCCGCAGGCACTGTAGCGGCGGGCTTCGAAGTCGGTGATGATGCGGACATCCAAGAAGAGGCAGTCGTCGTTGAAAGATCCCCTGGCGGAAATTGGGCGGAACCACCGAAGCGAGGCGCTGTTGAGGCATCCACATTTGGAAAGATCTCGGCAAGCCAGCCAACAAAGTAAGAGCCGGGACCATTCGCGGCGTTACTTTGTGGGAAAGCACCATCATCTGCCGGAGGAGGAGCGCCAGGTATGCCGCCGAAATATGCGAGTCCCTTGCAAAGTTGGTCGACAACCATGACAGGGTTCAGCGACCTCAGCAAAGTCAAAAGCCGGGCTTGTTCTGTCTTTGTCTCGTGGGACGATAGCGAAGTCGCTCTCTGGGCAAATCCATGGCCTGGTTGCGGCTTGCTTCTGGCCCTGTCCTTGCGTGCACTATTCGATACCAGCTCTTCTTGTTGCGATTCTGTACCGGGCCCGTCCTGCTTTAGCTGCCGCAGAGACTTGTAACCGGCTTGGTTGAACAGCCTGGAAGCAGCTGCAGTGCCTTCACTCGTTCGTCTCGCCGCGGCAAGCCGTTCGGACGAACCTAGATTCACTACTCCCATGTGCATGACAGCAAAGTTGCCGTTTTTACTATGATCAAGATTCTGGAGTTTGGCAGGGACGCCATTTTTGATGCGGCCATCATAGTAGACATAGCTTCCCGAGGTATACGAAATGTCTATGGGCGGATAGTTAGCGTGCGTCGCAGCGGCCCGGCAGGGGAGAAAGGTGTATTGAGCCTGACCATCGTTCAAGGGCTCTACAGACGTCGACGTGCCCGTAGGTAGTATCATGGATGCGTCGCCGTTCAAACCAGCTACTACATCAACAGGCTCGGCTTCCTGGCCTGGGCGAGCCGACGTGCCATCCGTGGACAGATTATTCGGAGCTGCAATTGGCATGTCAGCTTCTGCGTCGTGGCACGGTGGGAGACCACGTTGGTAGAATTTTCAGCTTGTCGCTGTGGCGATGATGAGGAGACGCACCTGCAACTGGAGACATTATTGCAACCTGAGAGAAACCGTCGAGTTGTCAATGGCCAGACGTCGCAACTACATGCCTTATACCTTGCCGACGGACAGAGCCGTTGGTCTGAATTTTCGGCGCGACGTTTCCGGGCTCACATGGTACAAGGACAGGATGTTAAATACGACGGCGGGGACTTCTCGACAACAGAGGCGAAGTAAGCGGTGTGCGAAAGTGTGCCGAGTATGAAGCTGTGGGCGGGTAGCAGATGGGACATTGGCGGCTTGTTGTCGGTTGGGTGCGCATTGAAGAGAAGACGAAGACGAAGACGGCTCGAGGCGGTGTTGGTAGCTGCGACTGGAAGTTAGGATTGATCACGTACTCCGTACGGAACGCAAAGCACCGGGTTTAGACCCAGTGACCAGTGAGGGGACATGGAGCCCTCCCGCCCCAGAGTATCTAGTACTTGTGCAAGGAGGTTCCGCGGGTGCCTTGGTGAGGTGTTGGGTGCGTGCCCGACACTAGGACAGCTTCAGTACTCAAAGTAAGTACTTACTTAGTAGGAAGTAACCTTTGGTACCTACCTACTTAAGTAGGTAGGTAGGTACGTTCTTAGGTTCCTAGGTGCTCCATACGGAGTACATTCATCCCTAAGTACTCAAGTACTTAGTAGGTGGTTATAAACATTGTACTATACTCGGGCGGCCGCAGAGGGTTCTGGCCAACTTGCAGCGAGCTTGTCTGCTGGGCTTAAGAGGTATGCATCATCCATTGGCGTCCATGTTTGGCTACAGGCGCACTCGTAAAGTCAACCCTACTCAAGTACCCGTGAAATGTTCCATGTTACTCTTGGACCAGTCGGCCTAACCCAGTCTCGTCTAAGAAGTACGCTGCGGAGTACCTACCAGGAACCTGGATAGCGGCAATCGGGTTCTTGGACCTGCTCATGTTAAAATGGGAGCCGGCACAGCGTCTATTGCTCGGGGCGCTCACTATTTTTGCTCGGGGCGCTCACTACCCTATATGACCTACTTTTTATGCGGCAAGCCCTGCTGCCATGCCCTACAGTACATTTTTAGTACAAAGGTATAGCAGCTTTACTTAACTCTAAAAATCGTTATTAAATAATACTATAGCTCTATAAATTTTTTAATAGGCAGCAGCTTTTTCCTTTAATAATAATATTATAATGCTTTATAAAGGCTTTTATAACTCCTTAAATCTGCCCTTAAATTTGCTGCTCTTGCTAAGCTATAGCAGCTTTAATAACCTTTATAATGCTATATAAGAATTTAGGCAGCAAAATAGTTATACCTTTAGCAAGAGCTCTATAAAGCTAAAGACTCTAATAAATAGTATTTAATAATTGCAGGCAGGCTAGCTTAATTGTAATTATAGCAGCTGTTAAAGAGAGCTTTAAGGCGCTAAAATTTAAAATATAAGCTTTTAAAAAACTAGCTGTAGTTACTAGCTTAAAGTAACTTCTGCTAATTATTCTAGTTATTAAGTATAGCATTATAAAGAGTAGGGATTTTATAATTATAATAAATCTAGTAATGCCTCTATATATATAATTTATTAAAGATTTATAAATTAATAAAAGCAGTAAATTTTAAGCCTTTTTAATTATATAAGCCTTTAACCTTAAGGAATTAGTATAATAATTTGCAATAAAAATAAAGATAATTTTTATTTCTAACTAAAAGATATTTATAATTAGCATTAATAAGCTTATTAAGTTAAATTAAGCAGCTATATATCTTTCTAATAGTTTATTAAGGTTCTTTAAGAAAAAGGCCTTTATTATAAATATTTTCTTAATAATAAAAATTGCATTAAAAGCGCTATATAAACTTACTCTTATTGTATTAAAAAATAGAGAGTTTTTTTAGAGTTTATTAGTATAAACTATATATATAAAACTAACTACTAGAGTCTTTATTTATTAAATATTATTATAGTTACTAATTAAAAATTAATTATAAATATTATATTTAGCTTTATATAAACTAAAAGAGAAGAGAGCTATTACTAAATGCTAGCTGTATTAAAAGAAATTTATATTAAGCTCTAAATCCCTACTTCTAAGGTTATTATAATAGACTTTAAAAAGACACTAAAGAACGCTCTTAAAGTTATTTAGCTTAAAATATAGCAGTAGATTTATATTTAGTATATTCTATTAAATATTAAGAATAACTTCTATAAGAAATAAATTAAAGCTGCTAATAATAATAAATATAATAAGTTAAAAATTAAAGCTTTTAATAATAGCTTAATAAGAGCTTTCTTAGCCTTTTAAATACTAGTTTATATAAATATAATTAATAATTTTTAGTCTACCTAGATCTAGATAATTAATATATATAAATTACAGTAATTTATAATTCTCTACTATATAGAAAAGACTTATCTTAAGGTTAAGTAATAATAAGCTTACTGCTTTATAAAGAGATATTAAAATTTCAGCAAGAAGGCAAACAGCTTTATAGAGGTCTTTTATAGAGCTATAAAAATCAACTTATTTATAGAAATAAGTAACTTTTTATTACTTCTTAATAGAATTAACTAGACTCTTAAGACCTAAGAGCGTAATTATTATACTTATATAGCTAAAAATAAAGTTAAGTAATAATTCCTAATTAATTACAAAGAATAGCTTAATATACTGCCTCTATAGATATTCTACTAAGCTATTAACCTTCTAATTTGTTAAGGACTGGCCTTACAGGCTACTGCGTGTAAGCATTACTAGTATTAACTATAAACTTAAGGAGAGAAAAGAGGGAAAGAAGAAGCTCTTTATTCTCTCTTTTCTGCTTATTATATATATATAGGTTTAATATACATTTAAAGTATATTTTATAAGGCACTAATATAGTGCTTTATACCTACTTAAGCCTACAGCTTAAGTTTATTATATACTCTTCTTTTAGTAGGTTTATCTATATTGCTGCTATATAGCAAGAGCAGACGTATAGTGCTAATCCCCCTAGCAACTATACATCCCTACTCTATATTTTTTGTATATAGTATATACTTAATATACTTCTGCTTTATAAATAGTTTAGCAACTTTATACTGCTTATTCTTATTGTTTTCTTTCTAATATATATTACTAACGCTCTTTTTATATAACTAAAAACTTTTTGTCTTTAAAAATTGCTGCTGCTGCTGCCTGCCTCTCTTTCTGTTTTGCCTCTATTTTGCCTCTACTGCTCTAAGTACTATATAGTTTATACTGCGCAGCTAATTTAGTTTTAGCAAGGCTGCTGCTAGCATACTCTCTCCCCTGCCTCTGCTGCCTCTACTGCAACGCCCTAATGCCTGCTATATAGGCAAGTATGCTATAGAAGGCAACTTTAATAATAATAACCTCTTTAATAGAGAGGAAGTTTTAGAAATATATATACTATATTATTGTAAGCTTATTAATACTAGCTCTACTAGTTGCATTTCTAGCCCTACTATAGCCTGTAAGTAGTACTGTAAAACCTATAAGAGGTATATTTAAAAGGCGCACCTCTATGCCTTAAATCTTAAGCTATACTACTAATAGAAAAAAGTGTAGTAAATTGCAAATACTAGTAGGTATATTATATCTACTATATATAAAAAGTTAAGTAAGAGCTTTAGTATATATACTAAATTCTTTATATAGTTTAATTTTATAACTAAAAAGTTTAATATATTATTAAAGCAGGCCTATATTGCCTCTAGTTCTATCTACTCTCTATATATACTAGCTAATTTATCCTCTAGTAATATAGCTGCTAGCGCTAATTTACAGGCGCTAGTGCTTACTAGCGCATTAACGCTCTTCTACTATAAGTATATACTGCCTTCTAACTAGTAGATACTAGTGAATTTTTTCTAGAGCTAGGCTACTATAGCTTAGAATATTAAGTAAATACTATACAAGCAGTAGGCAGAGCAGGTAGAGTTGCGCTATAAGCGCGCTAACTAGTAGAAACTAACTTACACTTTAGTTAATATGCTTTATAAAGAGGCAACTCTCTATAGCTAATATATTTACTCTTATACCTCTAAGACTCTAACTTATCTCTATAGTAGAGAAGAGAGTAGTTATAAAGGTAATAGTATTTAGAATACTATTCTCTCTCTGCTCTCTCCCCCTCTTAATAATTAGGTTATTAATTTAACTAGTAATAAGTTGCAATAAAAGTTGCCTAGCAAGCTAGAGTGCTTGTTTTAGTAGGCGCTATATTAAGCATAAGTTAAGTATAAGTTAAGTATATATTAAGCTTTATAGTTATATTATCTCTCTCTTTTTTTTTTTTTTGTTTTAATAATAATTAATTTTTTTTTTGCTAGCTAGCTTTAGTACTAGTATAACTATAGTCTAGTTCTATATATATTTTTTTTTAATTAATTAGCTCTATACTTTATACTATTATTTAGGAATTAATTACTTATAAATTAAGCTTATTATACTTCTATATATTTTTTTACTTAGCTTTAAATTAGTTAAGTATTATAATATCTTAAAAACTCTTAAGTAGTTTCTATATTAGTTAAATATACTCTTTCTACTTAATATATATATTTTACTTTTTGCCTCTTT